ATGAAGAAGAAAGAGGAGCATGTTGTGGACATGTGTGCAGTGTGTGTGTGAGGAATAAGTGTGTGAGCGCCGGGCTCTGCTGACGTAACACTTCCTAACCGTTTCCATATAGACGGCCCGGGAGCAGGCGCCAGGCTGCTCCTCAGCGTGAATACGTCTGGTACCCATCAGCCCTTTGAGAAGTAGACTACACACACACACACACACACACACACACACACACACACACACACATGCTTACACTCACACACTTACACACCAAAGCTACACTCAAAAAAATGAATATGACAATATATGGTCTTGCAATCCTTGTCAATATGTGCATTGATGCATGGAACAGAATCAGTGCAGAAACATCTGATGTGATGTCATTTTCAAGAGACGTGAGAAATGACAAGCTTTGTCTTTGCTGTTATTTACAATCATGAAGAATAACTTTAATCTCATGGGGGACACGATCATTATCCAAAATCAACATGTACTGCAATATGTGGCCTCTGCAATCTGATGCATCTTATGTCCAGGGGAATACTCAGCTATGATGCAAGTGCACATATTATATACACACTGCACACATTAAGTAAGAAATAAATGAGCTTTTGTTGCAACTTGCCTGTTCAAAACATCATTCACTCTTCATTTGGTCATCCACATACACATTCAAGATGCTTGAGCCTTCAGTCAGTATCGCTGACAAAAAATAATAATTATAATAATAATAATAATAGCGCTTTATCACAGACCCACAAAGCTCTTTACCTTGGATACATTATTCAATCGCTCGCACAGTCACACCTTGGTGGTGGTGAACTACCTTAGTAGTCACAGCTGCCCTGGGGTAGACTGATGGAAATGCAGCTACCAGGCCTCTCCGACCACCATCACATAACATTCACTTTCATACACCAGTGGAGGACACACACTGGGAGCAAAGTGGGTTAAGTTTCTTGGCTAGGGACACAACGGACAGACTAGGAATAGGGGGGAATTAAACCGCCAACCTTTCGGTTCTTGAACGACTGCTCTACCTCCTGAGCTACTGCCCCCCAAAAAAGCCAACTCAAGCACTAGTTTATCGAGTTTCCCTTTGGGGATCAATAAAAATCTTTTTCTTCTTCTTCTTCTTCTTCGACAACAGTGCTTGACTAACTCTGGTAGGATAATCAAAACCTCAAAGAGTATTTTGACTAGACAACTCATGTCTCCTCTGGAACTTCACGCATACAGACATGTACAGGTCTGAAAAGCCTTACTAGTGTGACGAGTGGACATTTTGGTCATTTCTAGAAAACAAGTTAACATTTCTGTGCAAACTAATTTATTAGCTATGTCAAAACATGTTCAGCTTGTTTCACCAGTTGACGTTGAAGCTTTACTGGTAAACATAGAGGAGCTTTTGCTGTCCTCTAGTTAATTAGGGCTTCTAACCACTACATGAGTGCAGGAAAACTGACATCTGAGGTCAAGGATATTAAAGAAATGCTCAAATGACTTTCTGCACATCCTGTTAACAGGTTGGATACAGTCATGGAGACTCTTACACAATCTAAAGCAGATTGAGACAACAAGATTACAAAACAAAGGCTGAAAGAGACTCAATGAGAACAATACATCTGCATGCTCCAGCTGAGCTCATTTGTTGTTTCATTTTTTCTTCACAGTTAAATGATGATATGATCTATTTTAGTTGGCTGAAATACCCCCGAATTCCCCTTTTTCTTTTCACAGTGGAAAATAAATGCTTCATCAGATTCCAGTAAGGATTTCTTCAATGTACATTTGCAACAGAGTATCTACCTATATTTTTGGAGTGTTTTAATTAGACAAAACTTTACCTGGTGGAGTTACTAAGTGACATAGAGGACTCTAGAAACCCATCCGGTGTTAGTATTGTGGTTCACAGCTCCTCTTTACTTGGTTTTATTTCTTTGCTGGTGTTTTTTTTTGTTTGTCTCCCTTTCACCTCTTTTCCTCCCCCTATTTTTCTTACTATTCCCCTGTGTGGGGAAGTGTCAGTGTCATATGTTCCAGTATCTGTTCTGTATCTGTTCACTCCTCTAGATACACTGATTTTATTCTAATGTCACAGCATCTCTACTTTCTATCACACACAACATAGAAGCTCATTGATTACATCTGTTGTCAATAATCGCACAGATTGACCCCCTAAATAGCTCTTTCCATGCGCACGCGTATGCTTCCTTTTACCATCTCATATATTTATTTGGGAGTACAAAGCACATTTAAGGTAATTAAGTTGTTACTGAGATAACAATAGAAACTTATATAAAGGGGATATTGCGCATTAGGAAGCTATTTCAAGCCAGCGGAGGACTGCAGCACACTGACAACAAGAAACCTTTAGAGAAGTGCAGACTTCAGCAGAGCAGACTGTAGACAGGCCGTAACCTGAGACGTGGATCCATCCATATAATACAAACAGAGGGCACCTTGAAAAACCAACACATACACTCACACACTTGAACAGAGGAAGCATATTGTGGAAGGATTATATGAACTGGGTAATGAATGCACACACCAGCATGCTGGTCATTGCCGCTCATGTAGGAATGAATGAAAGTGAGAGGGTGGGATTTACTCTGTATTCCATTACTGTGGTGGTCTTGTCATGGGGATTTCCCATGTTGGTCATAAAAATACAGAATAACACACACACACACACACACACACACACACACACACACACACACACACACACACACACACACACACACACACACACACACACACACACACACACACACGGGGATGCTGGTAATGCCATTACCTCTGCTTGTCTCCTTAGACTCCTTAGTATGCTCTTGTGGCGCTTTCTTCCTGCCCCTCCTCACCTCACTAATCCAACCCGAACAACACAGTTTATTAAGGCTAGATTGAACCAAAGTGGTACTTTGTTTGAGGAAATAATAATAATTATTATCATCATTTACAAACATTAACATTATTAACAAATCTCAAACATGAATGAAAAGGAGCAGAAAGAAGAAAACTCTTATAGTGTCTGCCCCTCTTTCATATATTAATCAACTAAACACATAATAAAGATAAACAAGAGCTGCAGGACAACATGTCTTTTTACAGTTCACTATTTCTTATTTTAAAAAACAACCCACAAAACAAACAGAGAAGACCATGTTAATTCGCATTTTTTCACAAAAAACAAAAACTGGCTTTGACACTTTTTGAAAGATAAAACTTGATTCAGCTTCTTTAGTTTCTTTGTTCAGATTGTTCCACAGACTCATTCCTCTCACCGTAGCACAGCGCTCCTTCAGTTTTGATGCATTCTGTGAATGTCCAGCATGACATCATGAAACCAAAACTACCTTTGTAGTCGTGCTACCATTAAGGGGGCTTCATTAATCCCCCTAACCCGTTCAGGATTTGGACTCAGTTTTTTTAACATTGGTATACTCTGTATCCTCTGGGGGTAAATACCTCTCTTTGTCTCTCTCTTTCTCACACACCACCACCACCACCACCTCACCTCGCTCTCTCAGCCCCTGAAGGTAAGCTCTGTTCAAACACATCACATCATTGGCAAACAGTACACCCTCACCAGCCTCCCCCCTGTGCCCAGAGACAGTCAGGATAAGGAAGAGGTGGAGTACCTGAAAGCCAGTCATGTGAATGCGTGGTTTAAGTGTATATGGTGGGTATCCACCGGGGAGCAGAGAGATAAAACCAGACATTGAGTCAATGTGAGACAAGAAAGAGAGACAGAAACCATCACGATGACGTACCTTACAGGTGTGGCCCACAGGTCCCTTCATTTGTCTCAGAGGTGTCTGTATTCATCCATATTTGTGCTGTGAGGAGGTGCCTGGAGGTCTGTTTATGATGTATGCATCATTAATGCTAGTTAGTCACAGACATACCTTCATACTTCATACTTTTGGAATTTCCCCCTGTGGAACTAATAAAGGTATATCTTATACTTAGCTTGTTAGCTGGCAGTGTACAAACAAAAACCTTATTTTTGATTTGTCTTCTGGATTATTTCATTTATTATCTGTTCTTGTTCACAACCTTAGTGAAACAATGGTGAACATGCTTCTTTGCTTTTTTGCTAAATAAGATGAGTGTGAAATGTTTGTAAAGGCGGTTGGAAGCATGAAGCTTTGCTTGACTGAATGACTTTAAACAAGGAAACAGTCACCCTGACTCTGTTATTCCCCTGAAAACCCCCAGCACCTTAAATTTCCCTGTTCTTTTTTCCTGCAGGTTTATCAGACTACAAAGAATATTATCTTATCAGCTCCAGGGGGTGAGAGAGATTGTGGATAGAAACTACAGAGCCAGGCTTGCTGTTTGATTAACTCTATAGCCATGACTTCTGTTTCTGAAAACGTGATTGTACTTCACTATGTTTGAGATTAAATGGAGGAGTTTCAACTGTCATTTCATTGTGCTGCAGATTTAACTGTGTTGAATTGTTCCCCAGTCTCAGTAAGAAAAACAACTTTATTTTACACCCATAGAAAAATAAAATTGTCTGTAGTCTCACTTGTCATGTCTCAAAAAGTCATCTACTAGGACTTTCTGTCGTGCAGCGAATAGAGAGGAGCCGTCCACCACCATCAGCCCTTTGGTCCATCAAGGTGTTGTGAAGCGGGTGATGCATGTTTTTTAGAATAGCCTCCACCTTCCTCAGTGTACATCTCTTTTTTACTTTATCAGCCTCATCTTGGTGTAAAATTCACGAAGAGGTTTTGTTTAAAACACTAATTTTCTATGAAATAATTGATTTCCCCAGCAGCATACTGAAGCACGTGGCTCCATCTGAGTAACAGGAAAAATCAATGTTGCTGTGTTGTGTGTGGATGGAGCGGAGCTGTTTAAACATGAAATCAATATTGAGTCTCCAGGACTCCAGGATGTCGTAATGTTTTGTTTGTCTGTTTGGTGGAGTTCCCTTCCCAGCCCTGTTCAGCCCCCGTGCAAGCACACAAGAAGAAGAAAAAGAAGCAGAGAGCAGGTTGTGTTTCGTCATGTCTGTATTTGTCTCATTTTCACAAAACATGTACAGGGGAAGGAAAAGCCTTTCGATAGAACCTGAGGTATTTTTGCGTCAAGCAGCCTAAGGTATCAGGATTTTCTTTTAAAAACTCATCTAAAGTCATCAGTGTTCTTAGATGCGTTGCTATTTACACAACATGATAATAATAGAATAATAATAATAATAATAATAATAACGATAATTCAATAACAACAATTTAGCAAATGGGACAGCCTGCATCATTTTTGTTACATGTCATAAATAATTCTAACAACATTTCTTAGAAATATAGGGAAGAGGGGATGAGAGGACGCTCGAGGAATCTATCTGAACTTACTGGGACTGCAGCAGCTCAGGGTCAAAGGTCAGAGAAAAGCTAAGTGAGGGTCAAAGGAAAAATAAAACACATTTTTTTTTTTTACATTATAAATAAATAACCATCTCGCACCAGGAGAGCAAAGTTTTCATTTCTTTCACCTCAAGATTTTGAAGGTCCTCTTTTTCATCTTTACATTTTGTTATGCTGTTTGTATCAAAGCTTTGGAAAAAAATAAGAAATAGGAACAAAAAGAAAAGGAAAAAAAAAACAAAACAAGAAAAAGAAAAAGCAAGACAGCGAGGGAGCTTTTGGGACATGCATTGTGCTGATGTACCAGCAGCGGTGTACCCTATTGCAGGGCTTGGCTCACTGAAAGATCCCCTGAGAATGAAAAAAAAAGGATGTGTGTTATGACAAAGTTTTGTATGTGTGAAAGTAAATGTAAGTGCATTTAGTATAAGGGGGTGTGTGTTGGTTTGTTTCAGCTTTGGCGGGTCCATGATAATAGTGCTGGCTCAGAGGGGACACCTGGTTCTGTGTGTAGATCCCAAACATGTAAAGGAGCCTGTGTCTGTTTGCACATGGATGTTATAATGCAGACTCAGGAAACAGGCGGATGATCTTTGACTGTAATTAGCGAATACCTCTGTAGTCCTCCTCTTGTATTAAACCCAAGATTACACACTGAAGGAGATATCTGGTTATCATCGATCTCCTTTCCAAACAGTAGCTTCATACTCATGTGGAGGACACTCAGAGGTTGTCTCTTAGGGTATCATGTCACCAGTTGGTTATCAGAAAAAGAAGAAAAGTGCATTTCATTCAAAGTCATTCATCACTCTTGCCAAAGAAGGAACAGCACATATTGCTTACTTGAATTTGTTGAATGTGTGTATTTGTTTGTGTGTGTTCATAAATACCATACAGCAAATAATAATAATTATAATAATAATTCAACAAAAGAAAAAAAAAGAAGAAATAAATCCACAAAACATTATATTATTTCTCATTACCAGAATGAACCAATACAATAAATTAAAACTATAACTGAACAAAAAAAAAAAAGAGTCCATTAGGAGTCCATTAAAACTGCTATATATATTCATATTGTATATATAGTATTTGTCTGTAGTCAGCCTTTCTGGTGCATGCTCAGTGGTGACCATTATTCGTGGTGACTGGGAGCAGCAGGAGGGGTTTAAGGGTTCTTGTCAAACCTCAGTCCCATTACACTGTTAACACTGGAAACCAGGGAGCTAAAGTCAGGAGACACACGCTGTGCTTTATGGGAGGGGGGGTCGGGGGGGCACTGCCCGAGTCTTTTCAGCAACACACTGCTGAGGATCCTTCATAGTTTGACACACACACAGTACCGCCTTTCAATGAAATCCTGGGATCTCTCTGCCTTGTGCTGCGGGGATGTGAGGAGACGGTGCTGTTATGGAGTCTGGTTTTGTTGTTGATGCACAGTCAGTAGCACTGGGAAGAGGAAAGGGGAAGGGGGGGGGGGGGGCAGATGTAGCCGTGCCGAGGGTACTTGGTTCAAATCACAAGCTGTACACCCACTGAAGCACACCACGTTTGACCGCAGGCAAGCACTGTCCAAACTCTGTCAAAATAAGGATACTCTATATAGTAAGGATGCAGCATAACACTTATTTTGGGTTGTTTCTTTTTCAGAGTTCAGAGGAATTTAACAGTTTCAGTACCTTCCGTCAACCCGTTCACCTCAGACTCCTCCTACTTTTCTTCTGATTTGTGCGTCAGTTCGGGGTGGTTCAGGTTTGCTAAGAGTCACATCACAGGCTCTGTCCGTCCAGTTGTGAATGCTAGCTTTCATGCTAACTTTTCCACACTGGCTCTCTGCTGCTGTTTCTATTTTTCCCTTCTCTCTCTCTCTCTCAGTGTTTTTAACACTGTCTGTGAGGGAAGCACACAAAAAGTCATCTCTGCTCCCCTCATCTCCTCGCACTTCCTTTGACAGGGTCTGTTTAGCCACTAAGGGACAGCTCCAGTCATGTCCACTATCTGTCAGGATACCTCGATGATCTCCATGCTCCCAGAGAAGCTTGACTGTTTCCCAATTTTTCCTAATTCTTCTCGGGACCGCGTCTCAGAGATGCCTTCCTCGAACTCCATCTGACAGCTGCGCCTCTTGAACTGCTTCTCCGATGCCGCCCCGCCGTTGTTCGCGCTGTTGGACGAAGACTTGGACTCCCTGTGGTCTCTCTGTGTCTGTGGAGCAGAGGGCTTCTCTCTCTGGGGTTTGTCTCGTAACCGCACGCCTTCGCTGCACCCGAACGCCACATACGCCGAGCTGCTCCCAAACCTCACTGATGACCCCTCTCCCCCTCCTCCTCCTCCTCCTCCTCCACCCAGCTCCATGTCTCCCTCACCACCCTCTTCTGCCCCAAAGTGCCAGGGGGCATCTGTGGTGGGGGTGACAGGAGTGACGGGTGTAGTGGCCTGGACAGTGTCTCTGTGTTTGGTCCACATGGCCCCAGACCCCACAGTGGGCAGGGAGGGGAGTGAGAGAAGCAGAGAGCCCTTCAAGTTCTCGTCCAGGCAGGGGCTCTTGTGGTCCAGTGACAGGCTGAGGGACTGTGGAGGTTGATGTGGTTGGGTGTGGATTGGTGAACTACTAGAGGAGTGCTTAGGTTTCCTTCTGGGTCTTGAAGAGGAAGAACTAGAACGATAAACTCCTTCACTTCCCCCCAAACCTCCGATGCTGCCTCCACTGCCCGGTGAAGGGAAGGGTGAATCTGAGGGACTGGGGCTGTCTGAGATGGGGGACTGGGAGCAGACACCGTTGGAGGTGCCTGTCCCCGGGCTGTCAAGCTTGCAAAGCTTGGGGACGTCTTCAGAGTGTGTGGGCACCATGATGGGGCAGCGGGGACTGTTTGGAGAGTAGACTGACTTAATGTCCAAAGAGAAAGAGCGTTTGAGCCTGTTAGTGTCCATGATCCTCTCTGCTGAGAGGTGCAGGCCGTTGAAGCCTTGCTGGAGGGAGGTGGGTGAGGGAAGCTTGGGCTCTGCAGGGATGTGAGGCTCTGGAACAGATGAATCATAGTTGCTGTGGTGGCCGTTCATCTCGAAACCTCCGTTCACCTCCGAGCTCTGCTTGGTGTTGTTTTCTGAGATCTTGTCGTCGGAGGTGGAAGTTAGAGCTTGCAGTAATCGCAGACCCTTTTCAAACTCCAGGAGCTGACCGAGGAAGTTGAAGTTTGGGGATATGGACGGTCTTCGGTCTTTAACAAACCTGAAATGATGAGAGAGCAGCATGAGGCGAAGGACTTACAGTAAATCACATGAGAAACACTGAGAATCTTTTTGAGATCAGAACAACCGCATTAATGTTGGTATGGAAAGTTTTAACGATGAACAATACAGCGACAGTGTTGTCCAACAAAGCCTTTTGTACACCCTCATATCCCTGGCAACCATCAAACAATCTAATTTCCCACGACTGGGGGGAGGTTGAGAAAATGATCTTGCATTTCTTTCAACAGTGGGTCTTCCTTTTGACTAAAGCTGACACCTTAGATCAGCTGGTGCTGGATGGGAGGAGGAAGCATACCTGTAGGCATCATCTGATGACAAGCCCATTGTCTTCATGATGTATGCGATGGCGATGGTTGCTGAACGCGAGATTCCAGCCAGGCAGTGCACAATGACTCTGCAGTTTGACACCTTAGCTTTGTCTGTTGAGGAGGGGGGGGAAATGAACAGGTATGAATACGTGACTTTAAGGCAAAGTCTCTGGAGACAATCAACATCTATTGAAAGCAATATGACATTTCCTGACACAACGCGGGGGGTCACCCGAACGGAAGTCTTCTACCTGATGCTATTGTCAGCTAAGCCGCACGTGAGCGTTTATCGACCCCAACAATGTGAGGATGTGATATATCAAATATCATGAAAACATAACTTGAGATGAATTCGCATCCCTAGAGAGACACTTCCTGATTGTCTGCTTTTTTCTGCTAATCTTGAGCTTCTGACAAATACATATGAGTTGGTCATACCTATGAATTCATTCGTTTTGTCCAGCCAGGGCAGTAGTTTCTCGCAGTAGTTGTCGTTGACTGGGATTCGCATAAAGTGGCTCTCACTGATGAAGTCTGGCTTGGGACAGGTGTTGCTAGCATTCAGCACATAGGTGATACCGTTCTGAGCCATCAGGTCCTGCAGAGACAGACAATAAAGATGTTTATTTTTATTTTTAAACCACTCAGTAAGAACAAACTTATTTCCTGGGGGATTTAAAGGATTCAAAACAAAATCTACCTTGTTGAGGACATCCTTCTGTGAGCCCAGGTAGAGGTGTGGCAGGATACGAGTGGGCCCTACATTAGCTACAGGCAAGCAGGGCTGGGACAAGCTCATAGGCAGAGCAGTGGCAGGTTTCCCTTCACACAGGCCAGGGAAGCAGGAGGAGAAAGCAGCAAAGCCTCCTGCAGGGACAGAAGAGAAGAAAAGAACCGGTTAGGTACACTAATCATTTCCTACAGAGCAAAGAACTAGACACACTGGGGACCCTGCAAAGACTCTAGTGAGCCCACCGGGAGTCTTGCACCCCCGTTGGCAGCGCAGTCAGACGCTCTAAAGGCTTTCAGAAGTGAATCTGGGCTACAATGTCTGGGTCCTGTTAGTGCAACAGAGGCAGAATAGAAGCCCTCTTTGCTTCTGTGTGAGACTTAGGTTAACTGCAGGCCGGCCAGGAATGTGTGTCTGGCCCTTTAAGAGGCAGGCGGCTCCACTTTTGGCATATGTGTGTGCGTGTGCGTGTGGCTCTGTTTCCTGCATGAGCTCATGTCCTGTAGCAGTGCATTGCGTCAGGGTGGGGGAATGAGAGAGGCCACAGGTGCAGGGCCAGGACAGAGGCCCAGTAACATCCCCCCGACAACCACACACACACACACACACACACACACACGCACGCAGTCACACAAACATTTTTCAGATGAAATGATCACGTATCTTGCAGCAACACATATGCTCAATACTCACTCTTGCTGTCTATGATTCCTTGGAGGCACTGTTTGCCCTCAATCCTGCACACACACACATACATACACAAAGACACACACACACACAAATGTCCACACTCATCATTACTCTGCAGTACCGCGGTTGTATAACTACAGGGTGGGGGCCAGCCAAAGGAGGGGGGTTAAAGTGTGTGTGTGTGTGTGTGTGTGTATGTGTTGAGGAGTGGGTAATGACCTCGCTAAGGAGTGTGTATCATTGAAGGGAGTGCTTCAAGGAAACCCTGAGCCCCACAAAGGAGATTAGAGCCTAATCTAGGTTCAGCCCTGCCTGACCCAATCTGGGACATAGTGCATGCACACATACACACACACACACACACACATATATGCACACACGGTCACAGAGTGAGAGTGAGTGAGACATGACATCACCAGTCCAAAGTAGCACACACAGCACAGTGCAGGCAGGACATTGCCTTCCATTGTAACACACACCCAGCTGTACTATTCATGTAGCAACGTCGCCAACACACACACACACACACACACACACACATAGAGACAAACAGACAGAGAGAGAGAGAGCTAACGGTGTCAGCAGACTGAACTGTGCGCTCAACAGATTTGAGATCGAGAAAGCTGCAGGATAAAGTTGAGCAAACTTTTAGAGAGAGAGAGAGAGCAGCTTTTGCCCCTGAGGTCGGCTGCATCCTTGTGACCAAATCTTTTTCTGGATGCGCTGTCCCTTTAAGACCAAAGTGAAGAAGGGCTGTCTGTTTCCAGCTATTAATGGCAACCAGCGGGGCAATGACATCAGCGCTCCACGTTGGGGGTGAAGTGGAGGGAAGGATAGATATGCAGCGAGAGTGATCAGATGACCTACAGGAGGAAATCAGGGAGAGACTGAAGATGAACGCGGCTATGCTAACATGTCCCTGTGATGTAGCCCTTTTCTTCACAGTTTGGCTCTAAAGTGCCGTTTCCAACCGGAGCTTCCTTCTAGTGATCTGATGGGCGGTGCTGCACTGTCACTAATTCATAAAACAGAGGGAGGAAGGGTTGTTCTTTGAGGGGTTTCTTCCTGGTTTCTTAGTTCCCAAGCTGCCTCTACACACACACACAAAGAAAATAAGTGGTGCTCCATATAGCCCCCCACCACCACAGACATATAAACTATATCTGTGTGAGGAAACAGTGTGTTCCTGGAGACTCTTAGATCAACAGGAAAAGCCTCACGTCACACACAAACCATTTCCCTTTCTATGTGAGGACATTGTTGGAGAGTTGTTAGAAGGACAGAAGACAGGACGTTCCACAGTGGAGACAGAGTTTGTGTAAGTGTGTGTGTGTGTTTAACCCTGTAGAGAAAGTAAGTGAGAAGGGAAGTGACCACATGAATGAAAACATACTTCTAAAAATACTCTGGTTGTTTGATCTTCTGCGTGTGTCTGGATAAATAATTACAGCCCTGATTACTGTAGGTGACCTCATTTGGCGTTAAATAAACATGGAAACGGCGGCAAGACTGGCGGACAGAGTGAGTAAGGGGTTACTGGCATGACAAGAGACCAAAGTCAGAGATAAGAGGGCAGGACTCAGTGTGTCTGCCTGCTTTTTAAGGCTATTACATTACAGCCACATGACGTCAACGCGATTACAAACACCTTCCATGCAGTCAAAGCGTTACACTGACGGCACTAATGGACCTTAGTCACACGCAAAAGATAACATGCTATTGTCACTTTGTCGCCTGACTTTCAACCACTTAAGGTTGCCTTGACGACCGTGAGGAAGGCCAGTGCTGTTGGTTATCAAGAATGGAATAAACCAAGTACATGAAGGCGCGGACACACAACTTGAAGGGACGTGGCCTCATTTTATCCAAAAGACAAGGATGACACATCCGTCCATTCCGATCTAAGCACACAAGAGAAGATACATATAAACACACGGTACACTCAGACTGAGGTCACTGAAATACCCCGTGACACACACACACACACACACCAGCCCAGCTGTCTTTGAAGATGACATCAGAGAGTCAACAGGGAGAGATGAGTTCACCGTCACACAACATGATAATCTGAAGAGGCTCAACAGGCCCTGCATGACATACCCAACACTGATATTTATCAAGGCTTCATGCTTGTTGTAGGTAAAAGCAAACTCCACAGTTTCATTTCACCATGAACAGAAAAACACACTTTCAGCAAAGAAAATCCCTCTGTGAGGTGAGATCACCAACCACAAAAATACCCTTCAACTATTTTCATTTCCAGTTGACTCCATCATCACCTTTTGCACAGCTCTCTACCTCATGTATCGCAAACTTTTGGAAAAATCGACTTGGACGGGAAGTGACTAACCCAATTCTGAACACATGTAAAAAAAAAATACAAAGTAGAAAAAGAGAAGGCTTGGTTGGGAAGAAAACACACACAGCCGGGAAAGAGGGCACTGTGTCGCCATCGGCAGCGCTCGCCAGCGGTGACTTCCTTTTTCCGTTTTCCTCTGCCCACTCCATCACTTATGCAACTGCTTTTTTTCCCCCCTTCTCTCTCTCTCTCTCTCTCTCTCTTGCCCTGTCAGAGTCGAGCACTCAGGCCTCTTTTGTCTGCTGGTTGTGGCGTTTTTTTAAACTTGACACATTTTGACGTAAAGATTGCGCTTTGAGCGTTGAGTTATCTGGTCCGATTCTGTCTTTTTAGAGTAAACTGATGCAGAGAACGGAGAGATGAATGGAAGAGGAATCCCGGAGATATTGACTGGGTGAGCAGAGACACACAACACCTGCCTGGCTCTGTTCTGGTTAATGGGGAGCTCTGCTGTTACATCACTGTTGCTGGTACAATTGACTGCCTCGTCAATACAAGCCCCCCCTCCTCTTCACTCTTGTCTGTGTGTGTGCAGCTTTCAGTTGCCCTCTTTAACTTGTCTGTTAATAGAGAGGAGATGCACACACACACACACAGACACAAAAACAGGCGTGTAAAACCACACACACACACACACACAGAGCCTGGAGGCATTGATCTGCCTGAATGAGCAGTCTGCACCCCTCAATCACTCCCACCATCACAGTCCTCTGTGGTTCATATCGGGAGAGACATGACGCCATCCTCAGTGCCCCTCCAGCTGTCCCCTCTACTTTGAGGGGGACATTAGCATCTCAATGTGAATCCCCCCCCTCCCTCCCTCGCCCCCTATCCCTCACCCCTCAAACATGACATCATTGCACACGTCTCCCTCAGATCCACAAAGGCTGTGCTGCAGCATGGAGGAGCAGTGTGAGTGTGTGTGTGTGTATGTGTTAGAGAGCAGGCCACATCTGTCAGAAATGTGTAGACTGACAGAACAATGATGATCTAGTGGGATGAGGTCATCGCTTTTCATGCAAGGCTTGAGGTTTATGACTATGATTAACACGTCATCCTGGCTGATGGTGAAACTGTTTATTGTTCCTTTATCTCAGTGGAAAGATAGGGGAAGAGGGGGGGATCAAAAGCTGTTTCAGCAGTACTGTGTTAGTGCAATAAAGGACTATAAACCCTCCTGTAATTAGCGCGCTTTCACAAGCCTTTTTCCACAGAGACGTGTTAAAGTGACTGGAAATAACCTGTGATGGACACACTTCTATTTTCAACCTACTGACATCAAAGGTGTGATTTTTTCTTTTACCGCGACAGCTCGTGTGTTTGACAGATCCAGAAGAACAACCCGGTGAACACGCACATGTGCACACACAAAGAAACACACCTGACAGTGTGAAGTGTGGCAGCAGGTGTTCAAGGCTGCTGTGCAAACTGCTGTTTGAACCAGCTCCCTGATGAGCTTCATTGTGTGTACGTTGAACTTTGCACACAAAATGTACACGCTGAAGTTTTCATTCATTCATTCACGGCACAAAAGATTCAACTTGAACACTGATGAATGCATGAATGAAAAGATTGTAATATCTAAGTGTGCTGCTTTAAAAAAAAAGAAACAGATTTTCAGCAGAGCAGCCTGAGCCCTGCATTGCCTCATCTCTCTGTGTGAAAGGTGTTATGTTAAACACCTGCAGTGCACACTGCACACATATTGATAACACAATCTCCACAAGACCTCTTTCTGCAGAGTGAGGGAGTGAGCAGGAGTGAGAGAAAAGCCAAGAGCAGAGAAGAAGAAAGAGAAACAGAAAGAGCCTTTGTGATAGTTTTACATCTCAATGACCACAGGCTGAGAGAGCATGAGCACTATGTCATACCGCGGGTCATGGCTCTCATTCTTCCACCCCTGAGCCCTTTTTTCTCGCTTTTCTTTCCTCTTCATTGCTCCTCGTCTCCATAATGTCATCCTCTTAATCCCTCTTCTTCCCTGACTGTGTCTCTAAACACATTAACTGCGCAAACAGAAAGGTGGGAAAACAATCGGCGTGTTTGGCAGGGTACAACCGAAGACGTATTTGATAGCCTGTTGTAGCTGAGAATCTCAGTATTGATCTGATGCAAGTCTTTAACATTCGATTCACATCCACCGTTCATTTGCAGCATGCCTGGACTGGAATCCTTCAACACCTGAGAGCCAACTATGCTTTGATAATCATCTGCAGTGCATAAACGAACATCATTTTAAAGTGTGGATAAGAGTGATGCATTTCAACGCCAAATACTCAGCAGCTATACATCAGAATAGATCATACTCCAAGTTCTTCACAACAGTGTCACATCGGCACACAAAGGCCTACATTCTCAATATGGTGCACTCCAGAAAGGAGTGTTTCAAAACCTTCAATAACTTGCACACACACATACACACACACAACCAACTCTCCTGCTCCCAATCCAGGTGGATACACACCTCGCAGCTCTCTCCCCTCCTTCATCCGGCGGACTCTGATCTTCAGCCTCATGTCTGTGTCCTGCAGGTCCGGCCAGAAACAGTCCTCCACTGGGGCGATCACCACATCCAGAGGCATCCCCCAGAACCCTCTCTGGCTCACTCACACACTCAGTCAGTCAGTCAGTCACAGATGAAAATGTTCAGATGCTCCTTCTTCAGGGATGGAGCGAGCCCTGACCACAAAAAATGTGTTCTTCTTCTTTCAGGGCTGATAAAGGCACACTGATTGTAAGTATTCCAAGTGGACCAAAATTTCTGCTGCTGCACAAGTCCACTCAAGTCAGGTCAGCTGTTCCTGTGTCCAGGTGATGTTCCTCAGGGACCAGACCTAGTACCAAAGAAAGCTAGTCCAGGATGTGGGCAGTAGGCTTTAATCCAATGCAATGACAGAAAATCCTGACCTGTTCCTTTAAAGACTCTGTGGTTCTGTAGAGAGTTGTCTCTGACAGAGAGAGCCCAGATCTAACTGATTCGGGTGGTCCAGCTGTAGTCTGCCTGCAGCTGGTCCAGTGTCTCTCTCTGACCGCTCTCTCTGTCTCTGTGAGTCCACAGCTAGAAGAGCAGCCCACTATTGTTGTGCCGCTCTGCTCTCCCCGTCTCTCATTCGCTCAGTCGCTGGTTTACACTCCTCCCTCTCGCTCCCTCCTCCCCTCTCCTTTTTCTCTCTGTCTCTCGCTCTGCAAAAGAGGATGACGGAGCTACACTCTCTTCTCCAGCTCTGGGGGTGAATGAGCTCACTTGCCGTGAGCTCAGACTCTACCCTCCCTCTCCCTCCTTCCCTCCCTCCCTCCCTCCTCCACTACCTCCCTTGCTCCCGCCCTCTCTTGTGGAGCCAGAGCTCCGTCATAGCTAATGTCTGAGGCATGTAACCACATTCCTTACTCACCCAGCAAATATGCGGCCACCTCAGGGGCCTAGCTGTACAGCAGCAGGCCTCTATCGGAGAAGGATGGAGGCGAAGACACAGCTATCAGGGTGGTTAGCAGAAACATACACACGCCGCTGCAAGACTGAATGGATTCTCTGTTACTTATTACAGGGAAATGTTTGGCTTGTAAAAGAGGCCATTGTTGTCATGCATGACGTTGGGTTTCCTAATACGAGAGATGATGCGTGGATTTTTGCTGAGGGTTAGCTTGACACGTTCAAATCTTCCAAGTCCATGAGATGTCATTGCTTTATCTCCAAACTCAATCTAAATTTCATACCAAATGCCGTCTTCAATAACTCAAGTCCTTCACTTTAAGGGAAGCCCAACATGATATCAGAAAGCAGCTAAATAACCAAGAAGCTGATTAACTTCATGAGGTTGATAGCCTTAAGTGTACTGTAGCTGCACAGCGCAGGGAGGATTAAGAGCGTGTCACCGTGATGAAAGCTGATTTATCTCCTACAGTGAGGGAATGTGTGACTGACTTCACTGTGTTTCCTGTGCTGCTAAATGTGAACCCCACCTCCGTCTGAACACTCTTCTCTCTTGTTCGAAGGAAAAAATGGTAGAAAAGAGGAGCAGAGAGAGAAAAACTAAAGCAGAAAAAATAGGAAGAGGAGACAAGGGGTGATGAGAAGACCAAATAAGCTTGTGGTCGGCAGCCATCATCCTTTTGACAGGCCGCAGACTCCTGGTACTTTACTATGGAATGACAAACATGTAGGCCACAAGTCCAGCTATGGAAACAAAGCTGAGCAAGACTTGATATAACCACAGGGAGAGACTGAAGGTTGGATCAAAGTTTGCTAATCAGTGAGAAAGTACAGCTGCTTTCTTGAACCTCGAAACACAAACTTTGGCTCTTTAACACGACATGATTGTTCAGTGTAGCTGCTGTTCTCCTTTGTTAGGGAAAGACAGGACCGATTTCCACCTGCTGTCAGTGAGGCCGCTGAACTGTCCTGTCCTGTCTGACTGTCTGTTCATTCTCAGGTTGAGACATCATGGTACGCTGATCACATTCAAAGCGGGTCAGATGGGCCTCTAATGCATTAAGTCATCACCCAGTTTCATAAAAAAAAAGGCAAATACGCTTATACAAGATGTGTAGTGAAGGGGCCAGCTGCATGCTGAATGACTGAGCTCATCTCATCACTGCAGACCCCCTGAATGATCGCACACGGGTGAGAACAGCCTTACGTCACCCTCTGTTCAATCACGGGTCAGGGGGAGTGAGGGAGAGGAAATGGGTCACTTGGTGATGATGATTGTTGACAAAAATGCAGACAGACACCAGCTTTAGAGGGATGATCAAGTGAAGAACAAGCACACACGCACTTAGACCTGTGTGTGCACACACTTACACCCCCCCTCACCTGCAGCTGCTTTGGACAGGTGTGGCACACCACAGTGGTGGAATTGGGTCACTACAACTCAAACAAACCTCTGATCCACACCTCTGTTTGCTTTTTTCTCCGTTGGTGTGGCTTGAAGCCATAAAAAAAACCCTTCTTTTAAAACACAGGACTTCCCAGCACCTGCAGACCAACAGTGGTTAGAGCCAGCAACAACACAACAAGTATCCGCTCGTGTTCTAACGGTCAGCAAACACAGCCCACACCCTCTCTCTCTGTAAACCCCCTACTCCTCTCCTCCTCCTCCTCCTCCTCCTCGGCAGGGTAACAAGGCTCAGAATAGCAGGTGCGTTAATTAGAGGATCACAGCCAAGACACTATAAGTGACAGTCAGGCCGATTTTATTGACGGCACATGTGTGCTCTGCAGGGACAGAAATAGGTAGGACGGTCACTCTGGGCACCCCCCACCCGCACCCCTCCTCTGACATCTCTTAGATTTAAAGGCATGCTTTTATGGTGGAGGGCTTGTTGCCCAGACAACACTCAGTGTACATTCACATACACACACGTAGGGAGCAGCCAAAACAGACAGTAAGAAGAGGAGATGAGTGTATGAGAGAGGAGCACAAGACCGACACAGAGAGGTGTTTAAAGGCCAAAGGGGCTTAGAGACTCGATCAACATGCTGCACTGGAAACAACAAGGTGTAATGAGAATAGTTCAAACATCCTAACATGTAAGATGAAGACATGAGAGACCTCCTCCCTGGTTAATCGAGTTTTATGTGAACACAGCGTGCACTTTAGACATAAACAGAGAGGTGTAATCTGGATGTCTTCACTCTTGACACTTTTACACAAAACCTCAAATTTTCTTACCTGCTGCACTGAAAATGTTCTTTAAAATCAAATTCTGAACATAAATAACATAATTTCATTTTCTATCATAGATTTTTTTGTCCTGTAAAAGGAATTCAAGTGACTCTTCCAGAAAGTTCCAGATTTTCTTTTCACATATTTTCTGTCTTACTTTGAATAAATAACATGATTGACTTACAGACTTTTAGATTCTTGGATTTACTTCCTTTTTAAGAAACATTTATTTTCTTTAATTAATTCATATCAATGCAAGTTATCTTGTGTCATAATGCTGCACACTGTGTGCAAACTATTTTTACTTTGGTTATGACTCAAGATATTGACCTATGCACATCTATGAAAGCATATTTCTAAAAACAGAAACACCCTTTCAATGTTTGTTGAAATCGACTTGATATGATTCAGTCAACGAGTTACATCATGATCTGGATCAAATATTCTTCATTGAATATGTTTTGTCTGCACCTGTCCTGCTTCCCTTGCCGGTGAGACAGGCACTGACAGGAGTGTCATCCTACACCACAGATCATCTGTCAGGATATCATGGGAAAAAGAGACGTCATTTTCCGGATAGGGCAGGTGAGGGTGATGAAGAAAGACTGTGAGTTAATGTATGTCTGAGTTCATCTCTTAATGTGTGTGTGTGTGTGTGTGTGTGTGTGTGTGTGTGTGTGTGTGTGTGTGTGTGTGTGTGTGCTGAATGTGTTCTACCAAGAGTGTGGAGGAAGAACAGATCAAGGTGAGAGGAAGACAGAGAGGACATTGCTGCACGGGTGAGGGACAGGGTGGACAGTTATTGGCTCAGATATGTGTAAACACAAGCATATGTGCTTGTGCACAAGTGTGTGTGTGTGTGTGTGTGTGTGTGTGTGTGTGTGTGTGTGTGTGTGTGTGTGTTGATAGTGCTGGTTGTCAGGGGATCAGTAACAAGACTGCTCTTGCAGTGATGTAATGCCTACAGGAGAACACAGCTGCCATGCCTTGGGGTTGAGGTAGTCACCAAGGGAGGAGAGAGGGGTGGATGGATGGAGTAACTGAGGGTGGGGGAGGTAGTTGGGAAGATAAGGTGTGTGTGTGTGTGTGTGTGTGTGTGTGTGTGTGTGTGTGTGTGTGTGTGCGCGCGTGTGCATGTGTGTTGGGCAGGGGGTGGTAAGGTGGCTGGAGATGCTGAAAATAATTGAGAGGGGTGGGGGATGTTTGTATCCATAGGGGGATGCTAGCTCAAATGATGTGTTTATACTGCAATGAGACATTAGTGGTGCAGTGGGTCATGGTGTGTGCATGTGTGTGGAAGTGTCAGAGTTGCGAAATCCAACCTCTACTGCTTTTCAAACTTGACCTAAATATGTAATTCTTAAGACAGCAGCCATAAACTAATGATGAATTCATCATTCAGTCAGGAATCAAAAGTCTTGTGTATATACTGTATATATATATATATTAGGTAAGTATTGTCTACTTTTCAAATGTCAGAAAATTCAATGACATCACTGTTTTGAGGACAATGATAATGTCAGCGATAAAGCCTGAAGGGGGTGAATATGTTGCCAGAATAAGAGAAAAGATGTAGATGTAAAGAGCAGGCATGTAAAGAGCACATCTCTGTTGTGTTCTCTTGCATGAAGCAGAACATCTCGATCTGTGCACACAGAGTGGGGGTGGGTGGTGGTGGTGGTGGGGGAGTGCTTGTATCAGCCTTGCTGCAGACCCCCTGCCCTCCAAACAACTCAACCCCCTGGAGGAGCTCACTACTCCAGGCTACTGCACCAGTAAATCCCTCGTTCTAGCTAGAAATTAGTTAACACACACACACACACGTATATACACAACCCACACACACAAGAAAAGGGTAAGGTATCAAACACATCAAGGGGGGCTTTTAGAACCAGACGGGCTCTCATAAACCAGATGAACTACTTAAAAATCCCAGTAGGAGATGCTCATTGACGTGTGCGTTTGAGAGTTGTGTCTATGTGCATTTGTGTGTGTAGAAAGAGGAGCACTGTGAAACCTCAATATGGAATTAAGGCTTACAGTGCTTACAGTCTCTCTGCATGCATATAGAAGGACTGTGCGTTCACGTGTGAGTGTCAATGAATGTTCATCAATAAGGACTAAACATGTACACGTCAGGTTTAAGGAATGAAAAGATTGAGGATTGTGTGTGTGTGTGTGTGTGCATTGCTCGTGTCTGATTTCCCAGGAGGTGAGTTTGTCTAAACAGGTTCACTTGAGCACTACAGATGGATATTTCATTCTAAATGCTAATGCGCTGAGCAGGTATGCACAGGGTTTCCTGCAGGCCTTGAAGGTAATCACACACACAGATGTAACAGCACTCTTCTGTCTGTTTCTGTAATGTGGAGCACGCTTACATAAACACACACACACACACACACACACACACACACACACACACACACACACACACACACACACACACACACACACACACACACGCACGCACACGCACAAGGTGGCAGTGTAATAACTGCTGCTCAGACAGAGAGAAGCTGGCAGCAGATCCGTTTGTTTTTAATTAGCTGGTACTGCGACAGCGACATGCAGATAGACAGGCAGGTTTTAGATCAGTCCAGTGTTAATGAGCTTCTATCAGCGCAGCAGGCAGGCCGACGAACTCACTGTCCTGACACCAGGGCTGGAGACCGTGCCATCTGTTTCACACACACATGACTTCTTTGTGTTAAAAAGCATCATGTCTACCTGTCTCACCACAAGCTAAGATAGTCTCAGAGGGAAACAGGTCATCTGTCTATGACCAGTTTCCACAAAAATTCTTTTACATAAAACTGGGATTATCTCATCAGCACATGTGTGCATGACTCATGGCACAATGAAAGGCATGGCGTATGAAAAACTGTGCATGAAGGGAAAAAGTTACAGTCCAATCCATTTTTTCCTGAATCGGGGTAGAAAACTCTTCAGATGTTCCAGAGAAATCAAACAATACAACAATTTCTTTTACATGTTTTAGAAAAAGAAGCTGTAGATGTAATACAATATAATAAATGAGCACATTACAGAACAATAAACCACTCAGCGGGCCCTCACACACGCACACACACACACAGACATGCAGCTGAACTAAGGCGTTACACCCCGGAGACTGTATTTGGGCGTACAGGACGTGGTGACAACAGCGGCTATCGCAACACCCGGGTTAAGGGTTGGTTTTCCTGCCATTACAGGCCCCGGAGACAGTGTGGAAGTGTGTGTGTGTGTGTGTGTGAATGTGTCATATCCACAACGCTGCAGTGACATCACTCCATCAGCTCCAGAAGAACAATAGAGAAAGCATGACGCAATGCCAAGAGAGGAACTGGGCAAGCTGTCTCAACTCGCACCCTGCCAACGCCTTAATGATGCCTCTGAAGTGTGTGTGAGGCTAATGATTTAGTTTCATTTTGCACACTAAAGACTAATACTTGAATATATATATATATGTATTTACATGCTGAGTTCTCAAGGCGTCTCCCTCTTTCACCCTGGGGAGCCCTGATGTCACTTTATCAGAAACAGGAAATAGTTGCACAACAGAAAAGGAAGTGGCCTCTCAGTAGACCGCCTTCATCTGTGTTTGTTTGGTGTGTTTGTGTTTGTGTATGCGTAAGAGCGGGGGGAGTTATCAGCAGGACTCGGAATGGTCACAAACTGCTGCATTCCTCAATCTTGGGCCTGTCTGCAACCCCAAAATTAGCCTGTTGCCATGGCAATGGAAAAATCTCCCGCAGGAGATCAGGAGGCAGCAGCAGCAGCTCCAGAGGTTTGGTGCAAAAGTTTGTGTGTGGTCAGCACGTATTTACAGTAATAAGCCCTCTGGTACACGTCTGTGTACATACCAGGAAAAGTGTCAAACCACTGAGAAGTTAAACTCTCGACTCTGCTACAAACAACCAGTCCGTTCATGTTCCAATGAGCCGGGAAAGGAAAATCTTTTTTTGGAGATAATCAGCAAACTGCGTATTAAAATAGTTCCTCATACTAACACACTTTGAATAGCCAAGAAATGGAATCCTGTCCAAATCGTGGAGGTGTGATCTAAATCTGTTTTTTAAGGAATGTAAAAAAAAAAAAACATGGCAAGCAATTGGGTAAATAAGGAAGCAGTGCTTCAGCATACCAGAGATAAAGTGCATCAAAGCAAACGGTGATAAACAGGAATCCACCATTGTTCCAGGGAATGACGTTACGACAAGAACGGCAGTGGGCAGTCCGAGCATGAATGGAATCTGGTGGATGCAGGCCAGCTGGGGGTCGGATAAACTAGCATCATTTCTAGCCACTCCTTTCCCTTTTCTTGTGTCTTTGGAAATTTCCATTCCACATGTGTGTCAGCCATCAGGATAAAAAAAGTCTGGCAGTAAACTGATGGCGCAGCAACCAAACTTTGGCGAATTGGCCCTATTTCACGGTGAGGTTGGAGTTATGAGGTGCTGATGGGGGCGTAGCACGGAGAAAACCAGCGTACTGTTCAGCTTCAGCTCCTGTTGACCTGATGTGTTGACACTGCCTAGGTAACAGTTTAAACAAACTATTTTTATTCCATGCTGGATAAATGTATGACAGGGACGGGCTGGGATGTTCAAAAGGCCTCTGGATAGAAATGAAATGCAACAGGAGCCAAGAGGTATGCACTGTGAATGGATACTGTATACACAAAGCAGCCTAAACAACTATGGTATAAGTATTTAGGGCACTGTGGTACAAACACTGTCCCACAAGATCTCTACTTACAATAAAGCAGGAAAATTACATTATGTTAAATTCACCAAAGACTGCATTGGTGTACTGTATGTTCATTTTCTTTATAAAAGCGTAAACACATTGCATGTCAATGTTTGCATGACTTACCAGATCATACTTACTTCATGAGATTAGACTTTTATCTGAATGTGGGCTACCTTCATAAATGGAAACATGCTATGCAAAATGATCAAGTTGCAACCTTATGCAACATAACTAAGACTTGCTGTTCTCCCCTTAGAGAGATCATTAAGTAACCGTGAAATACTACCTTGTCAAAATGTAAATAATAGTTCCTTTTTGATCCTGCTATAGCTAGAAATTCATCAAAATATTTGACTTTGCTTTAAGGTACATCTAAGTTTAAAGATCACCAATGTGGGATTATACAAGCATCACCATTTCATAGCTTTATTCAAACTTTTGGAGTATATGCACATCTCCTTTAGGTTAACATGACTCCTGCTTTCCTTGCATGCAAGATTACATACATGACTGTGTTACATGTGTGTGTGTGTTCGTATGTATGTGTGTGTTTGTATGTATGTGTGTGTGTGCCCCTTCCCTTCCAGCAAGGGACTCTGAGTGATGAAGGAGAAAGGGGAAGAGGAGCAGGAGGCTAGCAGAGCAGTCAGATCACGTCATGGTGGAAACATTTGGCCAGGGCTCACATAAACACACACACACACACACACACACACACACACACACACACACACACACACACACACACACACACACACACACACACACTGGCCTGTTTTTGTTCTCCTGTTTTGAGGGAAAGAAGGGGAAAATGACATCAAGCTCATCATGTGAGGCCAATGAGACGGACGAGGGAGGGAGGGAGGGAGGGAGGGGGTGAGAACACTGGCAGAAACAGAACATTGTTACATAAAACTCAACTCTGCACAGGCCTCTTCTGGGCCCGGTTACCATATTATGTGTGTGTGAGAGTCTGACCATATGTGCATGCGTTTGCTCGCTTACAGGGATGTGTTAGAGTGAAGCACTTTGCACAAGACCTCTTTAAGGTGTGAGCTTTAAAAAGAAGCCCATTACAACATACCTGCAAAGTGACTGTTAGCAGAAAACAGAGAGCATTATGTCACACATGTGCAGCTCCTGAGTCTGCAGCACCTTCTCAAAGCACAAGAGGTGATGTCATGGATATTTTTGTAGGCCATTTTCTTTGACCTTTGTGCTCTCTTGGGGCAGGCTGGGGTGGGGCTGACATATATGTGTGTGTGTGTGTGTGTATATGCCCCCGTGTGTTTGTGTATCTACAGGCCAGGGTGAGAGCATCGAGGCCACTGGCGCCAGATGTGACGACCGCAGGAGTCTGGGCCTAAAAATAGAGCTCTGTTCTCAGCACTGTGAACAGAAGAGAGGGAGGTTAGGAGGAGGGTAAAGGAGAGAAGATTGACAGAGGGAAGGTAAAAGGATTGAGGGAGAGATGGAAGGAGGGATGGAGAGGAAGGCGAGGTCATTGAGAATAATGTGTCAGATCTCCCCGGGGAAGGTGAGCTCACCTCCTAATGGCACCGCTGGCTCCTTCTCAATGAAATCATTGATCTGTTAGAGCTCCCCACGGCGTAATGGAGAGGAGGGGGAGAAAGGGGCAAGAAGGTGCAGAGAAGGCAGGTTAGGAGGTTAAGAGAGGGGGGTGATGGGGGAGGTGGAGAGAGGAAAGATGTGGGACAGAGGAAGGGGGGAGCACAGACCTCAGGCACGTAAGGAATGAGCGACCTCTTTGACCTGCGCTGCAGCCAATCACAACACACCTGGAGGCACCAGGTGTGATATAGATGTTGACTTCATACTGTAGCTCCAGAAGAGTCTTGAGATGATGCTGTTGACAGCACCCTCAGAAGTGAACACATTTTATGTTCCATGAAAAAGAGCAGAGCCATAATGATGCAATCATTTTGTTCGTCATCACACAAAATTAGTGGTCGGTGCTTGAGGTGTCATCTTGTGTCTTCAGGCAGGTGTGCTTACATGTGTGTGTGTTTGTGCTGGCAGAGACTCTGGTGGCTGGCACAGAGGATGTGGAGAATTCCTGCTGGGCTCAAGAAGGAGGAGAAGAAACCATAAAGAAGGACTTTCAGCTCGTGGAGACTGATGAATTCAGCACAGGTCAGCATGAAGGCCTGTCTCATTGAATGAGATCATGACCACACACACGCACACACACTCTGACTGGCACACACATCAATGCACACACACACACACTCAAACGTACACACTGGACCTTCATGAAGACCCACACTCACTCGGGATGAAATGAGAAGTATTACCTCATCTCCTCAAAAGCTCTCCCCTCCTTCTGTTTTGTCTTTTTCTTTTTCTCACACGTGCACGCTAGGACATTGCCTCATGCTCGTGCACGCACTACTTCATATGCACATATTCATGTGGATGTGCACACTTGCACAAACACACGTACACACACACTGACACAAACAGCCCTCCTTATGTAGCTCATTGGAATGCCTCTGTGAACGGCTGCATTGTAGGATCAGGCCTCCCACGATTACCTCACTTTTAGAGCTGCTCTCTGATGATCGCACAAACACGCACGCACACGCACACACGCACGCACACACACACGCACACACGCACACACACACACACACACACACACACAGGAGCCGCCGCCCCATTGTATAACTGCACAGAAGAATGACACATAACTGAGTTGACCTTTGTACCTCTGTCTGTGTGTCACACCCTAACCTGATCTCATCAAAGCCTCCAGCTATACAGCAGCTCCTGTGTGCGTGTGTGTGTGTGTGTATGTGTGTTTTTAGAGAGAAAGAAAGAGAGAGCGAGCAAAAAGAAAATAAGAGAGGGGCACCTTTTCATCCGCTAATACCTCTCATCAGTGTGTCATCACCATGTCTCGTCCTGTGTGTTTTTGCATTGAGCTGGCAGGTTGACAGCGTGGGAGTCTGCAGGCTAACCTCTGATGCTAAAACAGTCCCTGTTTCCTACTGTGTGCTGTCATGTATTTACGCTGCGTTCCAGTTACCTCGGAAGTCTGATGTCGGAGCTGGGAATGATGTCACACCCGCGTTGACGGTGTTAACAAGTCGGAAAACCAAGATGGACGCCTACTGATAGCCGTTGTTAGCTGTTGTTCACAATTGTCAGCTGTTGTTAGCCGTTGTCAGTTGTTGTTAGCTTTTGTTAGCTGTTGTTTGTAGGTGTTAGCTATACCTGTTGTAAACAATGCAAAATAAAGTTTTTTACTCTACAAACACCATGCACCATGTTCACAGTTAGACGTTGGGCGGTAGAACATAAACCACTTATTTAATTTCACAAAAACAGAAGTGCTCATAAATGATACATTACGAGAGCTTTTACTGTTACTCTTTACTGTTAATGCACTGTGCTGCCATCTTGGATTATGACGTTGTCGTCAAGTCATCTGACTTTATGAGTCGGAAATCCATCTTCAGGGGGGAGTTCCAGATGAATTTCTGACTTGGAGCTTGGAAATCCCGACTTCTGAGTACAACTGGAACGCAGCATACATGCAGGGAGTAACAACAATTATTCAGTCTAAATGAAAATCTTGAAAACAGTGTTAAATCTTGCAAACTTAAGCCCATTTTCATGAAGCTGATCCATTGGCGCAGCCTTTCCTAACAGTAACATAATTGTTTGGAAGTTACGGTTAAATAGTCCTCAGAGGTCAGGTTCTCGTTACCCTAGGTGTCTCCCCTGTGCAGAGTATTAAGAGCTGCCCGGCACGTGCCCTGCTCTTCCCTCTCTCATTTCCTCCTGTGGCCCTTTTCTCTCCGTTTACTCCCTCTCTTTGACCAGTGTGCCCTTTGACCCCAAGCCATTGATTATTTAGTAAACAAGAGAAACACAAGAAGAGTCAACATTTGTTTTCCTTTTTGGATCAATAAACCCAAATCCGGCTTGTGTAATATGCCGTTCATTCCAGCATGCAGCCTATCTGCCAAATCTTTCCCCAAATCAAATTCTCCCAAGGAAAGCTTTAATATTTCGCTTTGAAATATGAAAAATATAATCCCACTTTAAATATGTGTGCCTCCCTCAACAAGACTGTGCCCTAATCTTCGCTTGGCAACCGTCTGCACAAGTAACAGTTAAGGCAGAAAATCCTCTTTCCCCCAGACATCAGGCTCAGTAATTAGACTTTTATTCACCCTGTCTATCCCTTTTATGGGTTCTTCTTCTTCTTCTTCTTCATTTCATCTCTCTTATCTGAACCCTCCCGCCCACATTACCCCCTTCATTTGATTTGCAACGGTGTAACACTGTGTTCAGTGTGTGCGTTTGTGTGTGTGGTCTGCATACTGCACGTGAGGCTGAAAATAATTCACCGGTCAGATATGAAGTCATCGCTGAATTTATAGGCATGATATATCAGGAGTTCAGTGGACGGGCAGTAGAGGAGGGGAAGAGGGAGAGCACAGAGTGAAGAGGGAGAGCATAAATAAAGAGAGACAAAGAGGAGCAGAGGAGGGAGAGGAGGATTACACCTTTCATTTGCAAGAATGTGAGAGGGAAGAAAAGACGAGCGCAGAAAATAACAAGAGGAAGGAGCCACTGATGACGACATCCAACTACTTGTTTTGTTCGGCTCGTAAAAAACTCCTAAATCCATGTATACATTGTGTCCTTACTGCGTTAGAAGAAAAAGAAAAGCAGCAGATCTTAAGTTTGAAAGGATGGGAGTCAAGACCTTCTCAGCTTTCTGTTTCAGAGGTTAAAACGGCTCCAAAGGGTCATTCTTATGTGCTTCAGGTGTCTGATGTGTGAGGAGTCCAACAGCTTGACCCCCAACCTTTGAACTCAAAGCGTGCTTGTATCTCTACAGCATCCAGACTGGTATTGTCCTTTGTTTGCTTGTTAACCCACAAATAAACACACAAACACACTCCTGTTTTGTACGACAGGAGGCACTACAGAGAGACTTTGCCTAGTTAGAAACACAGACGGTACAAAAAACAAAAAACGCATTTGGTCACTTCAGTGAATGATTTTTCAAGCGGTGTTTCCCTATCCTCGTCTGTTATTCCATCTCTCTTATGAAACCCTGCAGCTTCCTCTGGTGCACACTCACACGCACACTCACACTCACACTCACACTCACACACATACACACGCTGATCCTGCAGCACTCGTCCTCATGTTAAAATACCAGCATGTACCCATGTTTATATGCAGCATCCCTCTGCATGTATACACACATAAACATCAAGTATGCACAGACACAGGCTGCTAGCTCCACTGACCCCAAAAATACAGCCATACAAACAACAACCAATGCCATTGGCTGAATCCTTCTGGGTAATATTCTCTGCCTCTGTTGTCGTGGAAACAGCAGAGAAGCAGTGGGGACAGAAATGGTAGAAGTGAGACTTTTCTCTTTTTTTCCCTCTCTTGTAGAAATTCATAAAGAGAGAGAGAGCTGAGGAGGAGACTGATAAAGAGGTAGAGGAGGGAGCTGCTGACAGAGGGTCTTTGAGAAAGGGTATGATGTATGATCGGAAAAGCTGAGGAGGAAAATCCAAGCTTTGTGTGTGTGTGAAATCAAACATCGGCGTGTGTGTGCACATAGTATATGTGGGTGTTCCCGGGCTAAGCATGTTCTCCGTACATCTCTGCAACTGTGACTAATTGTGGGGACTGGGTGCTTTGAGGCAATCCTCAGCAACTATGAATGACTCATGAAAAAAAAAAAAAAAAAAAAAAGCAGTTTTCTCCATTGAGGGCAGAGAGGGAAAGAGCTGAGAGGAAAAAGACCGGGGATAAGGAGAAGATGTTGAGAAGGGAGTGGAGGTTTAACTGTGTTCCTCTGCCGTCCCACTCCCAATCCTGACTGAGGCAGATTACGTTCCTCTTTCTGTGCTGACACATTTGGGACGAATTCATAAGCCTCTGCGGGTGGATGTGCGCATAATGTCGCCTGTTAAAAAGCTGCAGCCACCGCAAACGAGAGGTTATTAACTCAACGAGGCTATTAACAGTCTTGCTGGAGCTCAATTATAAGTCTTAGTGTGCTTAGTGGACACTATGACAGGATAATAACTGTGGTAAATAAGGCCAAGAGATTGAAGTTAAGCTTCAGCTTTATTCAGAGATGCTGGGTGGGAGAGCGAGAGGGGCTTAAACATCAAAGAGTCATCAGAGAGAGGGGCTTTGTAGTCAGGCAGCATGGGTTTAGACTTACTCCTCTCTTTTCTATCTGCACAAACCTGCAAAGGTCTGAGAACTACCGGTTTAAAAAAAATGAGGAACAACTCGTCCAATGTAACAAAAGAGTTGTTGTGCTCACTGGTGACATCTGCTGATGAAAGGGTGCAACTACAAACTATTACAGGTTAGGAGCATGAGGTGAGGTTCATTTGCCTAACATAAAAGGAAATGTGGATAAGAGAAAAGACATATAACAATAAAAATTATGGTTTGGGTTTCCTTTTTTAGGATCAGGGAGAGCTTCATTTTTGCGTGTATAAAACAAAAGACATCACCCACACAGACACCCACACGTACCGGTGAGCAGGGACACTTTGTGGAAGGTGCCCTCCAACTTTCCCATGAGAATGTGCATGAAGCCGTCTTTGGACAGATGCCCTGCCTCTTTGGAGCTCTGGTCATAAACCACCACTTCCTGCTTCCTGCCCAGCTCCACCTGCACAAAGAGTAAACAACAAGGAAGAGGGAGAGAGTTTAACTCACAATTCTGCTATGAGAAGTATGTGAAGCATCCTGGAGCAACACAGACAAAAAGCAAGTTGATTTAATAAAAATGTAAATAGCATACCAGACAGTTTAAGAGAGGGTTTGTTGTATTTAATGAATCCTCGGCTCACAGGTCACTTTATTTTTTAATAAAAATTATGCTTTTTATAAAATAACTAATCATTGAAAAAAAAAGAGGTGTTCCCTTTTGGAATGAATAAAAACGACTCTGAAACAGCATCCCCAAACACTCTGCTTCACAAACAATCCAAAGTGAACTCATTTCATCCCACATCACAGGGGGTTATGACAATAAATGCTGGTTTCATCAATGCCAGAGACTGCACCGTCAGCAGAATGAACTACAGGTGATTCAGGAGTTAGCTACGACGAGCTGATGAGAGTCAAGTTATGAATAATGTATCAGGGGAGTGTTTGACTATGCAGCTCTGTCTGTATTTATGATGCAGATACTGCTGAGAGGGTTGTCTGGTGTAATGGAAGGTAATATCAGTAAAATAATAAAAGGCAGCAGAGACGTTCTGAAGGGTGTGGACGTCCGTAAATGCATCACTACTGTGGTGCTGTTAGAATCTGAGGGAGATGAGAGCTTTTCTGCCTGTGTGTGTGTGAGTGTGTGTGTGTTTTCTTAATAAGAGAGTGTGAGCATGTGGCAGAATGCACACACACACACACACTGATACACACAAACCAGCCAGACTGTGTTGTTCCCCATGTTGTCAGGCAGGCTTTGGTCACATGACCATCAGGCAGCGCCTACTGCAGCTATGAATCACTGCATCATTGAACAGCCACTGGACAGAAGAGGAGAGAGGGTGGAGGACGAGGGAGATGGAGGAGGAGGGAGGAAGCAGAGTGGTGGAGCAGAAGAGGATGGTGATGAGATGAGGAAGGATGCAAGGGTAAAGCGTAGAAAAAGAAAGGGAGGAGAAAAAAAAGGGAGGGTGTTGAGGAGGGAAGCAGAAAGCAGTGTGGGACGACCAGAGGGATTCGATGCAAAAACCAAACAGGTCTTTTGTTCACCGTAAAACTGCAGCAACATCCTTTCATAAAATGTTTCATTGAAAAGCCACAAGCCTCAAGGCACGACTGCACTTTCCCCAAGCCGACCGACCATTTACTTCTTCACTCTGTGGATGCTAAAAGATGTGTTGATACAAAGTGCGCATGACTGTGCATGACAGTATTTCTGCAGCTTAAGCACAGACTAGCGCTGGGTAAACAGCAATGCAGGTGATTCAGGCAGGACAAGAATAGTCACTGAAGTCTTGTTAAAGGAAACCCTGACCCAGTTACACCCAGTTTAGTCCTACCTGCTTTCATCCTGCACACAAACTGGCAATACAGCCTGATGAACAGATGCCATGTGTGACCAGAGAGATCACACTTTTAGCTTTAAAGTTATGTTGATTGCGTATTAGTTGTTTGCCTGCCAGTTTAAGTTTTTTTAAGCTCTTTATATCTGTTCTGTCTTTACTTTTGTTTCTTTTAGATTTCTACAGTCTTTATCCCTGCGAATCTGTGATCTGAGTGTCTAAGTCACGACCAAATATATTCATAGACAATTATCACAAGACTGACCAAAATAAACAAGTCCTCCTTTTATTGAAGTCTTCCTTTACACAGACGTGACAGCTACAAGCGAGATTTTGAGTTTTGATAGATGCACTGGCAGCTATTTCAACTAATTTCAGGCGATTATTTTTTACATTTTTATAAGATAAGGATGTTCATCTGGACTTGAGGTGTAAAAAGATATTTTTGACCAGACATTAGATGAGTACGTTTGATAAGGTTTGAGGTCTTGTGTGTGTCTTATGCAAATGATACCTGTATTGATTTCTGAAGAAGCATAATGGTCAGTGACCGAAGAGCAGCTGTTTCATTCATAAAATTACATGGCTGATTTACCTGGAGCAGTTAAACTGAAAAAGATTTTTTAATATGCCTTCTCTGAAAAAAAAATGCAGAGACATAATGTTCTTCACAGGTCCACGCTTACCAGCAAAAATTAACACATGAAGTGGTGGTTCGCTGAAGTCCTCAAAACGTGTCCTAAAGAGTCCTATTTCTAACCAGGGGAAATACAAGCAAAGACCTCACACTGCACATGCACAGCAGGACAAGAGAAGACCAAGTAAAAATGCTTTCAGTTCTGGTCTCAAGATTAAGACTGATCTTGAGAATTATCGTACTATCAACCAGAAAATTTAGGAGACATTTGGTGGAATCCCATTTAAAAAAAAATACTTAAGAAGAAAACAAAAACAAAACACTGATTTTTTACCACTAAGGATGACAATGACAGAAATTTAGACCTCGGGAAGTGAACACTGCAAATATCTAACAAATTTTGCATTCGAGAAATGTCTAATAAGATTATTGGATTGTCAGCTTAGTTTGCAATGATTTTTCCTCAACCAACACAAAGTCCTGAAACTAACGGTGAGTGGACTTTGTTAATGTAGCACTTTCTCTTTAAATCCCTCAAAGTGCTTTTTCATTTGGTGTTACATCACCCATTCACACCACATTTATACAGTGACCATAGAGGCACTAATGAGAGGTGACCTACTCTGTTGCTGAGCTACAGTTCCCCCCTTAATACAGTTCTGCAGCCTAATTTATCACGATGAGGAACTGAACATGTTTATAGAACATGAAAGTATCATCAATGAATTTAATCCGTTCAGTTAAATCAAATATTAGTAGTTTTTAGATCTCTTCATGTCGTTCAACAAAATTAGAGTAGTGTTTAGCCAATGTTTAATGCATTCATTTCTTAATCAACTCTTACTTTAGGTGTGTTACTTTTCTTGCTGACATGTTAATCTTCATGCCACTCTTTCTTTGTCTTAAACCCCCCTCACATCCATCTTTACTAACCCTGGATAATTTTGGTGAATAATCCTAATGGGATCAGGGCTAAATTGGGAGCCTGATCTCAACACTTGAGGATTATGGGCATTAAACTATGTGTGCAGGTGCGCGCGCACACACATACATACATGCACAGTTCTGAACGCTCAACTCATTTGTCAGAGTTGCAGCAAAAAGCTCAATTTCAAATGCAAAGTAAACACTGATGTAAACACAGAAATAGAGTGCTAGAGTCAAGTTTAAGTTTAAGGGAAGATCTGTACTCACTAACCGCTCCAACTCAGAGACATTGTATGTTTAACAAAGTTTAAATGACTTATATCCTCACACCCTCACTGAAATAAAATATAGCAGCCTCTTTATGTCGTAGACTAGGGTTCATAAATAACAGTCAACAGTCTAATACTGGTATACAGTATATGTCTTAGTGTCTGTTCAAAGCTACATCTACAGCTCAGTATTTGATATGTACAGTGTTTGCTGCAGTGCTAGAGGTCAACGACCTAAGGGTGGAAGAGGCTGCCTGTTAGACTGCAGCAGTAGTACAGATCTCTCATCCCTGCAGTGCTACAGCATCAGTATTACTACTCTGCTAGCCACATCCCTCTGACGCATGCACACTGCAGGTAAACAAGGAGAGACTGTAAAAGGAGGGGCCAGGGAAAGGAGAAACAGATGAATTAACGGGTATGAAAAAAAAAAACAGGGGGACGTGACGAAAGATGATAAGAAAGCATGTAAAGAAGAATGCAGAGAGGAGGGTGCAGAAATGGACAGAAGGTGGCACTGGCAAAAAAAAAGAAAATGCTTACATCCTGCTGCACTGGAACATTTGCTTCATAATCTAAAGGTTGGCATCACAGCAAGACCTGAATAGGGATTGGTTATGAGGAGTGAGGCAATTTCACTGTGTTGTTTTCTAAAGGAGACAGAGACGATTTCAAGGAAAGTGTGATTATGATTCAGGGAAAAAGAGGAGATTAGAGTAAGAAAGAAGCCTCTGCATATTTGCTTAATGACCCTGTGTTTGTTTTTTTAAATACACAAGAAGTGGGGGCAACAAAGTTATCTGTGGAAGTGTGAAAACAGCCCAGTTGAGCATGCTTACAGTAAGTGCTTGTCTGAAATAGTGGAACATGGTTTCCCCCTGACCTCAGCAGTGTTACCGACCGGTGACAAGGTCAGTGCTGAGCAGGACAGTATGTGTGTTTGTGTGTGAACTGGCCTGTGACACAACATCAGCACAAATAGTCTAAAAATGGCCCCACATTCCTGAACCCCCTCTGTGTGTCCTCTCTGGGGTGTCCCACGGAAAAAAAAAAAAAAAAAAGCAGACTCTTGTACGGACTTGCTTAAACCGAAAGGGTCTCCATAACCTGAGTGAAATAAATGCAAATAAAAACACATTGGAGCCTGAGAGACGATCGAAATAACACTTTATTCATCATTTCATGTCAGAATCCCTTTGAACTGGGGCTGTCAATGAATATTCGACATTCAAATATATATTAAAATATAAAAAAAAAGATTTGAATGTGAAAATGTTCGAACCTTATGTATTATTTTTAGAACGAATATTTGAATGTCATTTTAGAGCAATTTTGACAGCCCTGCTTTGAACAAAGGTTTACAGGCTGTCAGAGGCTGTCACCTCTTAGAAATGTATTACAACCTGATTTAGAGGCACATTTGAAGACTCAGCATGTCGACCCAGCTAATGGTTCAGCTACTCTAAAACGCCTGACCCTTCATACAGTACATTACATACAAATAGAGGACCTGCTCTAAAAGGCAGTGATCTCCCCGCGCTCTAGAGCTGTCAGTTCAACACAGGATGAGATATATAGCACCCATCACTGTAAAGATACCACCCAGGGGCAAGATGATGTAATTGACTGGCACTGGCAGCTGCCACTTCCATGTGCATACGTATGTGTAAGTGTTATGTGTGTGTCACAGCGTAGCTCTTGTACTTCTATAATCATGCAGACTTTGTGTTTTGGTTCAAACTTTGGGTTTGGTATAAACTTGTAAATAGAAGCTTAAAATTTAAAGAACTCATTTATCTGAGGAAACAACCCAGGAGAGAAATCTTTTGAAGTGGGTAAGTGTGTGATTGTGTGTTTCAGACAAGGATGTGAAGATGTGACAGGGTGGTGAAAGTCCCTGATGCCTCTGTGCATGTGCACTGTGAGGTCACCGCTGATCATTTTAGAGATGTGGTCACCTGATCTGCTCACACCCTTACGCCATGCAATATCAGTGGACCTTTAACACACACACACAAACACACATATTAAGAAGAGGCCACACATACTTCAGCTTACACAATCGTGTAAGTAATAGCTGAAGACATGAAGTATGTCATTTCTCTGTTCATCTGACTTTTGGACATGTAACACACAAGTTGTCTACAAGCTGTAGATCCAGTTTAACCCTGTCACTCTTCTCCTCACTCTGTATATAATGAAAGCCTGGTTTCATAGCTGAAAATAACCCATGAATCATACCCTCCATCTTTCATGTACATCCATAAATTAAAAAGTTGACTTTTACATAAACTCCTCCTGCCTCACAGAGCACGTCTGTAACTATATACAGCCTGTGACTGTGTGTCTATGTCAAACAGTAGGATCTTTAAAGCAAACAGTGATTCATGCCATGACCTCATCAAGGCAAACACATGACATATCCGGCTCCGCAGAAAAACCACCACTGGCTGCAGCAGCGTCTTTGTTTTAACTTGGCAAAGGGAAAAAATGTGAATGAAACATAGAAGAAAATTCCCTACATTGCCCTCTGGGTAATCTGGGAAACAATCCATACTCTGAGTCATCCGCAAAGTTTTCAGCTCTGCTTCTGTCAGGGTCGATGACACATGAAACACTTGTGTGTTGCCCTTTATTTTGAAATCTTGTGCGGTAGTTACAGGAATTATTAAGAATACCGTAACTAGAAAGTGTTTTCCAAAGATGATAAACTTTGTGTTGGACACTAAATTAACTAAACTCACTTTCTCTTTGTTAGTTTTTACATCATCTCAGGATTTCCTGCCCTCGATTGTCAGAATTGTAAATGAATTACCTGCCATGTATCATAATAGCCTTTCAAGGAGGAAAATCACAGCATGTGGTGCCTCATGAGCAGAGTTGATGGGGATCCTCTTCGTTGCATAAATGCATTAACTAGTCACATGCAGTCTCGCCCTGTGCTACGCAGCAGGGCACTCAGCCAGTCCGACCAATTACGATCAGACGAGATCACAGAGCCAGCGCCTGGATCTCTCTGCTGCTTTGTGTCCATTACACAACATCAAACAACAATAACAGGGAGCTGTTTATATACTGATCGTCAGCAGGTCTAATACACTGGTGATGAACAGCACTCCAAGATACACTACAGGGTAATAATTACAGGTACAGGACTTTAAAATAGCACAAATAATTCACAGTGTAAGTCTGTTTCATCTGTCACAGAGCCACAGTCGTCCTGCTATTGAATAAAAAAAATATATAAATAAAATATTTATGTGTGTTAATCTGCTGATTAGTTATTTTTTTTAGGAAGTAACTGAGTGCCTTTAAAGAGTGTAAATGTCCACCAAATTCCTCTCAATTTATAAATCAACCAGCAGCAAAAAACTACAAGTCTCTTTCAAGGGACAAAAAAGAGAGGAGCAGTAAACAGTATTTATATATTTTGGTCTTTTTCTTGATGATTTATCAAAATAGCAGTCTGATCTGTTTCTCTGGTTCACCATCCTGGATTCATTTTCAGATCTGAATTCAGATAGAAAATACTTTTCTGCATGGTACCAACTCTGGTACCGTTCTTTTTCCTGAAAATTAAAAAAAAAAAAAAGAAAACTATACCACCGCCACATAATTATGATTTAATTAATGATTAAAATTGGTCATTAAAATATGTTAACAAGAAAGTTGATCAATCTGGCTGAAAGTCAAATCCACTTAATTTCATGTTCATTCTGCTAATTTCTAAGATAACAGAGTTAATATAAAAAGAGGACAGAGACCAACAGAACAAACCACACTGCTAACAAATATTTACTGACAGCTGGCTTGGGGAAGGGTGATGTCAGTAACAAGGCTGCTGGATATCATTCAACAGAGCTCTGGCGGGATGGCACTTCCCCTGGCTGGTTTCTGGTAGTGAAAACCTCTGGTCCATCTGTCAGGCCCGCCTGGTCGGCTGCCCCGACCACAGCAGCGGGGATTAGCTTGGCTTAAGCCAAGAAACCAGCCGCCTGCCCTCCATCCTGTCAAAAAGGCACGAGGAAGCCCTGTTTCCTAACTAAGCCTGTGCCATCGCTCCCCCAGCAGAGGTCCACAACCACCTAACCTACTGTTTCCAACTCCGTCTGACCTATATTAAAGGAGAGCTCATATAAAAAGGTTATGATGGGATGTGAAAGGGAGAAGAAAGAGGACACCCTTTTGATTGTTGCTGCGTTGGTCATGGATGTTCATTCAGCTCGACTAACTGAAGCATTGGGAGCTTCTATGAAAGAGGGTGAGTACAGCGCCTTGGGGGATGCAGGCTATTAGCGCTCAATGGGATGTGAGGTGGGAGGCAGCCAGGGAGGAGGCAGAGGAGGCAGCCCATCCATGAATACCCTCAACTCTGCTCTCCCGCTTCCTGCATTTACTTCCCGAACAAAGAGCCACAATGGTGTCCTTTGCTGTCTTGGCTTGGCTGAGGCAGCTCCTGGTGATGCTCAGAGCCATGTGGGGGGTAGAGTGGGTGTGTGTGTGTCTATGTGAGGAGGGTGAGGGGGGCGGCTATTGGAAGCCGGCTTTAACACCACACAGCCAGGCTGCACGTGCCCAGCCCACGGCCTGCCAGTGGCCGCCACAAAAGGGATGATGTCATGCTTAGCCAATAACAAAGGAGTCTGGGTCCGTCAGGCCCTCCTCTCTCACACGGCTAGTTCCAGCTTTATCCAGCCTAGCATTAATCGCAAGCCTTATCCTCTTTACTGGGGGTGGGGGGATGGATAATAACAAACCAGCTATGGGGCAACACCAGACAGGGAGAGGAAAAGGAATCACTGAAGAAGGCAAGGATGCATCATGGTGGGGGAGACACAGAGGGCCATACAGAGCTGTCATGAAATAGAAAGTGAGAGAAATTGGGAAGACACACAGCTCTATGGAGGGGGGACACAATGTGCACCGTGCCAACCCAGGACCCCACACAGAGACGGATCCAACAGACCCTGCATAAAACACACTCAGACTGGCTGCACTGAATAAAATAACGACTCAGACTTCCTAGCTTGTTCAGCCTCTACCAAATCTATGACAGTCTTTCTCTATCTAAATCTTTAAACTGCAATACTAGGTCATGCATCATCATAGCAGCCTAAAAATAAAACCATTATCCGAGCAGCACTGGAACTTCTGGTCAGGATGAGTCATGAGATGAGGGATCTCCTGTGTAGCCTTCAGACTGGCAACATGCACACAAACAAGAGGTGTTATACAAGGTCCTTGTCCAGTTAATAGCGCTTAATTTTGAGTGAAAAGAAAAGCATGTGGGTTTGACTGCCAGAGGGCCTAGCAATAAAGCTGAATTTGAACTAATTGGTGAACAGAGAGTCGGTGAGAAACAGCAGAGGCACAGAGACTCTCTGCCAACGCACCAATTATACAGACGCTATTAGCTCAACTGCGGGCCGTTTTACATGAGAAAGTAACAGAATCACACAGTTCTCCTTCATTTACCATGTGACACAAGGAAAGAGTCAGTCACCGACAAGTTTTAGCTGTCATAAACCAGAAGGAGCCACAACGCAATAATCCAAAGCAATAATCTATAATTATCTCTAATTTGGTGGGCAGGGCTGGTTTTTCATTGACTCGGAGATCCAGTGTTTTTCTAACTGCAGGTCTGATATAGTCCCAGTCTAGGTCACACTGAGGGAGCAGGTGATAAATCATATTCACACATATACGTTCAACAGTCGGAGACATGACACGGGTCAAACTGTGTCATGCCTCTGGGAATAAGGAAGTAAAGGAAGAAAAATAAAAACAGTAACAAAACCTGTTACGTGTCATTAGACTGTATGAATCAGCATTTTAGTGCCCTGGGTGTAACGTTGTTAAAAGTTCATTGAACAATTTCTCAGAAGGAGAGTGACCAAGAAAAGGGATTTCATGTGTCATCTCCATCGCTCTGTTGATGTGTTTCTGTTAAGTGGTGAATGCATTCACAGCTACAGTACATAAGGGCGTGAAAACGACTCCCATACATGAAACACACAACCCCTCTGCCCCACTGCATAGGTTTCCCCTCTTAGAGTTCCTTCAGTTTCACACAGCAACTAAAAATACAGGAGTCAGCATGCCACGAGTGGATGGGCCATGGAAAAAAGGCCGTCATATTCACAGTAGATGTCATGGAAACGCGAGGATCCGATTTCAGGGCCACTGATAAGCAACAAACATACAGTATGGCTGCATGCCTGCCAATTATAGCACCCACTGATGTGCTGCAGGCTGAGAGGAGTGCTGGGGTGGCCAGCAGAGATGCAGAGTGGTGCAGAGGTTAGAATGTCTGGTGTGCTGAGGGACACCTACAGATATCTTAGGGAGTAAGTGCCTTGCCCAAGGGCCCTTTAGCATGCTAAGACACTGTTGATAGGGAAACTTGAATCTGAGAACTTGGGTTTGAAGGAAGTTTTTTGCTCAAATTCTGCTTTGACTACTGCCTGAACACAGGAAAAATATGGTTTATAACCCCTCAAACATGAAGCTGAGGACCCACAAATCATGTTTCTTAGAATAAGAAAGTTATTTTTTTTGTTTTTTTTTTACAATATCTTTATTGGGTTTCTATTCTTATAAAGTACAAACAGGAACAAAAAATAACAAGGAAGTTCTTGACTGGATATTTTCAAAAAAGTTCCTGCTGAATCCAAGTTTTGCATTTCTGTGCAAATTCTTCAGAAACAAGTTTGATGATGCCGACTTACTAACTTGCACAATGCTGTGCAAATATCCATTTCAAAACAAGGTCAAACTTTGAAAGAAATCTAATGTTTTAATCTATTAGACACACATCACAGGAAACTCTGGCAAATCATGAGTTTGATTGCCATGACAACGCGTGCATAAGCAAAAGTTTGAATTTACCTCCATATACCTATAAATCTGGAAAAAAGTGTTGAAATCATAAGGCCCAAGAATAATGCATGATGCATGTATTATGTAAAGATGTTTTTAATATTGCTAAATATATTTTCTGACATCTTTAAGCCCTGTGGCAACTCACGGAGGGCTTGGTTAGTCCCGAGATGAGGGAATGTAGTAAACACAAAAAGCAAAAACACATTGAAAGAAGGTCAACCAATAGTTTATTCCTTCCAAATGTTTGAAAGGAACCCTGTATAACAAGACATGCTGACCTAATTAAACTAATATTGTTGTCTTTTGGGTGTATGTCATACAAGAAATATGCAAAGATTTCTGCAATTTCAGGAAATTTAAAAACTACGTTTACACGAATGCTGCCATTGTTATAAACTATCTGATTTCAAGTAGTTATTCAACTATTGTGGTCTTGTTCTTCTCCTCAACACTTCCTTCTGTAAGTGAGGAGGCCTGTTGAGCCTTAATTTAACTCAGTGGTTCTCAATCCAGTCCTTGAGGCCCACTGTCCTGCATGTTTTGGATGTTTCCCTGCTCCAACACACCTGATTCAAATGATCAGCTCGTTATCAAGCTCTGTAATGGCTTAATAACAAGCTGATCATTTGAATCAGGTGTGTTGGAGCAGGGAAACATCCAAAACATGCAGGACAGTGGGCCTCAAGGACTGGATTGAGAACCACTGAGTTAACTCAAGCGCAGAGATAAAGAAGAAAGAGATAAAGAAGTCATCCTCAAAGTAAATCTAAACGAAAACAACTGGAGGAGGCTTGTGTGGAGCTAGTATGTTACTTGAAATGCTGAACAATACCTCTTTGAATTTTGTATGGAATACGTGTAGAAGTTAGGGATTTTTTTCTCTTAACAGCCAGGTAGAAACACATCCCTCTGACACTTTGATTTTAGGCTGGCACCTAAAACAACCCCTCTCTATTCACTGGGATCAACTCCCACCTCTAAAAAAGCACCTACCCAGAGACATGCTGAGCTTTCACTCACCTTCACCTTTCCGTTGGGTTGCAGCAGCTCAGTGACCGACACCTTGTCCTGCTGCAGTCGCCTTTTCACCAGCTTGGAGCAGCAGACGTTCACCGCACCTTGAACATGTGATGCGTTGTACTCAGAAAACGTCCGGCTGTCAATCACCAGCAAACGGCCCGTTCCTCTCTGGATGAGGCTTGCCAGGCGCTTGATGTCCATGGCACTCCGCTTGGTTGGCCCTTTCTCACCTGCCATGATGTTGGAGGGGCAGAGCGGATACAGATGTGAGGTAGTGAGGGATGGGTTGTAAAGGAGGAGGGGATGCTGAGAGAGGTAAAGGTGGGGGAAGTGATGGGGAGGAAGAGGAGGAGGTGAGGTCAGTGGAGGATTGCTGCCACTGGAGCAGGCGCTAAGAGATTCATGGTGCCTGAAAAAAAGAAGACAAAGGACAGAGAGGTATGGTTTATTTTAATTTCAGTGAAATTTAAAATCTGCAACAGTCAGTCTAGGACCCCAGTCTACAGCAGAAACCCCCTGTTGCCCTTAGCTTCAGCTCACTCAAGTCCATGCAAATAAATCAATACAAATTAAATACAATCACTTAATCCTCACTGCTGGAAAGCAACAATGACGGCTCATATTCCAATATTTTCCAAACAACAGACAGGTGCACAGTGTATTTTTATGCTTCTGTATCATCTTTTATAGTCCGGCTTTGAGCATCGTTAAAGTTTAAAATAGCCACAATGATAAACAGGAATAATAAAAGTTATTTAAAGACTTAAAAGCCAGCTGGATGATCCATCAAGATTCATTCCTCCTGAGATCTGAAGCAATGTCACACATCCAGATACAAAGCCAAAGACTTGAACCACAATAAAATGTGCGTGCGTGTCTGTGTTAAGTGTGTGTGAAGGTTGGTTGTTGTTGATCAAGGGTCTCATGTGGGGACCTAGCTCATGAAACAGGAAACTGAGAGCGTGAGATAAATTAAGCTGGGGGAATTCAGAGAGCAGGTCTGGACACAGGCGAACAGCCTGTGTGACATCCTGTGTATGTGTGCGTAGTTGTGTATGTTGGCGTGTGTGTGTGTGTGTGATTTACAAAGAGCCGTCCATATACTTGATGAACTGCCTCCTCCTATCTATCACAACTAATCACTCCTATCTCTTCCATGTTCACATTCACCGCAGTGCCTGTTTATCTAGAGAGAGGCACATGTGATCATTTATCGGGGCTGAAAGATCAATAAAAGCATGTGTGGGCTAAATTTGCCTGTCTGAAAAAACAGCAGTGCTTTTTTAAGAGAACTTAGTGTATGGAAAACTGTGTGGGTTAAGGACCAGTATCTTGGTCCACCAGGTGTCATACGACAGGTGAGAAGGTCAGAATGTGAATGTAATCGTGTTGTTTTATTCATCTACAGGCACGCAGTGTCATGAAAAATGAATGGGCCTCCTCTCATTTACCCCAAAGCCTAAATGCAGGTTTAAAGCTCGGTTGAAAAGGGAGAGTAAGGCAGACCGAGGTGTAGAAACAGATCGTGGAAGAGGATCATTCAAAAACAGAAACTTCAGCAATGTATCTGCTTGCTTTGACTGAAAAATAGGAAAGGGGAGTGAGGAGACTGCTAACATTAAGAGATAAATACATACTCCATAAAGCTTTCAGAAACCAGCAAAAAAAGGTTTATGTAAGCAGAGAAAGATAAATAGTTTGCACATCACTGCAATGTTGAGAAAGTAGGCGAGAAAACATGGACTAAGAGAGAGGAGACATGCAGAAAAAACTATGTCTTTGGATCAGTAAGACATCTACAATGGTCTGCTCCACAACTTTTCACCTCTGCTCTCTGACACCAATGCTGCTGACAGAGTGGGAGGGAGGAGGAAGAAGGAGGGAGGCAATGAAAGATGTGAGGCAGTACAAGGAACTCTCCAGCCGAGCAACTCATGCAGCTCAAGGTAAGGGTGGTGGCCATCATGGAGACTGGAGCAAGGAGGGGGAAAAGGATGAAGAGAAAAGGACTGCTTGAAAAACAGGAGAGGCTGAGAAACAGAATCTGTTACATTTACATCAAAAACACTGAACGAACTTACGACTTGGATAGAGAATAAAACCCAACTCCTTCTATAATTATACAAATGGGAACAGAACAGTAAAGCCATCCATCCTTTTCCCACAAACTAACCATCTCTCATCAGCTTCTCTATGTATCCTTTAGGCTGCCGGCCAAGCCTGAACATAGATGTACACATACTGTTGCTGCCTGGCAACCCGCCTGATGCAAGAGCAGCAGAACAGGAACACACAGGATCATCTACATATGGACTATAAACAACTGTCAACCTGATGTTGTATCAGTGGATGTGCAGTCGCAAGGAAAAACACACTTTAGGTCAATAAAATGCATAAAACCAAGTATAGTATACACAGTACAACGCACAAACACAACGCAGCACAGAACAACAACATAAAACAAAAATCTGATCCACTCAATCTACGACAGCTTGTCTTTTTGTGTCGCCCTGATGACTCAAAGTGGATATCTGTATGAGGAAGGAACAATTTAGGGACCTGCAGCAGCACAACAACACACAACAAAACTGACATGGTGACATTTTCCCACTTTTCCAATGATGTGCACCCCTGCAGCTATTCTGCAGAAATACTCCGAGTAGCTTCACCGCCAGCGCCCCATCCTACAAACAGCCCCTTCGCCACATTACCACCCGCCCCGTCACCTGTTATACCATACCTTCTCTGGCACGAAGAAGCCCTGTAGCCAAGCAGCTAACACCGCAGCTTCCAGGGGTGTGAATCTTTCTCTCTTTTTTCCTGTTTCATTGCTGCCGAGCACAACATCTGATGCTAATGTCTAATGGCGACCGCTCTCCCACCCGCCCAGCCTCTCTCACTTTTTCACTCTGAATCCCTCCTTCGTTCTCTATCACTCTCTTTCTTGCTCTTGTGCAGTGAATGGGGACGGGGAGGGGAGGTTTGCATGTGTGACAGTGGTGGGAAGGAGAGACTGGGTACTCTGCATCTTTCTGTGCCGTGAGACAGTTATCCTACAGCTGCTTCACTCTCCCTGTCTGTGTGGACAAAAGGACACAAACAAAAATATGGGAATTGTAAACATCAGAATACGAGGGAGATATAAGACAACAATCAACATAGATAGAGTGCTCAAACTCAGCATGCTAACTCAGCAAATTCATCTACCGCCTAGAGCCCTTATGCAAAATTAACTTTCATCCTTGCATCCAGCAGGAAACAACGGGGAGCAAAAACAAACAAGCACCTCAGACTAAAATAGTCAGCAGCCAGGAGCTCACTGTGAGGCTGTGGTGGCTGAACAGAGCCAAACAAGCTGAGAGAAGAGAAAGCAGGGAGACAGAGGCAGTGTGTACAGGCCTGGAGCAGATTCTGTTGTTGCCATAGAAACAGCCCAGCTGGGGTGAGCAAGGGGCACAGGGAGGGTGATGGTGATGGGATGCTACTGGTGCTGACGCTGGATCAGGATACAGGAATGGAGTGTGCTAAGACTGGCAGCACTACATTACTTACACTCAGGCTAACATGTATTTAAACCATGTTGGGGTCTGTTTATAAACAGAACCCTCAAACTAAAGCTGTGTGACTTTTTTTCAGTTTTCACATTCCTCTTAATAACAAAGGATGACATTTTACCTTCAGGTTGCCCATTGCTAATACCTTACTAAATAAATCCTACAAAATATTACAAATACATTTCTGAGATTTATTCTTTATGATGTGTCTCACCAAATCTGCTGTTACATAAGACAGCAAATTCAGTATAACTTTGTTTTAATTGAATCTATACAACTGGTTGGACCACAACATCCCTCTGACCACATTTCTACAAAAGGCGTCAAGGGTGTTATCAAACAAGAGCTCCTCTTGAGTGTTGCAGTAATTCAACCACACCTTCAGTACAGGCTGAAGCCAAAAGAACCAGATCAACTGGTCAATTCTGGTGGATCTTTTGGGACCTGTTGGGGATTTATCATTTAAGTATCAAGTATTTAGACAGACTTACCCTTGTATATACCTTACAGCAGTGGTTCTCAAGTCCAGTCCTCGAGGCCCACTGTCCTGCATGTTTTGGATGTTTCCCTGCTCCAACACACCTGATTCAAATGATCAGCTCGTTATCAAGCTCTGTAATGGCTTAATAACGAGCTGATCATTTGAATCAGGTGTGTTGGAGCAGGGAAGCATCTTAACCATGCAGGACAGTGGGCCTCGAGGACTGGACTTGAGAACCACTGCCTTGCAGCATATACAGCAAAGCAAAATAAATAAGTCTTACTGTGAAGCTGTCATCTCTTACCTAAACTTTCAAAGTCAGATGAACAAATACTTCCTATAAAACCTATTACCAAGAAAGCAAACAAACAAATATGTATATTTATTCTGAATAAATTATTCTGAACTTATTTCAAACAAAAATCTCAAAGCAGCACATCCTTACATTTAAGAAGATTGGCAAGCAAATAGTTTGGGCTTTTAGGGGGCTCCTGAGTATTAAAATTAGCATTTTTCTTATCTTAGTTACCTTCAAAAATGAAATCATTGATTGTTTAGCTGATCAAAACAACTGGCAACTCACTGTCTTCCACGGATCGTACCTTTAGATGTCTGCACAGCTTAATCAAATAAATGTACTTGTCAGTTTATTGGATTAAATGGTCAGAAATTTGTAAATATTTGTAATTCAATGGTTGGCACTCGTAAGGGATTTAATTTCTTTCGATAGTCATATAAAAATTACAAGATGCAGCCTTAGTCCAAATAACTTTTTTTAACTGGCTTAAGCTACAAATTTAGAGGCCACTCTGTTGAAAATTAACAGTTTGTTTTCCAACTACAAAGCAAAGAGGAAATCCCACACTGTCCCACATTTCCTCCTCCATAGTAGAGTGGAATACAGTCTCACAAATCATCAACAGACTTTACTGTCACTCTCTTTGCAGCCGATGACAAAGATCTTTGTAATGGGTCAATAAAACAAAATTGAGGAAGTAAGTTGTTGTCTATAAAAAGTGTTATTTACGCAGAAATGCTTAGAGAAAACGTGAACTAAGCATGATGGGTCAGCTCCAAAATGTCATATCAGACATCAGGGAGAGAAGCAAACATTAAGAGGGCAACTGGAGGGCAGCTAGCGCTGATGTAATACCATCCAGGTTATTCATTAACTCCCTGCATAACGTCACCTGTGGTCAGAGCCTTGACTACACTGATATAAAGCTGCTCTTGGCCTCATAGAAAGAGAGGCATGACTTTTTTGTTGATACATAAAACACTGACATCATCAGAGCATCTCACAGCCTTCACTGTTATCCACAGGTGCTCTCACGCTCTGAAAGTTTGCATCTGCGTGTGTTTACATGCTGTCTGTTCTGCAGCCTTTGTGTCCTAGATGTCACCACAACAAGGGGCTCAGGCCAACTCCATTGACATTGTGACATAGCAGGATAAGAATATCATTCATTTGGGACAAAAAAGCACGTTTGGAAATAGTGGTTTAGCCAAACACTGATAAGGTAATAGTTAATAAATGACCAGATTGATAAGAATATTTTTGACCTATTTCGGTGCTGTTTTTTTAACAACAATTGATTTCTAAGGCAAAAAAGACTACAGGCCTACTTGCTGGAAAAAGCCAGCATATAGTAATATTTTCACTATCTTATAATTTGTTTCATATAACTGTTAAAATTGTTTTTTTAAAAAGTGTAACTATGAAATTCTTGTTTTCGAAAAATGATCAAATCTTTTGTCAAGTTAGGGTTGTCTTTATTTGTCTAAGTTACAGTCCAAAACCTTTTGGACTAGAGGTGTGCCGATATACAATTTAATCGCGATATGCGATATTAAACGACCGCAATGATGAAATCGTAGGGTACTGTAATAATCGTTCCACAATCATAATTTAAAGACGAGTGGCAGCGTCACTCAGCGGAGGCGAGCGAAGCCAAGTAGTTACCAACCTGACCCGCTTGTAGTCTTACCCACAGTGTCAAAGCCTTGGTAGCAAAATGTACAAACAAACCACCACAAAAGTAGTCCCAAATCTAAAACAAACTCTTGAATTAAGTACATTAATGCCAGTCTGACAAAAACAGGAACCTTAAAAGAGAAAATGAAGAAATTTTACAACAAAATGCATGGCCACCCACAATGCATTGCAGCCACCCAAAGCACTGTTGGAGCGTGTCCACTCTGTGAACCGGAAACAGTTAAAAAAAATTGACGCACACGTTCCAACTTCCAACCAACGTAAGTCGGAGACTGAGAATGATGAAACGCCTCGGCTGTATCCTCCTATTAAAAAGGTTTTGTCGGCAGTATGGATGCTTTACGGCTTCAACTCCCAAATTCCTAAACAAAGTTGATCCAAGCAGGTCCGCAATGTGTATTAAATGCAAAAAAATGATTGGTACCTATAAACATTGTCTCTGGGAATGTCTTAAGATTTCAAGGTTTTGGTCTTGTGTGGCAAAATAACTGAATTCAGTTATGAAGTTTACGATGTGTAAAGATCCCAGGCATTTTCTTTTGGGGCTGCCATCTAAGTCTCCAGTCTTTTAGACTCCAGAAGATCTAAACTCCTTAACAAACTGCTCTGTTTGGCCAGAAAATGCATTCTATTTAACTGGATTCATGAGAGACCACCATCAGTAACCCAATGGTATAGAGAAATCTATAGAGTCCTTCCAATGTTAAGAATTAGTGCTAAAATGAAAGAGAGTGAAGACAAATTCATAGATTTGTGGCAAACAATGATAGATTACCTGCCCAGAGATCTAGCAGCCATTATTCATAATGGAGATGATTCCTTGGACTGGACATCCCCGGTTGCGCTGTTCCAATTTGTTTAATAACATGCCCAAGTTTGCTCATATTTAGTCAGATATATACTTGTGTATGTAGTATCTGTATGAATGTGTAACAGTGTGTGTATTAGTAATCGAGAATGACTATGTGCTGCCCCTCCCCCCTTTTTCTTTTCTTTTTTGTTTGTTTGTTTGTTTGTATTAAAAGGGGAAACCTAATAATTATACCTAATATATATATATATATATATATATATATATATATATAAGAATAACATTCATTCATTGCATTCATAGAAAAGGATACGGCATGTGAACATATAGTTTGGAAAAATCAATTCAATTTCTCGTATGGCCCAGTTGGAGCAAGGCTATCATCATACTGTAAACAACATTACCAAGAAAAGTCCATGGGTACTCTTTAATCAACACCCTCCCATTTGGCTGCTGCAAATTGCGGGGTCGAATAACAAAGTGGGGCTACCCCGGACTTAACCACAATAAAATCCATTTCATGGATACAGAGGCAGCTACGAATATAAAATACAAATAAAACACACCAGATTCTGTATAAATAATGATGCAGAAAATCGTTCATAAATAAAATAGGGCGATGAAGCGCACAAAGAAACAAATAGGACATTGTGGCGTTTGATAACCTTAACAACAATGATGGAGGGTGCGTTGTCGTAGTGCACTATAATAAACCGACCTACATTAGAAATAAGACGAGGAAACAATGCAGACAGCGGCCATTGCTTTTCCAAACGTTGCATAATTAGCATTAAATATAGGACAATAAAAAAATCCACTTCGTATCGTTTGAGTAGGAAACCTGCCCTGTGTTGTTGTGACGCGTGGATATGTCCGCATGCGAAAATGAAGCACTCCATTGATCTCCCGGGCTGTAATGATGAAATGCAGCACCGCGCTTCATAAACACTCAAAAACACATATAGATGCGTGTTCTGCCTACCTTGAACAGCCGGCTGGTAAAAGCTCAGGTGTTTGTCGAAATTACAAAGCCAATAACTTTAGAATAGACGGGTTTAATTCCCATTATAAGACGGGTGCGCGTGTAGAGAGGAGGAGGGAGCGCGCGCTGACAGACCCGCAGCAGCAAAGGGGGGGCACGAGCGCAGACGACTAGCAACCGCTGCTAACGTAAGCTAGCCCTGCAGGGTAGCAACGCACTTGATAACATGGTATGTGGTTTAATTCAGACACACCGTACTCACCCCTAGCTCCGCACGGCTCCTGTGTGTTTTTCAACTGTGCGACCTCCATGTGTGAGGGGACGGCGGCGGTGTCTTCATGGGGCTGCCCGGTGTTTACCTGTCTGTGTGTCGGGGGACAGGACAGCTGACAGAGAGTGACAGCGCCAGGAACAAACGAGACATGAAAATGCCGTGAAAGAGTGTAAACCCGCTCCTTTAGTCGGTTACCTGGCCAGGGTACGTTGTTGGCTCGTGGAAGGATAGATTAGCTTTGCTAGGCTAGGTTAAAGCTAAAACTGGTAGTGTGTAAGTGTGAGGGGGGTGGGGAGGGGGGTTAGTTACAGAAGGTGCACTTTAGCACTGTGTTGAACTAAAGCGATGAGGTCATGGTTCAGCCGGGAGGGAAGAAAAAAAATATGAGGTTGACGTCACCTTCAGCCAATCAGCGCTGGCGGCTCAGGGAATGGTTGACGTCGGCGGTCTGATCCCCGGATTAAAGGGACAGTCCGGCTTTTTAAAGGAGACGTGCTTATGAATGATGCAGTTACAAGGCTTCCGACAACAACTGCTCCTTCTGTGATGAGGATATAGAAACAACTGAACATTTATTTTATGATTGTAAATTTGCTAATGCCTTCTGGGAAGATTTTTATGATTGGCTGTTCCCTAAATTGCCCAGTATCTCTACTCTAAAAAAAAAGAAAATGTTTTATATGGAATATCTATGAAAGAACCATCCCACGACCTGGCTATTCATACCTTCATCATTCTCTGTAAATTTTTTATTCATAAATATAAATATTTGAAAACCAAGCCCAATTTTTTATGTATTTCATAAGGAACTATGTCTTTTTTAAAAATCTTTAAAATGTATGGAGAAAAAGAACGCATTGAAACTGTGTAGATTAGTAGAAAAACTCTATTTAGATTTCATTAATTTCATTTAATTTTCCTTTTATAATTTTATTTTCTTACGGATGCTCTTTAAGCTTGTCTGTGATATTGTAATGTTGTGCCATGTTCCATGCCAATGTGTTTTGTACATTTGATATGAAATAAAGAAAAAAAAAAATTATAAGGCTCCCGTAGCCATTTACATAGACAAGGGAACATAAATTCCCGTAAGCTGCCACTCAACCTCAGGTAGGTTAAGGGTCAGAGATGGGAAATGAAGTCTGCATCCCTTCAGGCATGGGACATTAACGCACAGAAAGTTGTGATTAATGAATTAAATGAGATAAGCCTCTTGCAGCATTTTTAAGACAGCACCGTAGCTCTTCACTTTTAAATCTCTCTTTGGCATTCTGAGATAAGGTGGTTGCAAAGACCCCTTTCTAGCTTGTGCAAAACAATAAGTGGCTCATAAAAATAGAGCAACCTTGCAGTAAACAACCCAGAAGTTACAGAATTTGAGTTTTTAAGCCCTAATAGCCAACCAGCAGTGTAAGGTTCAATAATACACATTAAGAAACAAAAAATTAATACCCCTGCCCCACCCGCAGGAAATTTAAGCATCTCACATTTAATTTGCTGCTTCCCCCTGAGTATTCTGCAATGATTTGTAGTCGGAATTTAATTAAGCTATGTAAAAAAAACCGTGTTATTAATTCATAACTAAAAACAAAAGAACGCTACTTCCTCCATGAGGAAAATAGCAGACAGGTGTTTTATATTTAAGACTATGTAGTTTTATATCTAACAAGCCATTTGACACATATTTAACACCTAAACAAAACACGAAGACTGTCCTGTTTTTTTGTCTTTTTAAAAAAGAAAAAAAAAACGACTCTGCTGCCAAGTTTTAAAGGTCTATTTCATTCATTTTTAATGATCAAACAGTGACAGTGAATGAAAATCCCTTGCACTTCACTTTTATTTATATCTGGCCTGAAAGCAACTGAAACAAACAGGCCTAAGTGATCCCCTTATCTGCCATGTAGTAACTCTGTGACCTCGAGAATTGGATGTAAATATATTTTTTAAATATCTCGACAGACTTTTGTTGACTTGTGATAGAATTTGGTACAGAGATGTTTTTTTCTTACTGCCACCAGCTGGTCAAAGTGAGGATGAAGGTTCCTATTAAACTTTCTTAGTAAAATATTACATAGGTTTTGTGTTTCCGTTACGTCTTTTTCTTGCACTATTTCCTTTTTTGCTACTTGTATTTGCCAGGACTCTGTGTTTTAAGCAGAAACCAGTCTCTCTTTTTTCATAAAAGCATTCATTACTTTTTCAAAAAGGTACAGGAATTTGCATCCCCAAAAATTTTACATAAAGTTTCTTATTTATTGGACACACTTTTGTTGAACTGAGATTGCACATCTTTGATGATCCTCCTTTTTATTTCTCAGTTGTTTTAGACACCCATCATACTGTCAAACTGTTTTGTATTCACTATTTTTCTTTTTCTGCCTCTAAAACTCTTTTTCAAGGTGAATGCCTTTCCTTCTCACACTTAAAAGTCAGCTTCACCACTACATTTCTCCCTCTCAGAAACATTGTTATTATGATATTTTGAGACAAGTATTGCAAAATTGTCATGCTTTCATTTTGCGTTTGTAGGTGCCGACGGCATGGTCCACTCCGTGCATGTGCATTACACTTTCAAGGATTTGCACAAGTCAGTTAAATGCTCCCGTGTTACAAGTGTAATGTGCATGCACAAAATGAAGCATACCGTCAGCGCTTTAATTGAAAACCCTGGCTTGCTATTGACAACTGCGACGTTTCAAAAATATCCCAAACTAAAGGGCAAAAAAATGATCTTTATGTCGAGATACTGAAAAAAAATTATTCAAGAAAATGAACTTTTTTATATCGAGAAAACATGAGATTTTGTTATGACGAGATAACAATGTATATATATATATATATATATATATATAAAAGAATAAATAAATCCATGGCCATTCTCAGCTTTCGTAGTGAAGTAACTACAAGTAGTATTACTTATTACGGAAAGAAAAAAGTAATACTGAAAAATTTCGAAAGCTTAACATAAAATGTTTTAAGTTTCATCTAATTTTTTTAGTTTAATAACTTAGAGGGTGTTTCAGTCAGGGAGGGGTATAGAGGAAAGGGTAGAGGGGTTAGACAGTGAGAGGTAGAGAGGTGTAAGGAGGAAGGGGCAGAGGGGGTAGAGAGGGTGGGGTGTAAGGGATAGAAAGGAGTATCCTGAACGACACAATTCCTTAACTTCCTATAAATTTGCAGAACTGACTTATAACTGGATGTGATAACCATACTTTTAGCATTGTTTCTTTGTTTGTTCATTTCCCTCAGTTCCTCATCTTTCCAGGGTGATCTTCAACTCCTGACTTTCCGCTTTCTTCTTGGTGCATGTTTTATGGATCACTTGTATAAATAACATATTAAATATTTCAAGAGCATCATCTGGATTTTTCTTATTCAACACCTTTTCTCAACAGTTGGTAAAAGGTGTTGAGTTGGGGTAACATTTCTGACCTTGTGTGATTAACAGTTTGGCAACACGTTATGTAATCATGTAATATCATGTTACAATACTTTGATCTGTAAATGCAGACACTTACTACATTTATTTAATGCTCAAGAGTCCCAAGACTTCCTCCCAGGAGTTTTGAATAAATCTGGCTTATAAGACCTCCATAGAACTGCAGCACCAACGCTGGTAATTTACTTATGCAATCCAAGTCTGTAAATGATCTGTAAAATCAATATCAAATAATTAAAACAAACACAGGAAAGTGGGGTGGGATGTCAGTCAGATTTATCATATGTAAGTGCAAACAACAGAACAAGAACACCAGCTTTGGTGTAATCTTGATACATAAGTCCTTTAAGGGAAGTGGATCACAAATGTCTTCAATATTCTCTTTTTATTTTGATACGTTTTGTTTGTTAATCCTTTTTAAAGTCCCAATTTCACATCCGTGCCACAAAATAAATCAGCTGAAATAAGTGGGGGCTGGATGTCTCTATCATGAATTCTCTTTTGTTTGTTTGATTGAAAGTCTTTGTCTTCTTATTCTGCCATCTGAAGATGGTGGTGAGTTAGAGGAAAACAGGGCAACAAAGCGCTTGAGGGTGAAGTGCAATTGCAATGTGTTTACTGACACCTAGTGGCTTTATGGAGAAACTGTACTCTGCGATACAAGACATGGTTTTCAAGGTTTATGAGCTGATGCTGAGCTCATAAATCCATTTATTGTATGTTTGTAGTTATTTATGGTTTATCACAAATCATACAAAAAGTCAGAAACATAACTGATTCTCTGGTTTGTAACTAATAGAAAAAGAAGGAGACAGACAGCAAGACAGTTTCATGAAAATCTACTTTTATTTGGATGCAAAAACTCACAACTTAAAGCAGTACTATAGCAGAGAAGAGGAATACTGATGCTGGTTGGTTTTTTTGTCTGACTGTTCAGCTATTTCATCATCGTCATTTTGATCATCAGAGTGTGATCAGGTATAAGCACTGCAATAAGCACTCAAAGATTTTCAGTCAGGTACACTGAACATTATCAGAGGACTGAAAGTCAATAGACTGACAAATGAGGATAGATTTGAGCTTTTCTTTTCAATCTTAGTCCTTGTTTCCTTTTAAAAGGTAATTGTGGCAGTTTAGTTTGCTAAATGACTGAATGTTTATGAATTGGTCCAAGCCCACACAGGTGATTCCCTCCTCTGATAATGTCCATGACTGTTGATCTGATGCGCTAAAGTAGAAGTTTTAGGAGTGTGAATTTTCTTACATACAAAACTGTTGTCACTGTTTTAGCTGCCTTTACATGTAGCATTTACATCTCATGTTGTCAACTGAGAGTGGCCAAAGAGTCACAGATGGAATTGAGAGGGGACTGTGTAAAAAGTCAGTCTGAGGTAAAATTCTCCAATAAAAACCATAAAAACATACACAGAAAGCAAAGCATATTAAAGCAAAGCCTAAAGGCATAAAGTAATGATACCGAGGACTGAACATTATCTATTTATTCTCTGTTCTGTAAGGTAACTCAGGTAGTTGTCACATTTTTGTTTTGTCAGATCTTGCGATAAAAACCGATGGTTTGATCCACAGTATGAGCTACATTCCATCATGGTGTAAACGGAAATATACACAAGGCATCTACTCGAAAGGATTGTATCAAAATGTTCTAAAAATATCTCTGGTTGGTTTCACAAAAGCAAACTGTATCAAAAGCATTGGCCGAGAGCAAGCAATAAATATATATAATATATTTATATATATAATGGGCTTTCAACCCTTTTACACAACAAAAAGCAGGACAACCAATCACGTCGCTTTGATTGTGGACCAATGGAGTCCCATACAGCACATGCAATCCATTAAACTCAACACAATCAAAACACAATACAGAAAGAAAGAGAACTGTTACAGCTGAACATCAGAGACAACCTCAGTGTGTCTATTTGTGCTTCATACAGGTTAGGCCTGGCCTGTCTATACAACAATCATGAGCTTCTTACTTCACGGATGTGTTCAAGCTACTGTTGAAAACAGAGGCATTACAGAAGAGGAAACACTGAGGGGGGGAATTCATAAAAGATATGGAAGATTAATTAGACTATTAGCTGTGTGTATGACGGTTTATCATGAAGCACTTTTAACTTTCCTGTACTTTACTCCTCTGTGTGGGTGAGTATCAGATTTTACACAGCTTTGATAGTGGTTTGCATTGATTTTTCAGATGGTTGGATGCTATTTCTGGCCTCTATCCCCTCAGTGTCACCAGCACTGTGACACCTCTGAGTGTTTGTCTATGTGGCCTTAATGCAGTTGAGTTGTTGACTGTAAACATCATGAGGCCGTGAGGACTGCACAGGCTGCATGGTTAAAACTGTAATACTGTAGATTGTACAGAAATCCTAATTAGTTAATCAATAACCTAACTGTAATACATTCCTATGTTCCATAACATTGCACATGCCTTTAATGAACACTTAGCACCATGCAACCTGAAGATGAGGTGGCTCCTGAATGCATCACAAGTAGAAGCAGGCCTTGATGATGACCTGTGATGATGTCTTTTTGCAGTAAAAGTCAATGAGAGCGAGTCAATGAGAAAAGACAATGTTAATTAACTAATATTTCATCTTAAGTTTAGAATCTATATACTCTTTAGTATTAGGCTGGTATTCAACAGTTCATATTGATTAAAATTATGCTGGCACTTACGTAGTAAAGGGCCCTTACTTTAACACTTACATAGGGCAGCTAATCTTGAATGTCCTTTATACAGCAATCCGATATCGCTGCAGGTAATGTGATTATATTTGAGCTCAGTTGTAAGCTTTTGATAACTTTCATAAAGAATAAGAGGGGGATAATTCAGAAAAAGAACCAAAAGAGGCATGATGACTTAGACTCATGTACAGTAACTTGACAAAAGAAATCTCAGCAGTGCAAATGATAAATAAGAAGAGTAGTTTGGATCATTTTAGACCTGATTGACTTTTCAGAACCGTGCGAATCGACGCCAAAACCTCCGATCAAATCCCTCCTCCTCCTTTTGTTGTTCAGCTCAGAAAAAAATCAGTACACAAAGGTTTCACTTCTGTTTGAGTCTAACTTGCATGAAATGATCAACATGGTCTGAACGTGTTAAAGGGTGAGATTGAGATGATGCTAGGTACAGTGGTGCGCACCACCAGTGGCGGTACTGTGTACAGTGGTGTGTCTCGGTCTGGGAGTGTCCGCAGAACTCACTCTACTCCTCAGCAGCGTGAGACAGCTGCTTCTCGTACAAGCTGAGGACATGATGCACAAACTGGTACTGCTCGCTCGTCTGGATCATCCCTCCCCTGGAAAACCAAGAGGAAAATAAGAAAAAGAAGTTTGTTTTTGCTGGCAAATATTGTTTGTTAATTGCACATGACTGTGGTAAAAGTAATGCCCACTAAACAGACCAGCATATCTCAATTTATTGTGCATTAGCTAACTAACATTACCATTTAGCTCAAAGCTCTATAATCGCAAAATAAATCCATAAAGAGCTGATTGATTGTTAACGCATGACATTTTAAATGGTATCCATCAAAAGCCCACTGACTTAGTTTACTGTAGTCCTACTGATGTCTCATGCATTGAATAAGTCCTCATGTTTTTGAAGCTTTCGTTTGAACTGTGTTGCAGTAAACCAAACTCCACCTATAATGATTAAAATGTTAATCACATTATCTGTCAGTGCAATACCCGGACTGATGATTTGTCAAATGAAAGTGTGACTGACTAACAGTAACACATACTGCACACTTTTCATTGCAAGCAGTGTAGGGATGTCTTGTATTTCTTACTATGTTTACAGTGGTTGTATTATTATTTGTGTATTTCAATAGGTGTGGTTGCAGTTGGTACATAAAATGCTTTATTGTTGTGACGCATCAGCTCATGTAAGAGGATTTGTAGTTTTCCTACTGGAAAATGCATTGCTTTTTTGAGGCCTGAAAACTTGCATGTTTTTGCACACTCATCAGGCTTGCATGAAATTTCCGTATTTTAATGGTCTCATGAAAAACTTTGGAGAAATTATGCTTAATTTACCCCCTAAAGTATTCAAGTAGTAAATGTTTGTTATCACACTGGAACAGGATGTAACTGCCATGTAGTTTGTGTTTTGGTTCAGTATCGTCATGTTCCTGATTCTCTTGTGTTTTCAGTGTTTTATTCTTAGGGTTAGTTTTCACTGTTTTCTGTTTTATTCTGTAGTTCCTTATCTTTGTGTTTCTGGTCTAGTTTTACTTCCTGTGCTTTCCCTCTCTTGTGATTGTGAGTCCTCACTGTTTGCACCTATGCCTTGCCTCACCTGTCTGTCATTGCTTGTTACCTCATGTGTATTAAGTCTCTGTGTTGCCTTCTCTTTGTGTCAGATAGTCATCTACTCTGCCTCATGGCTGCCTTGTTTTTCCAGTACCTTTTTGTTTCTTGTTGGACATTTCACATTTGGTCTTTCATTGAAAGAAACTCCCTTGTTTTTGTTCAAATGTGACAGCTGTATTTTGAAGATCTAATAATATTGGTAAAGTTACAAAATTTGGTACATGAGTCAAGTGGAGAAATTACATGTTTGAAATGGGTTTGGTAGATGGGCATGGAGTATTGGCTCATTAAGCCACACCCATGTTTAAAGCCACTAATACTTAAGCCGCCAAATCAAATTTAACCTTAAAAGATGTGCTTTGTTGGGCCCAGATCCTACAGCCACCAAAGGGTTTCTCAGATCCATATGGTCAGACTAACTAGAAGTCTGCTATATTGACATTTAAATTAACATTTGTGGTGAAAATAGGCTGATGGTAATCCCTTTTTAGGGGTTTTTTCAAGGATAGACTCATATCCTGGGGACAAAACAACCCATCACATCCGTTAAACACAGATTGAAGAGACATGAAAAATTACAAATACATTAGCTTTCTATACAACAAAAGAGAGTGGCCAAAGCAGGTTTTCATAGTTTGAAATTAAAAAAAAACAAAGATTCAGCCACAATGCCATAATATGAGACATATTTGAGATGCGTTGCGGGTCTTTCTTTGTGATATTCTGAAATCTTAACTTCAGAGCGGCTAACTTTCATTAACGATTTGGAACCACATCAATTAAAATTGTCAAGACTCTTTTCTTTTGATGACAATGCAAGTGGCTGCATTAGTCATGCAGGATCTGCATGGACTGAGAGTTTCTCACCTGTCCAGACGGAGCTGGCAGGTGGTTCTCAGGATGTCCACCACGCCCTCAGTCCTCAGCTGCTTGCACAGGATGGAGGTGGCGATAAAACAGCCTGTTCGACCAATTCCAGCACTGGGGACAAAAAGTTAAAATGGTAGCTCTAAGATGCAGAAAAAAAATATATATAAATGATGCAACTAAGTTCACTGACACCAAATCTGACAAATGAAATCAGACACCAGAGACTCAACAGGGATGGATGAATTGCTTTGTCAAATATTTAAAATTTCAATTTAACAGGAGTACAATCAAACAAAAAGTATTATTGTATTGATCTGTGTTTTTAAATCACACAAGAGTGATTTTATTACCTGCAGTGGACAATTGTAGGACCACTGGAAGGTGGGGCTTCCTCTCGAGCCCTCTCCACCTCCTGCACCAGCTCCAGGAGAGGTGGGGCTTTGTCTGGAGTCTTCTGATCTGGCCATGAGGTGTACCAGTACTGCCGCAGACTGCGCTCTTCGCCTTCACACTGCAACACACACATACCCACAGACACACACATTCACACAGGAGCATACAGATATGTGTTCATGCATGAAAGTATGATGAGATCATGTTACGCACTCATCCATGGAGGCTGACACTGATTTTTGATACGACTGCAGCTCTGAATGTTAATCCAAATAATTGTCACCTTGGTATTAGTTGCTACGACAACAATGAACACAGAGTAACAGCAAAAAAAAAAAAAAAAAAAAAAAAAGGAGTGAGCATTTGCAGAAAGAGTCTCCTCCTCTGTTGCCTTTAGTGTAATGAAATCAGATCCATCAGCTGCCTGTTTTTCCCACAGGGTCTGTCAGTGATCATTAATCCAACAGATAGACAACATTAACCAGAGAGGCTGAATAAACAACAAGCTTTTAACTCAAAGCGCAGTTATATAATGATCCCCTGCCGATTAGTAATCAGGTGGAGGCAGTATTTACTGAATTATCATGTTTGGCTTGCTAAATGTCAATGCGACCAAGACCCCAATTACATACAAAGCACCCATTATGAACACACAAATGGAACTGAATGTACAGCTGGTCCAGGAACTTTTAATTAACCATTGCTAGGCAGATAGACACCATGAAGGTCTGATACAAAAGAAAGAAAGAAAGAAAGAAAATAAATTTGCACTGTGTCTGTTAAGAGCCCAGGATCACCTCCGTGTTTAATGGCAGTGCTTTTATCGTGAATATCATGATTCCTTCTTATTGATCAAAATTTTTTTTAAATGATTTCCTTTCAGCCTTATAAAGAGCTTCAGCTAATGTAGATGAAAATTTTCATGTATTAAAAGCATTGTGGCACACTGCATTTTTGATTCACAGTTAAAGGAACAAATGTAAAAAAAAAAAGTTTTGCTGTCATGGTGAAAACCTAGCCTTCATTCATCAATTCCACTACCTATTGAAAAGCTAAGCACCTTTTATATACAGATTTTACACAGAAGTTCTTCTAATAAATCAAACAACTTTCTTTTCGGAACAGGAGATGACAAATACAACAAGTTTTGTTATCTTTTCAATATGACATTTCCTTATTTCAAGGGATGTTTTGCACTGTTCAGCTTACCTGTGTGACACACTGCTAGTTTCTCAGTGTCTTACCTTCAAAGTAAAAACCCTCAGACTGTAGTCATCTTCCTGGGTCACTGAGATGACAGTGATCTCAATGCCCTCATGGGTCACAGAGTCTTCAGGCCAGTACTCTGCACATTTCTGCAAGAAATAACAGCACAGATATATATTTTCACTTATCAAGTTAAATCAATTGTACATTCATTTTTTATCGTTTTATTTATTTGTTTTTATTTATCATCATCATGTTTCAGTAATTTTTTCCACACTGACTTCGTTTTTCTCCTCCAGGTTGGTGATCATTACTATGATCGGGCACCTTTCCTGCCACACCATCCTCCAGAAGTCTCCCACAGTGTTCACTGTGGGACCTTGGGTGGCAATATAAGCTTGCTCTTCACCCCCATAACCCTGAAATATGCACAAATGCGCACATATGAAGAAAAAGCATATAAAGATACAGCAGTTGTATTGCTCTGAATTCATTGCTTATTCATGCTCATAATTTCACTCACTTTAAGATAATTAGCATTAATGTAGGTAGTGAGGAAATCCTCTTCATCCTGTGACTGTAACATCACTCTGCTATGTGTGTCTGGAGGTGGATAGAAAGAGTGTACCATGAGAAGCAGGGACAGATGGGTTGATATTAAAGTGACTGCAAAAGACTTCAATAATATGAACTTTATTTACTACACGAAATCTTACAAATCTGCTTATTATGAAGACTGTGCCTCTATGGATGCTTCAGTGTGAGTTTCAACACTCAGAAAAATGTATGTGCTAAAATTTAATGAAAGCACCAAATTAAATTATTACACTGAGACAGTAAAAAAGTTGCTTTTGAACCATTACATAACAACAAAAATGGATTATCCCTTTCTTGGCTGTTTCACATCTTGCTGCAGCTGTACTTACTGGGTAAGATGGTTTTGTAGCGGTTCTTTCTCACCAGCCCAGGATAGTTGTACTCCTTGGGGTCTACAAAGTTCATGGGAGTTTCCTGCCAATGAACACAGAACAATGGATGCCACAACAATTAGTACTCCCAGGGATGGGGAAAGTCCTGGTCCTGCCATTTAAAGCTACGTTTACACCAAAAATCCCCAGGACATCAGGTCTCAGGAGCTAAACCAAAGTCTAAAAATCCCTCAGGTAAATTAGTCAGCTGAGATGTAGCTACCCAAGATCTTACAACTTTATGGAAGCACTGCCCTCATGTGTGACCAGTACCACTACATCAGGCAGAAGATATTTTATAACGTCTTGGTAATTTTCCTATGGCATGGCCCTCCAAAAAAGGAGAGGCGGTTTCACAGTGCACAGAGCAAGATCAGACTAGCATAACTGCCTTTCAACGGCTTTTCTCCCTCATTGGGTCGAACTTGGTTTGATTGGAAAGACTCTTCAATTTAATACTACAAGTGACCAGTGTACAAGGATGCAGTGAGTCTCTGGTCATGGGCACCAGATATGACTGTACCTCATAATTATCAGCCCTAGCATAGGCTAAGCTCAACTAGCATAGTACCAGCTGACAGCAGGATGGCAAAACGAGTGGGGTCTGGACACAGATGGGAGAAACAGCCGCGCAGCTGCATAAAAACTATACGTTGCTGAATACAAAATAAGTCATCATCACACAGAAAGACAGGACCATTTTTAAGGCATTCAAAAAGACAGCATTTTCTCAGTCCCTTAGTCTTTCAGGTAAGTTCCTGGGATAAAAATGTGGCTGAAATGGCACCAACAAACTGTGAGAAAATCCAATTTGGTCAACCAAAATAACCAAAGTCACAATCAACGTGTGAGAGATTCAAATTCTGTGGCCACCTCATTTTGATCTCAAACCCTTATCCTTCTGCCTTGCAGACACTGGAATCCACAGTGGAGTTTTGTATGCAAATATGCCAGTATCCATCCTGCCATCGCCCACTAACACAGTGGAAAAGCTTACGGGTGTGTACAGTGCTCCACTGGGGGTGTGTGCATTTGTGCCTCTGTGTGTATGTGTATGTGTCATTGTATTTCTCTCCTGGTGAGTCGCTGCTTATCCTTGGTAATCTAAAGCATGTAGGTGGATGCAGTAAGAGCACTCACATAAAACTCGGCCTGGAGGCTCTGATCGTCCATGGCCCGTGTGTGCAACATGGCTGGGGTCAGGCTGTGTGTACCCTGTCTGAGGTACTCCTTGGCAGACTGGTCCCGGGGAGAGAGCTGGGCTCCATAGCCGTAGGGCTCAGTGCAGCCTGGTGTGCACATGTCCAAAGTCAGGGAGACATTGGAGCCCCTCCTGTGAAATACAGATTCAATGATTTACACAAAATACTTGGGAGCCAAAGTGTTGGAGCCAAGATCACCATTTGTTTAGCAGTTTGAGTCAATGATTTAGAGCCAAGATTCGATGATAAGACAGAAGTGGGGGAGGGGAATGAGAAAAATATCATTGTGGGCGAGGTAATACAATGCCTTTTGTATCTTCAAAAGACTTTGGAGGGTTTATTTTGAAATTTATTAAATGATACTGGAGAAATGCAATAACAGGTGTGAACTGAGACCAACATCAGGTTCAGGTTAATAACCTGTCAGCTGAATATTGGACACATGCAAATGGATGTTCAGTTATCTAAAAGGGAGAAAATAAAAGCTGAAATCAATAGTTTAATATCTATAAGAGGACATTATTGGTCTGACATTCACAGAATTGTCCAGCTAAATGAAACAGGACTAAAAAAAGCCAAGGGACAAAGATCAAGTAAAGTTAAGTGCACATTCTCACCTCTCCTGAAGCCCCACAGGTGTGACGGTAAGGGTCACAGCGTCTCCCTCTGTCCTGGTGTCGACACCCAGGTCAAAGACTGGTGTCTGGGGTATGGGGTCCATGTCCAGGAGATCCTCCTGAGCATCCGTCCATTCTGAGAGGGTGAAGGAGGGCTGTCGGCTCACAGACTGACGCCTATCACCAACATCCTGCAAAACTTTTTCTGTTGACCATAAGCCAGAGCCGTAACGCCATTTCCACACCACATGGATGACCTGAAGAGAGATGAGTGGTAAACAGAACAATGTGGATCACCTTGTGTCTTTAAATGTCAATATATTTGGTTGGAATCAAATGTAACATGTAAATGATGGTTTCGTTTATAGTTGGTTTCTGTATAACATTTGTCTTCACCATCTAAACGTCATATATATCATTTGGCGACTTTAAAATATGGTCTGGCAAATCAGAGGTTCAAATCAGGTGCAACAACAATCTTAGAAAATCCAGTAAAATCCTGGAGGGACTGATTCATACAGAAATACAATAAGATTTCCAGGAATGGAACAGCCTGTCCAGTGTTTTACCATGATCACACAGATGGCCACACCAACGCCTGCAGTCCCATTGATGATCCAGTTGTGCTGCGTGGTGTCCAACACCTCCCTCATTAACACCATAGACTGCCCAGTGCAAAGAGAGAGAGAGAAAGAGAGCAGTTAGGGACATTAACACCAGATCCAGGATATTCACAAGATTTTTCTCAGCAGCCTCTATCAAAAAAAAAAAAAAAAACAACAGCTTTGGAGGTCAGATCACAGGACTGATGCTTACGTCCATTCCAAAAATGGGGTGACAGGGTAAGATGAAGCTAAGGTAGAAATCGATGGCTTGCAGGGCCTTGTAGATGGAGGAGAGCGGTCCATTTCCTTCCACCACGAAAAACACCCAGTACCCCTGAGGGGAGAGAAGAAGCGGGGTAAGATTGTGACAATGCACTCTCTAGTCATTCATGCAGCAGTAATCAGGCTGCTTATGGTGAGAAGTGAACAGAAAAAAGCCTTCTCTGCATGTGCAAAAAAAAAAGGTATTGACCCCATGGGGTCTGGTTTTTATAATCAATGCTCCATTCTGCATTCTTTTGCATAATGTAAAATTAGATTTTCTTCTTCTTTTCTGAATGAATCATAACTGGATGAGAAAAATGGCATCCAATTTTATTTTCGACATTTTGCATTAGTTAAATTAAAGTTGACTGAAGAAATTGTGACAGTAAGATACATTTATAAAAATGATTTTTTTTTGTCCAGTTCAGGTTCTACATTGGAAAGTGCAAATGATGTTTGCATTGCACCCATATGATTGCACCGCATTGCAGTGGCACAGTTGTGGTTTTTAAACAGGCTTATATTTTATGCTGATCTTAAAACCAAAGCTTGTGCAAGGAGGTAATTTTAACCTTTAGTTGAGTTTAAAGGAGATATTTTTGGAAAAATCTTCAAACAAGTGACCCCCTTTCATGATATTTTTTCTGGTCACTTCTTAGCATTCACTTACCGTGACTTGAGAGATAACAAATAGTGCAGCCCAGCAGTGGATCTCCACCACAAGCGCATACACCTTATGCAAGAAGACTTCGTCCCCCTGTGTGTTTTGGCCTCTTGAAGGTCCACCTTTGCAATTTGGGAGTAAGTCTTTTTTCGGGTTTCTATCAGCCACTTTTTCTGTCTTTGTGGGCTCATCCAGCCAGACAGGGTCCTCATCGGGCCTCAGGAAGATAGAGTCCTCAGTGTGGGAACGGGTTGAGCTGCTCAGTCGGCGGGTCATGATTTCCCTGGAATCATGAAATAGAAGCCCCTTTTTGTTAAAGGAATGCTTAATATTCAGTTATATTTTGTATGATTGCCATATGTTCAATCTGAAAATTCCCCCCAAATACTAAAAAGAGCATGTGATTCACAATATTAAGTTTACATAAATGTGTTTCACCACTTCTGCTAAATATCCAAAAAAGAGATCACATTTTGACGCTTTTGGTCTCTTCTCTTGACTAATCATAAGGAACTTGAGGCAGACTACTGTGAGTGTGTGTGCTGCTCTTTTGATGTGTAATCTTAAAAAGAGCATGTTTATGACAATGAGGATTGCATTTATTCCAAAGGCCTATTCAGGTGTATAACTGAGCAGCTTGGAGTGGCTCTCTTCTGCAGATCCTCATGTCTCCGTCAGATTGATTGGACTCTTTTGTGTGTGTGTGTGTGTGTGTGTGTGTGTGTGTGTGTGTGTGTGTGTGTGTTACGGAGAGAGGGAGAGAGACATTGTATTGTGGAGGGATGAGTCAGGGGTAGCATGTTTACAGCCCTGTCCGTTGCCATAGCAACAGAGTGATTCTCATCTGTCCTGAGCTTTGGCACACATACATCTGCACGCACAAACACACACACACACACACACACACACACACACACACACACACACACACACACACACACACACACACACACACACACACACACACACACACACACACACACACACACACACACAGCCTCTCTGTATCAGTCAGCAGTGTATTCAGAGCCTTTTTCCTGCCTGCTCTTTGTCCTTCAGCCATTAATAAAGGTGTTTTGTACATTTGGCTGATTACCGCCACGTGGTCGGTGCGGATGTGTGAATGCGGGGGCCTGTGAGAGAGTGGTGGTGTGCTGTTGCGTACATATCACTTTTGTCTGAATGTGTTGCTGATGGCTAAATTTGTTCCAAGTGAATTTGGAACAAGTTTTCATCAATGACCACTGACTAACAATGAAGAGGAAAGGATTTCCATTTAGCTTACAACAGGAACATCAAAAGATAGTACATATACATTTACTTGTGCACTATACACACACATGTGACTTACCTTTAAAAGACAGTAGGGAATTCAGGAGGCAGTCTGTAATCACATGATCAAGTAAAATCCTGTATCCTGGGACAACCAGCAGCTTGTAGACATTCTTAGGCAGAGTCAAACCTGAAAGAGAGAAAACAGCAGACTATTAGGTTTCACATTGTTTGTGTTCAACGTCCAAAAGGATGGAGAAACAAAGTGGTAGTAGGGGTAGTAAAAATAGTCTTTTCTGGTCAGCACTGACACTATATTCTCAACAGAAAACACATAAACTGGGGGCAATTGAAAAATAAATACATTGATGAAGTCAGGTGTAGGCTAAAGCTTGAAACTGATATATCTACACTTTTTACACAACATGGTATACAGTATTTAGCAGCCCTTTAACCAAGTTACAACCAGTTACACCTTTAAAACAGACAGGAAATAAATATATTTTCCAAAGTTTAAGGGGCTTACATTTGTAAAACATGAAAGTGTTTTTTGACAATAAATCTCCTCCTGCCATCTTTTGAAAAACTATATTGTCAGCCACCATTTTAATGTTGGAAAATGTGTACAAAGTTTTTGCAATGTGCTGTAACTTAAAAGCAATTATAAGCACTAAAAATAACTATACAAAAGCTGATAATCTTGTCTTTGATGGTCTTGTTTTTTCAAGTTCAATGGAGGCATCAGTTATCATATATGTTCATTCAATTTTTGGTGGTTTTAAAATGGGAAATAGTGCATTGATTAGAGTATTTTAGTTGAATCTAATGACAGATCTTACACATCTCTTCTTCAATGTGAAAGAATTTGTAAAAATGTGTAAAGGTTATAATTTTGATGGTTTCCTCCAAACATTATAAAGTGGAGCCCCTGTGACTCAATCTGAGGAATTTAGTTGTCTCTTTTCCTCCTGGGATGGGTTGGAGTAGCGCCCATGTGTGCCCCGAGCTGAGTAGGATGGTGATGTAAGGTGACACACTAAACTGTGAGCATCTCTCTTCCTCTCTTCCTCTCCCCCTCTCGCTAAAAAAGGCACATATGATCGGAGGCAGACTCCCTTTAAAAATACACTCAGATTGTTCCCAGCCAATCAGTATACATCAAGTCAAAGCTCTTCTCCTTCTTCTCTCTTTCTCCTCTTCTGCTGTGCCACCAGATCTTGCTGAACAAACCAGGAGAGCTCAGTGAAATATGACCACACCAGTGCCAGGAAGTGTGTGTGTCTGTGTGTGTGTGTGTGTGTATAAGAGAGAGACGGATACAGGTGTTGAACAGAGGGGAGCAGCTTTCAGTCCTTCTCTGTCTCCCTTTGCTTGCTGCGAAGGTGGTTTGGAAGCGATGACGCCAGCTATCCCAGCTTGTAGCCATGGCAACGTGCATACATACATTGTACACACACATATGAAGCATACACACATGTACACACACACACACTTGGATTGTGTTGTGTAAGAGAGACTGCTTCTGCTCTGAAACAATATCTGGACAGGTAGAGGAGCGAATGGAGGGATGGATGGGAGAAAAGGCTGTTGTTTTTTTTTAAGTGAAGGTTGTCTGAGGCTGTGACGCAGTGTGGTTGGCGTTTTGGTAACTGGTGCAACCATCATACTTTAGCGTGCCATGCACACTCTCCAAATCGAGGTGTGATGAAAAACACAAACATCTGCACTGGGAGGGAAGTGACAATATTCAGGTTTGTCAGGAAGATTTTGCCTCTCTTTGCTTTTCTTCTGTGAGGTAAATATCTTTGTTTTTCTCTCTCAGGCTCCTTTGGCTGCTGAGTGTTTTGCTTGGTGAGATGTTTGAAACATTTGTCTAGGACTGTAGCTTTGATTTGAGACATCTCATTTTGACCCGATATATATTACAAACTACAAAATAGCTCATTGCAAATTGTCCCCTGTGCTTAAAATGTGTGCTGGTAAATGCTTCTAATGTTTTGCTTCCCACGTCTTTGTCTGAGCTACAGAGTCAATTCATATTAGGACTGTGAGCCGTCTCTACAAACCGGCCTTCAACATCAGGGAGGAGCTCATATCCTGGACAATACTTATAGTATTTATCACTTTCCTTTAGGCAGGTTAAGGACCAGTTTTTCCCTGGAGTCTTAGATCATTGACCCTAAAAGCAACACCATAGCTTGTGAAATCAACATTAGTGTCACTGCACTTTATCTGAATGGACCAGTTTTCAGCTACTTCAGATTGAGTCTCAGTCTCAGTCTTTGGACAAAAAATGCCTACACATTTCAGTCATTGTTTGCTCATTTTTAATTTTAGTCTTGTTTTAGTCATCAACAGAAAACACTGGGGAGGACAGGTGTGACTCAGTAGAGCTAGTCGTCTCGTAATCAGAAGGTTGGGGATTCAATTCCAGGTCTCACCGTCGACATGCCGACGGTTTTCTTGGCAAGAAACCCAAACCTAAACTCTCTCCAGGGAATATGTCAGTGATTTCTAAATGGCATCACTTGATACTAATTGGTGCTTTACACAGCAGCCTCTGCCATATCGTGCCAGTGTGTGAATATCGAGTGAATGGATGACTTTGACATGTAATGTAAAAGCGCTTAAAGTGATCGGAAAGCTAGAGAAAGCACTAAAATACTGTGTGTCAATATCTTTATATTTATATAAGTTATCGTCAATAAGTAGTCATCCACGTTAGCTATCAGTCTTTTCAAACTAATTCAATTAGCTGGTCAAAAATAATAAAAAAGGTTGTATTAGAAAGTGTTCAACCTGCAAAGTAGTATTTCACTCCAGAGATAGACAGATTAATCAGGCCAGTTAATGGTATTTTGAAAGAATATGATTGGCTAAAGCCTGGGGTCACATGGCTAATAAAAAAAATTGGCAAATAATGTCTGCAGACTTTGCAGTAAGCCTCAGTGTGACTGCTGTTGAGAAATTTTAACATCCCTCTAAATGATAACTTGTTTTACCCATCCTAAATAACAGTGTATCAAATCTTAAACACAAACCTTTTCTTTCTTTGACGATTATTGCCGTATTGACTTTCATGGGCATCAAATAAAAGTGTAATGGACCCACATGTGAGGTCCATTACAAAAGGTTCTTGTTGCACTTTTAAGACTACAGTAATAGGAGTGGACACTCAGTTCACTGTGATCTCAATTTTATCTTCACTTTTGTTGATTTACAGTCGCTCAACACCGTGAAGCATCTTACTAAATACACCCTCTTGCATATCACAAAATAAGGAAAATTTGGGGCTTGGACACAGTTATAACAGTAAGTGGTAGCAAACAATGGTAAGCTTGAAAAACAGAGTTCCATTTTGTCCACAGAGGCTCCAAAATACTGTCTCATAAGTCAGTCAGATGATCATTCACATGGTAAGTATACAAACACTAAATTTGAGAAATATGGAGAATTAGGAGTCGGGAAGGTAAGGCAAACTTGACAACTGAGTTAAACTCATTTCTCACTCCATGCGAACTCCACCCCTTCAGTCTTACAATACAATATTTGAGTAGTGTTTTCATTGATTCAAATCAATAAAAATCACAACTCCCAGCTGAGTCCTTTATCATGTTTTATGTGGTTTGTCTATATTTGAATCAGAATAATATTTGGTGGTTTGTCAACCCAAAATCTGACTGGTTTAAATTTGCTGCTGTCCATGTACATGTATGAGTGAAAACCGCTAAAATAATAGAAGATAAACTTAAATTTAATCACAATAAATTTATTTATTTAGTACCTTTACAAACAAACCTTTACAAAGGGCTCTGACACACAAGTAAACTGGACACAGCAAGAACACAAACACAAAAGAGCTCAAACAACTCTCTGACCATAATGCCAAGAAAACCCATCAACATTAAAGTCCAACCAACAGATAACCAAACCATCATGAGAGCTCAGCAACAGCAGAACTCAGACTATGTGTATCAGGATAAATAACTTCCCTTCTAGTGTCTTCTGCCATGTCAAACATCAGAGACTGAATGAATATGAACAAGCTTCTCTGAGGCAATCCTGTAATAGTGAGGCGTTCACCATTCTGCTGAAAAGTAAAGCTCCTCTAAGACTGGTAATAAAACAAAATGAAATGAACAGTGATGCCTCTTAATGACTTGCAAAAGCAAATAAGGCTATAAACAAAAGAAAAAGAAAGAAAAAAAAGAGACAATTTCATTACTGTAGACTCAATGCAAGTAACAGTTGCAGAGGGGTAGATACCAGACGAGACAATATTAACAAAACTGGATCCATTTGGAAACAAAGGTGGATGAAAAGCTGAGTGTTTCTTTTGATTGCTTTATTAGATTTAGTCTTAGTTTTTTGATGAAAATACATATTAGTTATCATCCAATTTTAGTCCTTAGCCCTTTATAGTTTTGATCTGCTTTTAGTCAATAACAACGCAAAACACTTAATGGGGACTTCAGTATTTTTCATTTTCATATTTGAAAAACATCTAATTTTCCTTCGAGTTAAAGTCAATAAAAAGTCATAACATTTTTGGAAAACAACTTTTTCTCTCTTGACAATGAATTCAACAAGCCAGTCAGGCATTGGTTTCAAGCTTGAACCATATTTTTAAATCTGTGATTTTAATTGCTAAGGACCAGATCTACTAAGATCCCAAATAAGTAGCGCTAAATTGCATGTACAAACTAAAAAATTCCATGTGCTATTAATGGGCACGTTGCGGGTGATCTGCTATGATTGCTTGTGCGATTGATAACAGGCGCAAAAGCAGTGCGGACCGCCCTATTAAATGAGGATTTTGCATGAGCTACCAACTGTTACCATGAAGAGTTTGGGAGAGCAGAGTAGCCATAAATGAAAAATGAAGTTTGAAGCTACGAAGTTGCACCTATCATTTTTGGGAAGCCAGCAACTGCAAAAAAAAAAAAAAATGTTTTGTGTCATTTATTCCGACTGCGTGGGAACTAGGTATAGCTGCCCATCCTGTGTGACATAGCATTTAACACTTGGGACAGCACACCAGAAAAACTTTTCTGGAAGATGCTGGCACAAACTGCGATAGCTCAAAATTGGCATTGCTGGATAGAGATGATATGTCACAACTATTTTATTTCTGACAGCCCAAATATGTTGACACCCGCACAGAACATTCTCTCTTTCTGTCGTCTGTCATTGCTTTGGCAGTTGGATAGTGCCAAATCCCAGGAAAGGCAAAGGCGTAGCCTAACCTACGTCACCACCAGTGTGGATTTTCTCCATAGGATCTGCAGATGAGAGACCATCGGCTACTCCACGGTGGTACAGGTGGGTGGACGATATTGCTGCGATGTGGGTAAGGAATTCATATAAAATTTCCATCTGCAAAAGACATCTGAACAAAGTTCATCGCCAGTAAGACGTGTGACTTGCTGTCATGATAAAATTCGGTCAATTGAGCTGTGATATTTTCCTGAATTTGCCCGCTCCTTGCCAAATTTGTTTGGATACACCCTGACTGATCACCTGCATAACGAACCTTTTTCATGAGAAAAAACCTTTTTATGCATCAATATTGTTCTCAAGTTGTGCAAAAGTACAAGATTGGCACGACTTTATGGATAATACTTCATTGTCCTTAACTGTACTGCTGAAATCTGGTAATATAATGAAACATTAGAAAACGGTAAAAAAATAAATAAAAAGGAGACCAGCAATACATACTAAATCATTCAATACATCAACACGTACCATGACTAAAAGAGGAAACTATAGCATTCGATATTTCCACACATACGTTTAGGTGGGGACTCACTTAGCAAAGGTAACATTCTCATACATAGGCGTCACATGACAGTTGCCTTTAGGAAGTAAGCTGTGGCACTATCCAACTGCCATACATTGCACCGCCTTCCCGCCACAATGACAGCTGGTATTTTTACATAACGCTGTGCCAGTTTTCACCTACCTTTCAAACATGCTAAATATATCTGCATACATTCTGCATATTCATGAAGGCAAACAGGCTAAATGGATTGCGTGTGGTATTTAGATTTAGATTTTAGATTAGACCTGGTTTGTACATCAGCTTCAAGTTTGCGCTATCAAATTTGCACATGTTTTTATACACTTAAACTTCCGGTAGATCAGGCGCTAAGTATTTTATTTGAGTGATTTCTGGATTTCTGCGTTGTACTGGATAGACATTTAGTTCTCTGCACACTGATCTGAGTCTTCATCTTTAACGATTTAAAGATAATCAAAATGTCTTATTAAATGTGCTCTCGAACAGATTAGATTAGGGTGACGGATTAGATGCACGAGAAAACGTGTATTTTAAAGGTCCCACAGTGCCACACTCACATTAAAGTCTCCTTTTGTCCCTTTAATAAAATGATTATTGTTGAACATTTACTGCCATAGCCTAAGTTCATAAAATGGCATGGTGCAAAACAAGATCAGCAAAGAATAGGTGGAGCAGCTTTGTCCTCAGAGGGCACAAATGGGCAAAGACAGGATGATTTTCATCATGTTTCACTGTACTTAAACTATCCCTTCTGTTTATGACTAATAATTATCATTGGCTGGACAAAACTTTATTTTTGGATTCCAAAGAATAAGCTGCTCCAAACCTGTGATCCACAGCTAAATCACTAAATTGTATGAGTAGAATTACGTTGAGTCTAATCAAGGCGATATAGTAAGCCATGGCCTCTGTCCCAGGAGAATTAAAGGAGCAGGTCCGTCAGCTGTCAACTGAAATGTGTAAATCTCTGCTGCTGCACTCACGAACAAGAGGAAATTAATGCAAAATCTTTTTTTTTTTTTCTACTTTTAGTGACAGCTGGCTCTTGTTTTAAAGGATACCCCTGTCACCCTCAGTGTCTCCATCTGGACAGATTCTGAGCATAAATCTGCTTTTTCTTCTTTCTTTTCGCGAAAGGAGGTGTTTTGCTTTGTCTGCTTTCGTTATGAATAAATCTCAGCACTTCCTGTTTCCAAGGGTATCATTGTTGAAGTGCTGAATGTGATGGGAGTCCAGGTAAGAGGAAGCCCTTACTGAAAGTGATGATGTGATGGTAACATGAGATGAAGTCACAAGGGCCAAGACCTGCTTCATCAACCTTTCTTTGTCTCACACATACACACACTTGCACTGATAAAATCATGATTTTTAAGCACACATGAGCTCTGGGTGACCTTAAAAACAAACACACAGCTCGGCTGCTGGTTCCTCTTCTATATCACACAGACAGATAATCAATCAATGCTGTTTACATACACTCCTACAATCTTTTGCTGCAGCTCTAGGGGCATTTCAAAGAGAAATTTCATTAGAGAGCATATTAACTTACACTTCAGCCTAAGCTATACTGTATGAATAATTAAAATGGGGAGCTCGGGGAATTGATTCACTTTCTTCTGGAGATAAATTTGGCGTCTATGAGATTGTGTTACATGATTTCACTGCATACAGAAGCGGTTTTCTTTCTGGTAGTCATTCATGCTAAGACAACACATCATTCATATCACGTACATGGCTACGGTGAGCCAGAGTGACCACACAGTGCAGAGCTGCATGGATTAGTAATGAATCACCCAGGGAGGTGGACTGTTGCATCTCTCTCTCTGGTGACTCCCACATTGTCACAGAGAAATGACTCAACTGAGAGGAAATTTAGCTTTGAGTGATGAAAGAAGAGACAGGAAACACACAGAAATAAAACAAAGAGATGATCAACCGGTTGGCAAATCATGAGCCTGAAGAGATCTGAAAATAAACACGCGCAAACATACTGAGGCTACGGTAAAGATGCCTACCTTTTCACAGCCAGGAGAGCGCAGCAGCCATATGCACTGTTGGGGCTTTGCTGAAGAATTGGTATTCACCTCATGTCGCACAGGGGAGAGAGGGAGAGACAGAGGGAGTAGATGAGAAGGAGGAGGAGGAGGAGCTGCTGGAACAGTCACTCAGCCACAGCCTTAAGTCTGGTTAGGATAAGTCCTCTTACCTGGCTGAGCCCGTCTTCACATTGCCATCTGCTGCTCTGCTCCCTCTGAGCCAAAGACCAGGAGCCAAACACCGACAACCACGCCAATCTCTTTACTGCTCCTCTGTCTGCAGGAAGAAGAAGGAGCGTGTTTGCATGGGAGAAGGAGCAAGGGAACAGTGAGAGGAAGCGGAGGAGTGTGTGGGGGTTAGAAGAGGAAGATTCTGCCAATTTAAGAGTGAGTGTGTGTGTGTGCGTGTGTGTGTGTGTGTGTGTGTGTGAGTGAGTGTTTGTAAAAGAGCTAAAGGCTCCGAAGTCTGATGGTTTTTTTCTTTTGTTTGTATCCTGGAGGAGAGAGCGATCCACAGGCGGCAGCTTCGTCTAGGTATATGCAGCAAGAGGCTGTGCGGTAGCCTTGGCAACAGAGCCAGAATGAGGGAGAGGGAGCAAGTGAGTGAGGGAACAAGAGACAGAGAGGGGGAGAGAAAGGGAGAGAGAGAGAGAGTGAGTGTGTGTGTGTGTGTGTGTGTATTAATCACATTGTGGGCACATGAATCAGTTCATGTGGTAACTTTATATGGATTTACTGCGAAAAGATGGTTCCCACTTCCCTCATGGTAAACCACTGAAGTGTAATATTAAATGATAACGCCATTCTACTCTTTAATTATTAACTTCACATACACAATACAAATAAACCACTGACAAATATTGCGGTCCTGAAGCCTCATGAGCTCACTTCTTTGTGGGTCTAATCACAACAAAATCTCAACTCATTTCTATCACATCACATTTTGTGCGTGCATGAAGGCTGGTCAACCAAAAGTCCACCCGGAAATGTATTTAAACTACAACTGTCTGGTACCATCTGGATGAAGCTATGACTAAAACTGTCAAAACATGAAGAACAACACCCCCAGTTTTTATTTTGGAGAATCCTACAAAACTGAAGATAGATTGAATTAGCTGTTTTCAGAAAATGTATTGCACTGAATTCTTCATCAATAATGGACCTCAGAGAAGGCCAATTATATTCCACAATAGCACAATTCACATGCATCTTATTTAAAATGACATTTCTGAAGATATCTGGCAACCATTTATCCATTATATAGATTAGAGCTCTCACAATATACGGGTATTGTAGGCAGCTATCTATATGAAAATATAAAGTACAGACATTTTGCTTGAATAAATAAACAATGATTCTGTGAGTTCATGGTTGAAGTCATTGAAGCTGGTTGCCACACATTGCCAACCAAGGAAAGATGAAGAAGAAGCCACAGACTGCTTGAGAACTAGCTTAAAGCAGCTCTCTAAGAGAATACTGGACACTTCAAAAAACTAAAATTCCACAATTTTTATGTATGTCCAAATGCAACTTCATCTTAAGGCTAATAACTAATTGAACAATAATGCTTTAAAACTGTTCTTTTAATGGTTTTATTCGGTTTCATAACCAGCATCATATACTGAATTTACTGAAGAAGTTTCAATCACATATCATATTTCAAAATAAAAGTGAAGTTTTACAATGTAGGAAATAAAACAACTAATGCAAGACAGAAAAAATTCCTAAATAAAAGCATGATAAACAATTGTTTTAGGAGGTTACTTATACAGCAGAGTAGTTTAAATTACACAGCCAGTGATTTGAATAAATTATAAGTTTGTATGTAAAAAGAATGAATGATGACAGTTAAGTTAACTGTGTCTACTGGTAAAACATACGTATGGTCCTGTGTTGTTTATAAACACATACGTATGTTAGATTGCTCCATCCTTGTCTTACCTTTTCCTTTACTTTAACTCAAAATTTTTAACTGTAATATTCATTTTAGAATTTTCTGTGAATATTGCAGAATTTCTTCATCATGATATTTGATGGTCAAGATAATCATGAGGTGGAAATCTGATATCTTGTGGCTGTAGATTTGCTTTGGTTAAAGATTTGTTTCTATCTATCATCCAGGTATCATGTATGGGGTGTATCAGTATAAACCTTATAGTTACACTGAATTTATGTAGGCATAGTGTGTCTATGAATTAAATCCTGTGAATTTGTACGCAAGCACATTAGTGTATGTCAGTACAATATAACTCTTCCTTTAGGGTGACTGTATTATTCTTAATAATTAAAAAGGAACAACATTAAATATTAAAAATAAAATTCAAACATTAAACACATCCAACAAACTTATCAGGTTCACGTGAAGCAGATTGATCAGCTATAAGACAAAATTAGCAGTATGAGTTTTTATTATGCACTTCCTTGTGTTGGACACTGGAGGCATCGTCCATTTTTAAACAGATCTATGGACATAAGTGGAATTGAAGCGACAGCCTCAACTTCAACCCTGATGCCCTAAATCCTTGTAGGATGGCATTGACTGGATATTGTTCCCCAGCTCAAAAGTAGCAACAAGGGATGTGCCATATGCTTGTAATTTAAGTTTACAGTGTCCGGGTGCTCCACTTAACAATTTAAAATAAGATGTGCCAAATTAAATCAGTTTATTATTTTTCTGCCTATTTTGATGGATGTAAGTCACTAGAATGTTCTCCTGAGCACCGGAAGCATGTTTAATTGTGAGTGTGTGTCCCTGTGTGTATGTGTAAGATCATAACACATCGCTGAGCACTGAACGTCCCCCACTGTCACCTCCTCTGCTTCTCACTCGTCTTACTCTTCTTCCAGTCTCCATCGTTTTTTGTCATCCTGCTGTCACTGCTTTACTGCTTCCTACGCTCCCTCTTCCTCTGTCTCCCCCTTCCCTCTGTCTTTTCTTCAAGCCTAATGTCAGTTCTTGTCCCTTCTCTATTTCACTCTCTCCCTCCTTCTCTCTCACTCTCTCTCTCTCTCTCTCTCTCTCTCTCTCTCTCCCTCTCTCTCTCTCTCTCTCTCTCTCTCTCTCTCTCTTTCCTGCCTCGCCATATGGTAGCCCTCGCCTGGCTCTCTGAGCTCACCAGCAGGAAACAGTTACTATCAACATAAATACTGGGGAACAGCCACTATCCACAGCCTTTTTCAGTGTTGCCAAAATATCCCTAGTAAGTTTGCTAATTTTTATTATTCTAAACTTAAGGGAAAAGAACAACACATGGCATACACACAATATTTATATTTTTGTTTGTTGGTTTGTTTTTGCTTTACCCTTGAAAAACTAAATGAAATACCTGCTAATATTTGCAAGCTGACCATTTAAAGTAGTGATGGGAACCCCGGCTCTTTTAGGTTGCCACGGCTTAGTGAGAACCCACTCTTTTAGCTCCCTAACCAATTTTCATACACCATTATGGCTTTTGTAGCAATATTACGACCTATAATTGACGTGTGCATATACAGTTGTTAAAATATAGAACTTGTAATAATAGTAATTAAAATAACAATAAAAATAATAATAATAATGATGAATTTTATTCATATTTACAAGAAAAGATTAAAACATGACAAACAAATAAATGTATGTTTTTTTTTTGACAGAAGTATATCTGCACACATTGCATTGACTTGCTGGATTGTACACCAACATTGCTGCTATATGGCGCATTTGGAAAAGATGCATACACGTTTGTGGAAACATTACTCTTGACTGTAGTTAAATAACCACACTGGACTTAATCAGAGCTACCCGCCTAAATACTACACGTGTATAAGTCTCTACAGTGGTTACCTTCTCATAGTAAACCCCATTCACTGCCATGCTGAAACAGTGTGTAAAACACTAGGACCCCCAAGAAGTGCCACATAAGGTAAGTCACCTTTTTTAAGTTACTGACTATATTTGGTATACCTCAGTTATCGGTAGAGAAAAATGGTCCCAGAAAAAAACTAAGTAATGTTGAATCAGTCTGTTGTGTTCAGCTGATGCAGCATCCAGCTATATACCGCATGTCTATGGTTTCACCACAAGCATAGAATTTATTAGAAAATTTTTTGGTTTCTTACGAGAAAATTTAGTGCTCAAAACAAATGGCTGAAAATCTAGGCGCCGCAACTTATCAGAGACAGACTGACTGTTGAATCTGGTAGCCAAAGAAAAACCTGTTAAACAGACTGTGATATTTCTGAAGAAACATGATGTGCACGACTTTCTTCCACTCTACAGCTTGTAAAATGGAAAAAAAAAGGAGACAAATACAAAAAGTTTGGCACACTTTGGATCTATTTGTGGCCATGGACACTTAATACTGAAGAAAAAAGCCCCATGCAACAGATTCAGTGCCACGTGATAGTATAATTTTATTGTATGGTTTTCTTTTACTGTGATACAAATTAGAGCTGCATTTATAAGGCCTTTAGTATAAAATATTTAAATCTGCAAGTTTTATAGAGAGAGAGATAGCAGCTGCTTGAATACAGTTACTTCCTGGAAAATTTTAGCCAGTAAGATATGGTCGATGCGTGATTATGACAGTGCCAGCACCATCTTCCTGAATTTGTCAGAGTCAGGAGGAAAATGATTTGTAATAAAAAGTCTCAGTATTTCTCAGTGAGACGCTGGGCAAGTAGTATTTCACTGGTGATAAACAGAGACATCTAGTGGTTTAAATGGTTCCTTACCACTGTCTTTGTGTAATATACTTAAATAAGTCTGTCCCACCCATGCATGCTTCTGAGTTATAGGATCTAATTTGGGGAAAAATCTTTGAAAAAGTTATGCCAACCCCAGGTTTGACTGAATTTTCATATCACACTCAGATGAAGTTGGTGCTTCCACTCTGTCTATCTGAAAGCTATAAAACACCTTGTGACACAGACAGACTGGCTTATCTAGATTCAGATTTGCATTGGTGGCAATCAAAGAGCTGTGAAATGTTCATCTAACCACAGGCTGCTGTAGTCTGCTTGTTTCCTGCAGACACAGGCATGGGTTGATGGAAAACAAAAAACAGGCATTCAAAGGATATCAGCCTTTCAAATTTAATGCTAATTCTAGACTCAAAATGATGAAATCTTTTGCTACCTTAATGTCGGCTAAATTTGTTTGTCCTGAGTTTGAAGGTTGATATTGCACGATGCATATGCATATAAATGAAAGACTGACCAGTACCTCTCAAGAACTGATGATGTGTTTCACTTTCAAAATAGCTGCTGGTTGATTTGAAGGGTTGACACAAAAAAATACAGTTTTTATTCTTACTGATCACCTTTCTGACATTTCAACAAAAAGTAAAAATGTGGAAGCTTTCTAAAATGGGAGCAGGTGGTTGAGCTGTTGTATTGGGGTGCGCAGTTATGGCTTATCGTTTTAGATCTATCGGTATGAGTGTCAACCAATTAAAAATAACCATATAATGTGTTTAAATAAGTACAAGGGGAGAAATCTAGTTCATAACAAACAAGGCAGGTATAAAGTTCTATTAAGTTGAAAAAGGTTTTTAGTAGTTAGAGAATCCCTTTTAGATAGAATTCTGAAGGTATTCTATGTTTAAAAGGGGAAACAATAATATATGAGTTAACCAAGAGATGGGCATACTTAGAGATGTCCCTAAAGGAGGTGACATATGTGACTTTTTGTGATGCTGCTCATTAAAGAGATTTTTTTTGTTGAAAAGTGTCCGGAAACAGTGAAAAAAAAAAAAAAAGACATGTAAAGTTTGACAACTTGGCCATACTGTACCTTTCTGTGAGCAACTACAGACATTTCTGCTCAAAATATATCAAATAGTTGATCATTTTCAGTGTATGCAGTTGCTTTAAGTGTTTATTTTGCTAATTCGTATAGCATACAAAAGCTAAATTAACAGACATATCATGTGTTTTCCTTTTGTTAGTTAGCAAAACCGGGGTAGTTTAATATTCAGAGTGTCAGAGTGTGCGTGTTTCAGACGATGAGTTTGAATATGGAAAGTGGGACATGTGAGGGAATTATTCACAGTAATATATTATACATAAATGTATGCGTGTTGTACTTGACAAAGAAAAATCAGTCAAAGGCTGATCTGGGTTGCAGGGAATACTTAAGTATCAGATGTGTTTTTAAGAGTTTTAATTATATTATGCTGGGAAGCATCTTTACAGTGAATCCCCATCATTAGTAATCTCTCTCTCTCTCTCTCTCTCTCTCTCTTTTTAACATTGCACAGTCCCGCAGAGAGATGTGACTTCAAACTGGACAGTTTAAAACACTAGATTAGAAACCCCTGTTTACCCTGATGTTGAAATCTAAACAAAAATGTAAACACACATATCCATGGGTCATAGCAGCAATTATGTCAATTTTCTCAACATAAACAAAGACATGAGAGAGAGAGTTGTGCTGAGTCAGAGATGGAGAGCAGAGATAATGGAGGGAAATATTGCTCTGAAGCTGAAAACAACTAGTTTTTCACAAAATATACACAAATTTTGAAGAGGAACATTTCTTGCGGCTCTCTTTTGTACACTCAGATGAAGCATGTGAGAGTCTTTTGCGAAATGTAAAGCCTCTGTGGTTTTGTGGTGCAAAGAGTTTGAGTGGTATCATGGTTCCAGTTGTTCCTAAGACTCATGAGAGCTGTCCTGAAATGTAGCAAGCTAAGCTACTGCAACAGGCAAAAGCAGTTTAGTCATATCAAAGCTAGTTTCATACATGACATTAATTCAATAATTATCATTAGCTGTGTTTACATGGGCACAAATAATCCGCATAAAAATGCGTCATGCAAACATGTCGATCGGAAGATTCTGATCCAATTCGGCTCAATCGGAAAGAAATTGTATTCCGATCGACAGGGGTGGTTTATGCCAATTGCTATTCTGAAACGCGTCCATGTAAACACTTACCCCGATCGTGACTCTCTTACCTGACTCGATCTTCACTCTTAAGCTTTTGGCTTATTTACTGAGGTCAGAACAGGAGGTTTCATTATTAACACTCTGGCGTAAACACAATCGTAGGAGCCATGTCTGCTCCTCCGGTAACATAACAAGGCGTACATACAGCGTAATGATGTCACATCTGCACGCACAGTGCAACTTTTGACAGAACAGTACAATAAGTGAGCAAGGGTGCCATCTAGTGACAACATTTAACAGGGGGAAAACTCCTGAATTGGATGGCTTGAACCACTACCGCATTTGTTGGTTTGTTGACAGCACAGGCATAAATACACTTATTCTTCTGCGGTTGTTTTAGCGAAATCAGACAACTCTGCGCATTTCCAAATGCTTCTAATCTGAATAAAGCTTGGTGCATGTATACGCACGTCATGATCGGATATTTTGATTTTGCACCCATATAAACAGTGGATTCAGATTATTAATTTTTTAATCAGATCAAGAAATTTTGCCCATGTAAACATGGCTACTGTTATTAGTATTATATGTTGACCAATTTTATTCTAAATCCAGTATGTCTTTAATGCAGTGGATCTGATGAAAGACATGAGCTTCAACAACTTCTGCAGGATCGCCAACAGTATGTAGACCAGCTGAAAAGGGAAAACAGAGAGATCACCTTAGAGCTTAGAGAAACCCTGAGTGAAGTTAGACAGCTGGTCTACACCATCCTTTAAGAGGAGGTGGAGAACAACATCCTTATAACTCCAGACTGACAACAGAGGAGCTACTGCAGCAATCACGGGCACCAGCCTTAGCACAGAACTGCAAAAATTGAGGAGCAATTCTGTATACCAGCAGCACAAATACTTCTGTTCAATTTCCTTGACTGCAGAAATAAAAACAGTCTCAGGCACAAAAGACCCCTCCCCAAAATCAGCCTTTACACATATCTCCAGCGCTGAAGTCCAGAGACTCATCCATCTTTTCCAATGCCTACTGAATACAGAGCCCAAATCTACCAGCTCAGTCGAGCCAGGAGCACAGGTGGCACTTCTCATGGACTCCACTTGAGAACATTAGGACACCAAACGCCTCTTCCCTGGCCTCAACTCCACAGTCAAATGCTGCCAAAATACAGGGTGTGCAATGTACTCAGTGATTCGTACAGGCACCAATGACCCACTGCTAAGGCCATGACAAGGTGTTGTCTCCAACACTTTTATTTTATCAACCTGAACAGCTCAAGACAGCCCTCCATAGGAAACTAGTAAGACAGTCATCAAACCAAAAACTGGAATGACACGTCCTAACCTTACAGAGAAAACTTGCAGAGCAGTTGGAGCGTTCAGCAGCTTACAATGTCAGACACAGAGATCAGACACCTGCTTTATGCAGACGATCCAGGTCTTGTTGTCTCCAACATAATCTGAATATCCTGAAACAATTCTGGGGTCTAGACCTCAATTTGAGAAACACACCAGTTATGACCACACAATATCATATCAATTTACTTTATGCCATTTAACTGTACTGTATTCACTAACAAACTACCAAGGCTGTACATTGACTGTAACTGATCAACTCTGTTATAGCAAAGATATGTAGTATAGTTGTACTGCTTTGGCAATAACACCATCGATTTGTTCGTGCCTACAAAACTAGAAAAGAACTCAAACTTAACCTTAAGAAAGAAGAAAGTGAGAGAGAGAGAGAGAGAGAGAGAGAGAGAGAGGCTGTTATGAGAGTGGGAGTACAAACATGGAAAAGGTTGTGTGCTGTGGGATTCACTCTTTGAAAACAGACATTTGATAAAAAAATTTCACCTAATATTTCTCTGATTGGTGTTAAATTAGCAAATAGTGCCGTCTGATATAGAAAGATGATCTAAAAAAAACTTGTAACAACATTTTCAGAGGCAGTGATTATTTATTTCAGCTTATAATTTTCTGTCTCACTCATCGATGAAGGAGGAGGTAGAGCAGTTAAAGCTCATTAAAAAAAAAAAAAAAAAAAAACACGTATAATGCGACCAACATTTTTGGGTCACTTTCTCTCATCTTTAAGAACTACAGCCTGTTTGAAATCATGGCTGACTTCCAATGAGTATAACCTTTTCGGCTAAATGAGGACATTCTTCCATTGTCTTCATTATTTGATCTGGAACGAGAAATGCTTTCATTTCTTTCCTGCTTATACTTTCTTTCAAACAGAACAAACAGTCAGTAGATCACCTCTAAGGACTGATGTTTGAACTTATACACCTACACACTTTGTGCTTTTCTTTGAAGCCCTTTTCTGATACATCTAGTCGAATGTCTTAAAAATATTCTGTTAATCATGGTAAAGACACACTCTCAACAACTGTTGTCAGGCTGTTAATTTTTTCTGTCTTTTTGTTTAATCTTAGATTACTACGTAATGACCAACATGGGCCAACACAGAGATGTCAACTGTTAGAAAACTATCTCTCCCACCTTAAACCATAATTTACATAAAAACCAGGAAATTGCTCATTCATGGAAATGATATACTGTGATGTAGAATTTCCATGGAGACTCGGGCCAGTCAGACACAGAATATAATTGAAAAGAAAAGAACAATTTGCATTTGGTTTGCATTTTATGAATAAAGTGCAGCTATTCTGTTGTTTCTGTGTTTGTTTCTCATGCTGTGGCCTCAGGTGATTATACTGTAAATGCAAATGTGGCAAACATGCCCTCTTGACCCCTGTGTGGTTATAGGTACAAAGCTTTATAGCTGACGCTAAAGGGATAGGCCAACATTTTTGGAAACAGATCAGCTACACACCGTTTATGACTGCAAAAAGTTAAACAAATTGGAACAAAGCGAGTTGTATCCCTCTGTTTTTGGTACTACTGGGTTTACCTAAATGGTTGCATAGGTGATATTTCCAGAAATGTATCATTGCTTTTGACACATGGCAAGCAATTCACTGACTCTTGCATTAAGAGGCTGCATCCTCTGCAACATCGATACAAAATAGTAGGCCAGAGAAGTAAAAGAGATCAGAGGGATTTCAGTGAGGATTAAATGCCACCAGGATGAGTGGAGCTCTAATTTGGAGTGGTAACAAATGATGCTTAACATTTTTGAACAAGACCATTGACATTTTGAAGCACTGAGTACTGTTGGAAAATAAGTGGCCGGATCAGAAACATATAGCCAATAGGGAGGGTTGGCCTCAAAGCTTATGTCTGAAAAAGGTTAAGGGTCAATCAGAGGACTAGATGAGTGTGAGAGTAGTTTGTGTTAACTTCGTAAAAATCCCCAAATAGGTTCTTGCAGATGTTGTCATCTGATAGGCCTTGTAAACCAGTTGCAACTGTACTATGTGTTGTCACACTTGGAAGAAAAAAGTCAGTCATACAAAAAGGAGAGAGCAGCAGAGCCTACTACTTCAGTAATTATTGAGTATTCAGCTACCAAACTAGCTGTTAGTTCCCTTTTTTAGGCAGCCTTAGATGTGATGGGTGGTGGTAACACTTCAGTAGCAGCAGCGTTCTTATTAGCATATACTGACAGGTCAGATTAATATTACACTTTACACTGCATTCATGTTAAAGTCCTATCATTAGCCAACTGTACTCTTATAAATCAAACTAAACTGAATATTTTCAAAAAGTCTCAAGTTTAGACTTTTTGATGGCATCCCTCACCAATACAGAAAACAAACAAACAAAAAAAACATCAGCACACGTAGGCTATAAGGTCATTTTTCCTCACTTTTCAGCCGGCATGTTCTCTTTACTCCGCCAGTCTGGAAATAATGCAAAAGCCCATACCATGTCATGATTTGTGGTTGCTTTGTGTTTGTTTCCTTCAGTTTGGTAGATGTCTGTTTTACCCAGCTCCTGCTGTGTTGTAACTGCCTTGGTGGGTTTCACATTTAACAACTATTGTAAATGTGTTTTTGGATCAATCAGACTCAAGTATCTAACAAAGTCAGGTATAAGTTATAACAAATCCATATGACTACTGCTGCTGTATGAGTCTCACTCTATTTATGGCCATAGTGTAACTCCAGAACACTAATGCTGAGGTCTGAGGTTTAAATGAGGCATGTCGATGAAGACTTTAAGATAACATAACATTCCTTACAGTCCCACTGCACACACACACTATCGTCATCATCTAAAACATACAACAGCTTATCTCTTGATCTCCCAACAGGGGAAAGTGAGATAAACTTTACATGGCAACAACGGCATGTATGAAAAAGCAAGACTGCAGAAAAAAAAAGCAGACAAACATGCCACAAATATCCCTGAAGATTTTTATAACATTGCCTTGAGACTGGTGGGTCACAATGACCAGTTTTTATCAGCTCCATCTCCATTAGCTGTCATCATCATCATTACAAGCAGTCCTCTGTCAACAGCACATGTGAAAGTGTCTGTCACAGAACAGTATCTTTCAAAAAGCAACACTAGCATTACGAGGTGTTAAAATTGCCCGAACACTTCAGAATTATTCTCGATTACATAAGCTGTCCAGCTACTATGATGTACTGCTACTTACCCGGGGTTTTCCCAGATGTGGAAGTTATATCAACCCTGGGGAAGTTTCACGTTATGTGCGCTCTGGTAGCCCATGTAAAAAAAAAGATCCAAAAAGATTTTAGTTTTTGTTCAATTTTTGGGCTTTAATGCCTACATTGGGGGGATAGGACAGTCGATTGAAGAAAAAAAGGGAACACACAATTTAGACATAAGCTAAGCCAACACCCAATTTTTCAGGGTAATTTATGGCATATTTGACTGATCTCTTAGTTTGTTCTGCAGCTGTAAGATTCTAAGATGATTAAAACAGAAGCTGACAACGGTTTTATTAATTGATGAGAACAACAACAACACCACATTACTTCCCTGAAGTGGAGTGTGAATTTAGAATTAGTTTCTGAGTAATGCTGAGTTAAAGTTTTGCCATGCTAACAGCCTATTTCTTCAGCAAATGATCTAACTTTGTTTTCTTTACTTATCCTGCACTGTAAGAGTGTTTTGTTTTTTTTTTTCATTAGAGAAACATCCTCCTGGTTCCTTCAAAAAACTTAAATATTGCACACTAGAAAATTTCTGTGAAAATGTAAATGAAGTCTGTTGACGTAAAAAGCTTTGTAAGAATCCAACATACAAATATTATTCAGAGGAATTGGCAAGCAAGTGGTGAAAGGGTGAAGTTCGATTTTTCAAAGATATTTTACACATGTAATCCTATTAAATATCAATATAACAGGCCCAAGTCATCACAATTACTAAAGTAAGTTTATTTTATTTACGCAAAACTGTAGTGAGCCTTTTTTTTAAACATCACAGGAGATAACAGCTTATGTTTTTATCAGCTTGTCTCATCCTCACATTTCTCCAAAGTGCAGAAGAGAAAACCAAACCATCTCCTAACTCTATTGTTGCATGTAAAAATCCAAAGTGTCATCAACAGACATTTAATGACTGCACAGCTCATGGAAAGTAGTTTTACTAATATCCACTAACTCTGCAGTGTCACTGAGTGTGATTCTGACAGTTAGTAGAGATTGCCCCACGTGCAGCCCTCAGGGACATGACGGCAGCAGCGCCACATGCTTCATTTTCATCACCTTTACGTATTTTGATGTGTTAGTGACAAAAGTATATAAGTTCAAGCAGCTCTGACACAATTAAAAGCCTACATATCCTCTTGATCAATCAAAGCGCAGATCGATCCTACCATGATCATGTTGAAAACCACTGTGTTGGACATTGTATCACAGACATAACACGTACCTGCTCCTCTACAAACAAATAAAAACAGCTTAATTTGGTGTCTTCTCCTATCTTATTGAGGCCACAGAAGTAAAAGTAGTATTATAAAGTATTATACTTTTAAAGCATAGAAATGTGACCCTAACTGTTTGGACAGTAAAGGACTTGCTCCTTTTGAGTCCAGTTAGTGCTGGCACACATAAAGTACAGTGAGGGTCCATCAGGTAATAAATCAGACAAACAAAAGAAAATGCTAAAGTGTTGTACTGACCCCAAACCAGTAATGAGCTGACAGAAGTACTTTGAAAACATAAATAAAGCCATAGTTTCTCAGTTTTTTTTTTCTTCTTGCTTTTTTTTGTCTCATCTCATGAACTGGCTGTTACTTCCTGTAAGGCCCTCTGTGACAAAGCTGATAAAAATGCTCTTAGACGAAACTCTACATGACCGGCTCATATCACACATGAAATTGAACGGAAGGAGATTTAGAAAGAAAATAAGGGGAAAGAAACCTCTAAAGTAGCCTATACTTTTACAGTCTAAAAAAAAGAATCTATTACATCTGTACAGGGGAGAGTGGGGTAAGTTAAGCCAAAGGGTAAGTTGAGCCACCCCCTGTTGCTTGGAAATGGTAAAAGAAATTGATCACGTGACCAAATATTTAGGAGATGGGCATCCATTCATGAAGTCTGTGAAGGTTAGAAGCACATGGGTAAAGGGGTTAGACATTTATTTAAAAAAAAAAAAAAAAAAAAAAAAACATTGTTCACTCTTGAAAGTGAATTTAGTCTGTCAAAAGTTTTATTACAATTGTGTTCAGACCAAAAAAGATCATTTTAAATGTGTTTTATACATCAATTGTGGTATCTATGAGCTAAAAGTCCACCATTTTAGCTCAGAGGACTAATAAAGTCATCATAGTAGTTCAGGGGTAAGTTGAGTCAGAGACTCAATAGAGAAAGTAAAGACGTCTGATGAGAGGATCAGAGTTTCAGTTCAGATTGTTGAATTTTTTTACTTTTTCTTTTCAAAAATACAGCTGTGAATGTTCTGAATCACTTAAAGACAATCTCATGTTAAAATGACTTTTTACAAAACAGCTTTTAAGCAGTTTTATGCAATAATAATAAAAAGAATTATTGTTATTATCTAAATAGCGTAGAATAGATAAAAATACACATGAATGTGAAAAAATGACTGTGGTCTCCTACCTTATCACTTGAATCACTTGCAGTTCCTTCCCACAACAGTCTGGACTTCGGCACATTGGGAGCGTGTATTCCCGATCAGAAAATAACCGGGCCAATCAGAGACCCTGTTTCCACGGTTACCCGGAAAACAGGGAAAAGGCAGCCCCTGATTGTTCCATGTGTAGATAGTGACGTCTAACACATGCTGCGGGACTTTTCAAAGCGCCGTTAATTCTGCAGTTGACTCTGCAAAGTCGGCAGAAATCGTTAATATCCGCAGAAGACGTCGGATATAAACGATTTCTTTCGACTTTGCAGAGTCAACTGCAGAATTAACGGCGTTCTGAATGAACGGCGCTTTGAAAAGTCCCGCAGCATGTTTTAGACGTCACCACTATACATGGACCAATCAGGGGCTGCCTTTCCCTGTTTTCCGGGTAACAGTGGAAACACGGTCTCTGATTGGCCCAGTTATTTTCTGATCGCTAATACACGCTCCCAATGGGCCAAAGTCCAGACTGTTGTGGGAAGGAACGGCAAGTGATTCACGCAACAGGATGGCCCAGCCAGGCTAGGCTACACCCACCACTACACCCCTGTTTGTGGCCGGTATCACCTGTAAATGAGTGAATTAACTCCAGCTAACTCCAGCTAAGTTTCTAGAATTCATTTCCATTAAGTTTCTGTCATTTTGCTGTGATGGAAGAGGGATAAAACGCGGATGCATTCCTCCAGCCTGCGTGACCGAGTTATTGGAAGAATGCTGGGTGACTCTTCCTCATTTGTGCTTGACCGGGCAGCCCTCTCTGCTCAGTCTACGGATCAAACTGATGGAGCTGTGACGCACCAGTGTTCATACACTGAAAAACAAGGAAGAATGCCGATGGAAAACGTCTTTTTAAGGGGTTGAATCAGAAGGAGGGTGAGAGGATGATGAGAGGAGTGGCGAGTTTAACTAAAAACTTCCCTGATCGACGCGCTGAGCCGCCGCTCCTCCCCGTTAACAACGAGGAGGAAAAAGTTTCTCTTTGACTCTTGACTGTCCTGTTGCAGCGGTTTGACGGAACACTTTAGGAGTACGTTTCAAGCTTTGCTCTTTACAAACGAAAAACTTTGAATATGAGAGTACTTTAGCGGTAGAAAAAAGTCTCCTCAATCTTCCCCCCCATTTGTGCGGCATCATGACGCTGCTGGTGCGCTTCAGCGTCTCTCTGCTGCTCCTCTGTGCTCTCCTCAAGGTAAGAAGGCTTTCTTTCATTTATATTTGGCTCTAATCAAAGAGGCACTATTGCTTCACTCATGGGGAAAAAGACAAGAGGGCGCATTGTTGAGATGCTGAAGGTCAGTCCTTACCTCGCACACGGGTGTAACTGCACCTGTTGCGCAGGTGGTTGTTTTGGAGTGACTCGCTCCCCTCGGGTGCAGCTCAGCTGATACAAAGATACAATTGTTAAGAAAAGGGGCCAAAAATAGGGACAAGTTTTATTCAGTTGTTTTGTGTTAGATTACTGTGAAATAAATGGTTAACATGTGAGAGTTTGATCCTAGTTTTGATTGTCTTATTTGTGAGAGATTCACTGGTATTTTATCGATAGATGTGAGAGTGCATGAGGTCCAAGGATGTCAATTCCTATGAATCTTGTTGGATGAAACATTTCAGTAGGCTGCTTAAATTGGTCGATTGTTTGTCCAGGATTGCACAGGTCAGATTCCAGTGAGCTGACCAGTACTGTGAGATGTGTTAAAAATGCATCACACCAACACTGATTACATAACACACGATGTCCAGCAGCTACAGATCCACCTGTCCTTGTCTCACTGGTCTTTCTGGAGATAAAGAGAGAGGGTGAGAGAGGTTGAGAATGGCATGTGGGGATGTGTGTGGCCAACACAAAGGGGTCAGGAATGGAATGAGGTGCAGCTCAGTGTCCCTGTCACTCCTGCAGATCTCTACACTAAGGACTTACACTAATATACCACATTATTGAGGAAAAGCCAAAGGAGGGCATGCCACCAGTCTCTGACTGAAGACTGTATGAAGTGGAGATGTTGCATTATTAAATGCACACATCAGTCTAACTCTAGAGGGTTCTCCAGACTTTATGGACTGGGGTGGCCTGGTGAGGTCCCTTACTTATGCAGAGGTGGCATGACTTAAATGTGAACGCACACATACACATATACAGGTTATCTTTTAAAAAAAACCTTTTCACTTTCACTAATTTAACTAACTTTGGTTACTAAAACTGAACAGATAATATGTAAATCTTTGCCTAACTTTTCGACTTTAAAAAGTATTCCGGTGACAAAATATTTGTGTAATTCTGTGAGAAAAGAAAGATGTTTCTCCAAAGTCATAATATCAGAGCTTCTCAGAGGGACTTTGTTCTTGATTTTGACGTCACCTGTGTAAGAGGATATACCTTATATTTCTTGAAGAATCTTGTCCTGTAATTGCACAAGTGTGAATGTTTTCTGACGGGAAGTCTTTTCATACTTTGTTGTGACAGTTAAGTATATCACTAACCGTACATATTTGAAAGAAATCTAAAAGCTTTTCTTCAGCATGCTGTCAATTGTCTGGACGCCTCCAAACCTGTCTATGGAGAGGGCGGCTAATGCTAACCTCTTTGCTCATAGGCTGCTGCGGAACTACCTGACTGCAAACCTCACTGTATAACACAGTCCTGCGATGTTGAACAGAGCTTATGTCTTTCTCGATGGTTCTTGAGCACTAACAGCTAATTAAACTGTCTGCTAATAAAGCTAACGGCTAACAGAGCTGACAAAGTCAGTAGAGTCTATAGCTAAGACACGGTTTATAGCACTTAGCAGAGGAAAACACAGCAAGATTCAACAATTCATCTCTTATGCTTGTAAACTTACTGTACCTTTCATGTTTCTGCAAAGTATAGCTAACAGTAACAGGCACATTTACTAAAAGTATTTGTTTTTTGTCAGACTCGTATTTTTAACAACTCTGGCATATCAATACATGAAACAATATGTTTAAAAAACATCTAGGAGAGACATTTTTGTGAATCAAATGATAGAATTTCAGCCAGCTGTTATATAAAGATACCAACTTAATTTTCAGGGATACTATTCATAATTTTACAAACCAGGTGTCAGTAAAACTCCACAAATAAAAAGGAGAAATGATTTATCACGATCCAGGGTAGACTTTTTACCTTTAAAGCAGTAACTTACTTTAATTTGGTTGATATAGAAGATTTGAAAAGGACTTCATTTGCCTCAAACATGGAAACAATGTTTGATCTAAGGATGTTCACAGTCACTTCGACACAGTTTGATTTGTCTTTAACATAACAAAAAAGTTAGTCTGGAGCCCTGAATGAAAACTTCTAAACGACCTTTTGCAATATAGACTTGTATCTGTATCGGTCACTATGTAGATATCCCTTTTTACACCCCACCCCACCTCTCAGTATTCACCCTTTTTTTTAACACTTAAAGTGAGAAGGCAGCTTATGTGGACCTTTATGCCTACATTACGAAAAATGTGTGACTTCGACAGAAAAAGCAACACTTCTTGTAATTTCTGCCAAAGTTTCAGCAACGCCCGTAATAACTTCCATACTGCTTCAAACTAACCAGAATTTAACCACAGAGTGCTGACAAAACTTGAGGTTTCAAGAATTGATAATGAACAGAGGTAACTAATTATTTCTGCCCATCATGCAGAGAAGCTCTAATTTTATAAAAACACTCAGAGAAACTGGGGCGGCAGTAGCTCAGGAGGTAGAGTGGTCATCCAATAACTGGAAGGTTGGCGGTTCGATTCCCCCCTATCCCTAGTCTGTCTGTTGTGTCTTTGGGCAAGACACTTAACCCACCTTGCTCCCAGTGTGTGTCCTCCACTGGTGAATGAATGTGAGTGTTGTGTGGTAGTGGTCGTTGGCGCAAACTGGCAGCCATGTTTCCGTCAGTCTGTCCCAGGGCAGCTGTGACTACTAAGATAGTTTACCACCACGAGAATGTGACTGTGTGAGCGCATGAATGATGTATCCATTGTAAAGCGCTTTGAGGGTCTCCAGTATAGCACTATAAAATCTGATGCATTATTATTACTAAACTTGAAACAGAATTGATCAAATCAAATACATTAACCCATAAATGTAAAGTCCAAGCTGATACTAAAATATCAGCTTGGACTTCTATCCTAATAGATAAGATAGAAATAACTTTATTTATTAAATTTCCCTTTGAGAAAAATAAGGTTCTTCTTATCTTATCTTTTCTTATCTTAGTTACACTAAATAAGAATTACATTTATATTTTGATCATTTCTGTAATGTGGCACTTATAATCAGTCATCAAACAACATATTGCGGTTGGCATATTTGGGGCTTTAGATTGAATTAAGTTGAATTGTAAATGCTAAAACTGATGATGGATGGAGTTTTCAAGATTTTATAAATGACCACAATGCTGTGCTTTGTTGCCTAAAGGGATTTTCCAGTGTAAATTTAAGTTAGGGTCAAGCACATGATAACACTGAGTTAGACACCCCCTTGAGAGACGAATGTTGCCGACTGTTTGCTTCTCTAGTTATACCAACTTTAGTAACGACCGCAGATCGCAATACAGCGAGCCGTGCACTTAACCAAAAAGCCACTCTATAGCCACAAATACTGCTCAGAACAGCATCTAACTTCATCAACAGTACATATAGGGTCCCAGCCACAGCATTAGCCATCAAACATCTTTCTTGCATTGCCTGATTTCTTTAGCAACAAGATACTAAACACAACTCACCCCACTCTCTTCCAGCAGCCGCTTGTTTGTACAGAGACCTCCGGGTAAGTCCATCGACTGCAGCGGGGTAACGCAGCTCAAGGAAGAACATTTATGATCATTAATTGACAAGGAGCTGTTGTGCTCTAAACTGCACGAATCGGCAAAACAAACAATCTGCAAACATTACAACCCTGCTCCTGGTATTAGAAACATCTTAAACAACGTCACAACCTGGTAAATTGAGTGAAATTCACATTTCAGCAATTGTTTTTCTGATTTTGATGCAATGAAAGACAAAGCGATTTTTCAATGAAATGAAATTTTATTGCAATTGTGTCAGGGAGAACTTGCAAACAATCATCTTCATTGATATCAGTTCACTCCGAAGCAGGCTTTTGCCCCCTGGTTGCGCATGCACCTAGTATTGTTTGTACACTATGGCTATAGTGTGGCTTTTTGGTTGAGCGCGTGGCTCTCTGTATTGCTATCGGCGGTCGTTACTAAAGTTCGTATTACAAGAGTAGGTATGTTTGACCGTAACCTAATTTTATGCCAGAATAACCCTTTAACTGCATTTTCAAACTACCTGATCTTTTTCTGTCAGTATGGTTCATTGTGTTCATTATACAGTGAAATTCCTGGAAACTTTAGTCCTTAGTGAACAATATTTTGATAAACCAATCATGATGAAGCTTAAAAAAACCTCAGACAGCTGATTATGTGGTTATTTATTAATTCAGAAACAGATGTTTTGTCACCAAAGTGCGTGAAAGCTTCACTGATTGATAAGGAAGTGAAGGTACAGTGGCCCGTAAACTCAGTCAACTTCTATGAAGAGTACACACGTTACACAGAAATGAACACACGGTTCACATGCAAATGTCAACTTTCCCCCAACACTGCCGCTTCTGTAATGCAAAGGTGGATGTACAGACTCTGGGTGACTATGGCAGATAAACTATGAATATTTGAAGCTATAGGCATGGTACTGTTATAATTGGATTTATTAAAGCATATTTTGAAAGACTGTAACTGATAAAGCTGTCACAGCTCCTCTAAGGAACTTAAAATTTGTGTTGATTATGGTCTCTCCTGTGGACTAAGCAGTGCCACTCTTTGCTTTTTTCTTTTCTGTACCTGTGCATGTTTTGTTTTTCTAGCAAAAGTCTCATCCTACTTTCTTTTGACAGTCAAATACATCACTCACTGCAAATTTGTGATGTGTAGAATTGATATCGAGGCTGTCTCTGCATTATGCAGTTAATAACTACTCTGCAACAGTGTTTGAGTCATTAAAGTCATCAACAGAAGTATCATCTTTTTTGTACTCTATGCTGATGGTTCTGTGTCTTTTGTAGGTGATGAACAAGTGTTGCCATACATGTCAACCTGTTCATCCTTGTCCAAACCACTCCCCCTTTACTGAAAGGAGGTGTTATAGAGTGAATCACAACTAATGATACTCAAGAAGCTTACGAGCAACAGCAAGTTTGATCTTCATTTGGCCCTCGGCAGCAAGTAATGAGTTGGATTGAGTTTCATGGGGTCTGGTTAAAAAGTGTGAATTTGAAACCTGTTCTGAGACAGAGCAAAAGGGAAGTTAGGGTTGAAAAAAGAGAAATAGCATGCTTCCCTGAGAGGACTTCTTTTTTTAAATTTTCCATGCAACATGAAAACATCTATTCTTTTATCGACCAACCCCAAGTCTGTGCATGAATACCTGCTGAGGTGAATGGCAGGCTGCAACTTCTTACTTAGCTTTTGTTTAAGTTTCAGTTCCCCTTTATATTGTTCCAGATCAATAAGCTTCTCCTCATTATGATGACTGTCAAAAGTCTTTTTCTCAAAAGCCAACCATGCTGACCACATTCACTCTGATGATGATGATGCTGTGAAAGGCTCGCTGCACACTTTGTCTTTTAATATTTAACAGTTTATGTATGTCCTTGTGTCTCCTTTCCTTGTTAGATCATATAACCTTGTCATAAGGAAATATACTTTCTGTGACACAATTAACTTTTTGAACTTTTAGTAAGCAAGAGTTCCTAGTAACTATATGGGCACTAGCATAAACTCAGGTGTTTCAGTGAGAAGAAACTACAGAATTGTAATTATATACTTTTTAAAACTTTTTGTAATGGTTAAATATAACCGAGTGGCACCTGCTCTCTGATATTTAATATTATTTTACTGTTTAACTTATGATTTAACTAACACAAGAAAGTGAAGCTAACATGGAAGTCCCAAAACAATGCAGTTCCTCAAGTGTCCTGATGTCTTGATGGCTCATTCACAGTTCGGTTCTGATGAGAATGTTTATTGCATTTGTGACACCTTCATAAACCAAACTGAAAATCCATCTTATATGTGATCTAGTCTTTGGAATACAAGTTAAAATAGTGAAGCATATTTGATTTGCGTGCAGACTCACAGCTTGACCCTCAGTAATGACTGACCCAGGAAAAGTACACCACTTTGCATGAGTTTTATCATGGTATTGAACCTTTCCCAGCCACTGTTTCTGTTTCTCTCTCTTTCTGTTTGAGATCTCCTCTCAACATAAGCGAGCACAGTGACGTTGCCATCTCTGGTAAACATCTTGGAACAAAGAAATCTAACATTTGAAGTCACTTACAAGAATGGGCTTGTGACCATGGACTCAGTTTGATGGTCTCTGTCTTTGTGGCTAGCTTCTCGGCTACATTGCTGCAAAATGTGATGAAGACGTCAGAGGAGTGAATGACGTCAGATGTGGATCTGAGTACAAGTGTCCCTCTCCTCACTGCATCTAAATCAGAAAGCACAAGCTTCATTATGTCCTGCATCTCATTAATGCTCTAAAGATCAAAAGTCAAAGTTTAAGGCCTTCTTTTGTTATAAGCTGCCCTCTCCACCCACTCTCAGCCTTCCTTCAGCTGTATTGAGACAGTCCAGTACCAAGTGATGGTCTTCAAACATGCTGCCTCAGACAAGAGCTGGGTCTGGAAGCTCAGCATTTACTGCATGCGTTACAAAGAGTCACAGTTCCCCAGTGCATGTAAATGAGAACCAGGCTCCTCTCTCGGCCTCAAAGGCCTTATTGTCAGCAGATAGATATCGCTTTACCAGTGGCCAGTCATGACCAGACAATGCTATGGAGATGAAAATTAATATTTTCCTCTTTTTTTTTACGTTGTTTCCATTAGTCAGTCACACTGTACAACCTAAGCTACCATCGTTACCATCTCTGTACACTTTGAAACAGAAGGCTGACACCCTCTCTCTCCACACATACCAGCTTCACCTCAACCCCTATGGGCCAAATACTCCAGATTGAGCTTGTCACCTATAACCTGTCATTCTCAACTCTACATCATGTGCATTTTTGAGTATATCTATTTGAGAATATACAAAAGAACACACTGAGACATGCTTGCACAAAGTTAAAGGATTTTCTTTTACAATACTAATAGCTGCTGACTTAAAGGTGGGCTGGGCAGGATCCAAATGAACACCAGTTTTTGGGAGAAATCTTGAAAGTAAACACTGGACCTTGGTTAGTACTCGGTGCTGCCCAATATTGTCAGCGTTTCCCCAAGTTATAAATCATTTATGAAGTTAACGCTGAAAGAATGAGTCAGTTTCGGAAACTGCTTGCGTTTTCTTAATCTGAGGACTGTTTCAGTGGCTTCAACAGCAATCCATGCATTGGCATTACCTAAATGGGGTCTTACTGTGTTTTTCTGTATCTTTAGAGGCACAGTAGAAGGAGATCTCTTTGTATTTACGTAGAAAAGCCAAAACTAGTAGAAGTAATACACGTGATGACAGGCAACCTGTCACTTAAAGGGAAAGAGAGCAGACATGCAGGTTGGTTTGACTTGTGTTATGCCTAAAACACACTTTTGCATAATCAAGGGACTGAATCTAAACCCTCTGCGCCCTGTATCTAACACTTTTTTGGGCAGCTAAACTACCAAAAACAAGGGTTGACAACACCAAATTTACTTCTGACCATGCTTTGTAAATTGTTTGTCCAGCTACCCAAACATCATCCATCCATCCATCCATCCATCCATCCATCCATCCATCCATCCATCCATCCATTCATCCATCTATTCATTCATTCATTCAATCCATCCAGCTGTCATTTTTTCCACTTATTCAGGATTGAGTCATGAGCTGAGCAGCCATTAAAGCAAGTTGACCCAAACATCTGTTCTACTAGGAACATCTTCAGCTCATCCAATGAGGGTCCAGAGGTATTCCTGTGCCTCATGGGAGCAAGCTCTGTTCACTCCAGCCTACTTGGGCCTCCTCCCATTTTGACACACCTGGAACATCTCAGCTGACTCCTTTCAATGTAAAAGAATGTAACACAGTTGGGACCTATTTAAAGACTGTATGGTTTTTAATAGAAGGATTCATGTTTCCTTCAGGCTGTAGCTGATCTCACCATCCAGGGTCACAAAGGACATGAACCTTTTGTGGCAAACATAGTTCTTTACAGTTTGAGTACAGAAGCGAATGTGACAAATATACTCATGGTGATTTAAAGGCGGTAATTACACCCTTGAATGCAGCCCTTGGGATCTAAAAATACAAAACGTAGAAGATCCTTTATCTGCTTTTCCTTCCCTGCAGACAAGCACATATCACACCCCATGTTTCACACATTTTAAACATCACGCTGATCACACTTCTGTGTTCATGTTCCTCCTGTTGCATGGCCAGCAGTTTTAGGAGGAAGCTCTAATGGCCAGCCACTGAACTTAGATGTGTATCTATAGACAGCAGCTCAGTTCTCTGCACAGTGCTGGCTCCAGCAGACAACTACGTCACTCATTTCCATAGACTTAGATGAGGCCCGTGATAGCAGCAGCAGCAGCAGCAGCAGCAGCAGCAGGACTTTGGTGTGGGAGGTGGATACCTGGAGACAAACATATTCAGAGCTAAAGCAGTGCTGCACTGGAAGCATTTGCAGGCAGCAGTTATTTTTAGATAGAACTTTCAACATTTTTCTATGATTCATGTTACTATAGTAGTCCACTACACGAAGGACTGAGGAGAGATGTGCCATTATCGAGAGTCTTAAATGCTCCAGAAGATACTGTTAATATAATATTGTGCATAACAAAGACACCAGAGGAGCAACCAGCATTTTAAAAATGTTCAAGTGGTACAAATAAGATTAAATCAAAATATGAAGACAACTAAAAAGAAAGGCATGTTTTTATCAAAGTAGTTAAGTAAGGACCAACATACTAGGTAAAAGGAAAATACTACTAAATATAGAGATTTTTATCATTATAATTTTCTTGATGTTAAAAACTCTAGGTGAGGGAAAATGCATAAAGGATGGGTGGTTATCCAAATAAGTGGGAGTCTGACACTACTGTCTAAAGGACTTTATGGCAAACAGCAGCAACAGATGCACCCAGCAACTCTGCTGCTGTTGCCTCAATTGCAGGACAGGGTCTTGCTTCATTTTATCCTGACATAGTTGGGGCTGAGTAGCACCCCAGGCTGTTCTTAAATCTACCCTCACTTTTTTCTGTCTCCCAAGACCTGCCTAAAATGTAAGCCAATGTCATTATTAACAGAAGCTAACATTTGTGCCACAATGTCAACAGACAGAGGTGAAATGTCCCCACTTTTCTCTGTTGGTAGACTTGAGATGATGTGTGTGATTAGGTGGCCTCTGGTGTTGCTTTTGATTATGGGATCTAATGAGAGTTAAGGGGTTTTGACCAATCAAAATCAAGTTAATAAAAAAGGCAGGTAGTAACATCGTTAAGCTTGCTTACAGTGGGGCCCAGGGATTCAGCTATACAAATCAGTTTTGAACTTTAAAGACCCTAGATCATCAGTATGTGGTACACTAGATCTGTAAAAATGACATGTAAACGTGGCCTGGATTTAAAGATGGGATCCAGTTTACCAAGTATTGTTTTGTGTTTTTCTGCACACTGCACAGTCTTGAATCTTGCAAACTTGTACATTGACCTATACCTTTTCCAGTTATGTGGGCTCAAGTGGCTGGTCAGGTTAAGTTAGTTGGCTCACAGGGAGAAAACAGGGAGAGATCAGGGATCAAGTCAACATGAAGGATGGAACATTTCTTAACACTCAGCCTGTATTCTTCGGAGAAACAGGATTGTATAAATTTGCTCCAAGATAACTGTTTTTAACTGTTTCTGTGTATCTTGATTATCCAGACCTAAGGAAATCATGACCTGAGTTAGGGTGACCTGAGTTAGGGGTTTGTTGAGGTAAATTTTGGTGAATAAAAAAAACAAAAAAACCCCAAGATCAAAGGTAACATTCGTCTTTCTTAAGTCTTTAAATTTGACAAATGAAAGACAGACTGGAGGTATTGCTGCTTTATAGTTTAAATCAAGGCTTACAATCGAGCTCTAGTATTTACTAAAGCACAATTCAAACAATGTGAACATTCTTGAAAAAGTGAGCTGAAAAAGTACGTTGATGATGGAAAACAAACCCTGAATTACAGACTGGCGTGAGAATATTACATATTGAACTCTTAAAAGAAAGGAACAGTAACAGTTTATCAAGTAATGTTGTGGCACCAGCAACTCTGTAAGACAGGCACTGATTTATGAGCCCATTGTGTTTAGTTCTTTTCTTCCTTTATTTAATCATAATGAGCTGGAAGTTTTAAGTACAGCATACTGTTAAAGTTAAATGGCTTTTTAAGTTGTTCAAATGTGTTATCAAGTTTTGTGTGAACAAAAACAATTTGGTAATGAACTGAATACAGAGGATAAGCTGCCAAGAAATGTATATGTGAAATATATTTCCTTGGAGTGTGACTCAGGAGGTAAACTTTTAAATTCATGCATTTATTGGGAATTTCATTAAGAACAACTAGTTTTAATTTTTTGAACATTTTGTCGAGTCACACTTTTACTGAATGAAGCACGTGGAAGAAGATTAGATTTATATGCATTTAATGGCAGTTTGATTCATCAAAATTGTACCTCAGCCAGGCCTAAAAGCATGTATGCAAGTTTCAGAAGAATCACTTTTAATTGTCTGTTTTGCACTTATGGTTTGTCAATGTGCACATTCTTAATATGGTCATGTTAATGGGTGGATGACAGATCCGACCTTGACAGATGAAAAAAGGATGTAAAAAAACGTAGAGAAAAGCTTCTTTGAAAGAAAGAACAGAGCTGTAAAAGTGGGGCGTTTTCATCTTTAGACGTACTTCCCCTCAGCATCTTGTTAACGCTTTCTGCGGATTTTTAACAAGTCAAAGAGATGAGATGACTTGACAGGAACATGTTGACAGAGGGTGTGTCTCCACATGCTGTAGAGGAGGCAGACACGCTTCTGCCAATAATTAGATTCTTGCATGGATCTATCTGAAACACTGAATTACTTAAGGGGCAAGTGTTTCAGATATGGACCACTGACAAGCTGCTTACATATCAGCTAAGCAGTGAGTGCAGGGTGGTTAATAAGGAATACGACTTGATGAACACAGAGACTTAGGATTAGCATCAGTATTTAAAATCTATTTTAATAGCATCAAATTAAGGACTAGAAACTTAACGATGAATAAACTAAAAGAGAGAAAATAATGAAAAGCCAAGTATGAAGTGAAAAGTGGTTGGCACTGACACAAACTGGTCAAATCAAGAGAAAGTAAAGAATAAAAACAAAAATTGAACAAGGTAAAAACTTTGAGATTCCACTCCTACAGCGTTGGGTGTTTCACATCACTTAGGAAGACACACACACACAGACACAAAGATAGTCACATATTGTTTTTTTTAGTCAGATTACATGATTTTGCAGAAACTCCAGTCACAGAGTCATCCACTTTCTCCACTCAGCAAGTCAACAAGGGCACCATGACCGATCCTCTTGTACAACCTGGCGTAATTCAAGGAACAGAAATGTTTTTTTTCTTTGTGCTTTTGTCTCAAGTTATCAGATTTTGAGGAGCTAAGGTTAAATGGGCTGATCCCTAAGCAAACAGCCTTTAAGGTGATTTCTTGATTGTTTTGGGTCCGAGTGTTATTACGGAGGAAGGAAACAGGGTGTTATCATGAGGCAGGCTGTGAGGAATGAAAGGGAATGAAGAGAGTGGCGGGTGGACTGCCTTCAGGGTTGATGTAATGTTTATATAGTGGTCAGAACAGCCATTTCCTTCCCCTCCTCCCCCTGCAGACAGGCTCAGTCAAAGGGCACAGATTCAGAACACAGGGCAAAGGGGTCATGGGCTGACTCTGCCAAGTATGTTTCAACATGAACATTTAAGTCCATATTTTTTAAACTTCTCCTCTGTTTGGTATCTGTAAGAAGAGGCATTTCATGGATTGATGTCCCCAGAAATGTCTCTAAATAGTTTTCCATCTCTTCTCACACTGACGCTGTTGCAAGATTTGTTGTCATCTCAAGTTTCCTTGAAAAGTGCCTGCACTGAAATCAACCAGATAGTCAAATTACTCTAAAATACTATAGTGATTTAAAGTTTCTGAAGTCAGAATGTAGCACAATTTATTCAACACAGCTAAGCAAGAGATCACAGTATGTGGGAAAACAATACTGATGTGCTGTCTGTGACTACCATTGGCAAACCTAGTAAGTGTTGACCTCCTCCTTCCAGGTCAACACTTACTGCCTGTGTTAGTTTGTTGGTTGTGTGGTGGTGCCAGTTTAACCAGATGTAGCCTACGAACAATTCTAGATTCAATTTCAAATTAAGTCATAACAGCATTACACTTGCTGTTGAAATGAAAATATCATTAAAAGAGAATAGAAACAGGAATTAATAAGAATAAATACGAAATTGCAAAGTGCAGAATATTAAAAGTAAAATGATTCTCAAAAGCACAGAGTGTTGTGTACAGGCTTAAGTGTAGGAAGTGTATACAAAATCAATTTTTAGCGTAGGATATCGCATAGATTATTGGACAGTTTAACAAAGAATTGCACTGTTAAATGGAATACCGCACAATGCAGCTTAAAAACTATGTATTATTAGTATTGGTAGTAGAGCAGTTTAGCATCATGCTAAAACCTAAGCAATGTGGCTTGGGCAAAGGCAAGCTTAAGTATCGGTATATTAACCTAAACCTACCACTCTGAAGTGGTTGTGGCAGTTTTGGAAACTGTTTTTGACCAACAACGTGTAAGGAATTCAGGGTGGTGTGATTTTAAAAAAACCTAAGAAATGATTTGAACTTCTCTTCAGACTTTGAGCAAAAGTAAATCTTTTCCTCTCCTGGCTTTGATAAACTGATGAACTGCTTCTGTTTTACTCAAAAACCAGTGACATTTTGTGAGAACGAACCCAACATATCAGGGAGGATGTTGTGACGGGTGGAGCTGTGGTTTTACATTACAACAGTTAAGTCCATTATTTGATCTTCAGTATTTCTAGGACAGTATTTCCCATATGGGACTCTGAGCTTGGGCTATTTCTGCTCTCTGAGTCACTGCCAAGGCGTAATGGCTTGAGACGTTGTTTTGTTTATCTAGTCAGGAGAAAATAAGTGATACTTAGGAAGAGCGCCAAGGGAAATAAAGCATTTTAAAATCATGGCTCAGAGAAGTCACAGGCCCAGAGGTCAGTTAGACAACATTACTGTTTAAAAAAATACAGGATTGTCATAGCAATAAGACACAGCCTTTGTGCACTAGTATGTGACTTGTACCACACTGTTATAAGGCCAAAGTGAGCAGTTTTATATCTGGAGCCACCAACAGCTCTGTCCAAGCTCAGACTTGGTCTACTTGTAATGTGTTCACCCAGAACTAAACTATCATGCCTTCGACTGCACAAATGAGTTTGAATCAAGAATACTTCATATAAATGGCTGCCAAGTCTGTTATTGAAGTTTTGAGTTTGCTCTTGACCTTGCAAACTGTTAATGAGGAAATAGTCTCACTACAGGGTCCTTTGGGGCTTTTCTTAAGCATTTCATTTTATCCAGTGATAAAAAAGTAGAATGTGAATATGGAGGTCTGGATTTATAACATGAGAAGTGTTCTGGTTTTGGACTGTATTCCACTTGTAGTCCACAGGCTTTAGTGCATCCAAGAACAAAAGTCACTGTAGAGAGCAAAAGCAGGCAGAATTCCCACACCCCATCAGCTGTAATCTGACAAGATTTTATCGGCAGATTTTGTCAAACAAGTGCAATTTATAAACTGCTCTGGATCAAAAGTTTTGTAACACTTTATTTGACGCCTATCTTTATAATGCATTATAAATATATGTATAATGCATTACAATCACATAATAGCACTGTATAACCACAGTTATAAACACTCATAAATGATCATAATGCTTTATAGCAAAAATCATAACACATCATAAAGCATTTTAGCATGCTTTACAAGGTAAGGTACTATAATGTGTTATGCTTATTGTTATAAAGCCTTATGATAATTGATGAGTGTTTATAATGATAGTTGAAAAAGGTTATAAGCAAATTATAACACATCATAAATATATGTATAATGCATTCTCTATGTGGGTATTGTCAGTGAGTTGTTAACAGTTATAACACATTATAAATCCTGACCTTGTAAGTCATGATAAAATGCTTTATAATGGGTAATGATTATTGCTTTAAAGCATTATGATCATTTATGAGTGTTTATAACTATAGTTATACTGTGCTGTAACATAATTATAATGCATTATGAATATATTTACAATGCGTTATCGAAAGGCTTCAAGTTAAGTGTTACCAAAGTTTTTTTGGGACATAAATCTGCTTGACACTGTGTTGCAAAAGCCCCACATTTATTATTTTTTCAATTGTCTCAGATGTGTCAGAAATGATCTATTCAACCCCTGTTTGAAAGCTGGTATTTTTTTCCCAATCTTTATCAAGAACATCACAAAAAAATGGGACCTTCTGCTACTTGAGATGGATGAATGAATTCACAGTATCTGTATGTTGCAGATGTAAACACAGCTCAGAAAAGAAAGTCTTGACTGTAAGTTATTTTCATAACCAACGACTTAATTGGGATTAATGAAAAAGCTGGCATGAGGTACATTTACCCCCTCGCTGTCAGACAAGGAGGAATAACTGACTCTTGTTTCTGACATTATTTCACAGTTTATTGTGGTTATCATAAATGCTTTATTTCATTTTTGCTTTGCCGATTCACGCCAATGTGAAATTAGTAGGAGAAAGAGATGAGAATGAGTTGTAGGGGCTGTAGCTAGAACACCTGAGCAAAGCTAAACAGTGGCTTGTATTGCTAGAAGAGGCGAACATCTAGAACTGCAAAGGTTAGTCGTGTCCATCAAATTAATTTTGAATTTAGTATTAATTGTATTGATTAACTACATTTCTTGTAGCAGCTTTTTATTAATATTTCATTTTAAAACCTTGTTAAGTCCTTCTGTCGGTATAAACTTGACAGTAGTGTAGTTGCCATAATCTAGTTTAAGTTTTTTGGCATAAATGATGAATGTGTCCCTTTCAAAGAATGAAAAAAATTAAATGAATACTGTGTGAGACCTGTTGACACTTTCTCACTGTGACGCTCAGCCATGTTAACACCGTAGATGTCATACATGATGAGCAGAAGTTTTACTTTCAGATAATTACTTCCTCTTAAAAACTGTTTCAATCATAAATGAAAGTTACTGTCATACCAGCGTTGTATGTACTTACTGGCAAACCCTCCCTAATGATTTATAGTAGATTTAAATGTACTGCAGCACTGACTCTCTTATGTGTTATGTAAAATCATGTCACTAGACCCTCAACGAGTATTGGACCCTTGAACTCCTCACGCACCGCTGAGTGGCACCACTGTTCTTCAAAAAGAATAGAGTCCCAGAGGGGCAGCAGGAAGGGAGGGGTCACTGCTTTGAATAGAAAAAGAAAAGTTAAGGAGAGGCCACTGGTCTCAAGGGACGGGTGGGTGAAAGGGGTACTTCTAATAGAAAGACGACCTTTTCTTTACTCACATCGTACTACTCATTATCCAGCTGCTAACTCAGAAACAAGCTTTTACCAAGCATTGTTATACATATGATTTTATTGATTTAAAATGATTTACCTACTTAGATAAAACAAAGTCCCCAAGATTCAACAGTTGACAGTGTTTCCATGGTGACAGTGTTCTTATCAGCCCATTTGTAGTCAGTTCCACATCAAACTTTTCATTTCATTCAGGTTGAAGTCTGAATATTAGCCTATTTTACTGGTATAAACTACCCTGAACCAAACGATTTCATTTACAGTAGAATCAAAACATTAGTGTAGTGCTTTGTAGTTGATCACCTCTGTTTTCTTTCATTTAGTTTATCGCCTCTTTCACTTATCAATGCAGTATCCTCAATATTGCTTACAGAGGTTACCTGAAACTAATGTTTTTATCACATTTTTAACTGAATGAATTTAGATCATGAACTTCATAGCCTTTAATAAACTCTGTCAATGGGTTTTGACAAATCAGAGTCAAGTATTGAGCACAACTGTGGACAACAAAATATCATTATCTTATAATTGAGTGCATGGTGATTGTGTCGGAATGAATTGATTCTTCTTTTTAAGGAAATTAACTCCATTTGAATAACAATTGCTCTATCTTTCTCTGTACCTTAGAGAAAATGTATTACACTGACTGAGTACTGCCTCTGCCTGACAATATAATAATACTTTAATCGTCTCCTGCCAACAAGGTCATTTTTCATTAATTATTGAGGACAACCTGATAAGACTTTGTGAGTTTGAAGTCTTTTCTTCCATTGTAAGCAGAAGTTAATGATCGACTCTACCTGGGTGCGCTGTGGGGGAGAGAATGATGCAGGTTTGAGCAATGATGCTATGTGTTTAATGTTTAGCTGTGTGGCAAACAGGGAAAGAGGAAACAAGTCAGGGTTTTCTGGCCTGTTAAAGCTTAGGCTAATAAGTAATATGGAATCAGGTCTGTTTGTTTAGTCCTGACATCATGTGACTGATAAGCACTGGAAATGCACAGCTGCTGTCATTCAGTTTTTGTGTAACTTTGTGCTTTATATAATATGAGCGTTTTTAGAGGGTAAGAAATATTATCTTTATATTGAATCTGCCAATGAAAAAGAACATTTTTTTCGGCAGAGTTCTTGTCCTTTTTCACAGGCTGCACAATTATTACCAGTGGTTGGGTATTTCCAAGCTGCAGTTGTTTTAATATTAACTTTCATGCAAACAGGATCTTTGATGAAAAGACAGAAGGACTTCATCCCATGATACTTCACTTTTCAATGTACATATGCAAAATTAAGAAGGAAGTGTTCGAATTTAACACAAAACACAAAGTACCTGTGCTGGTTTGGCTGTAGTTCAGTGGTTGAGTTTGTCATTGGCAGTTTGAGTCCTGCAGCTGAAGTCACAAGCCAAGGAGTCTTTGGGCAAGACAATGACCATGAAAAGTGCTCAAAGTGATGTCAGCTATGTTAAAATGTGTATAAACGGAACTAGTTTATAATGATTGCCCCTATTATAGCATCATCTACAGCCAGTGTTTGATAGTGGTGAAAAAATGAACTCCAAGTCCAACTAATGGACCTTTTTGACTCATCCTTTTTTTAAACCTTTAATAATAATAATGCATCAGATTTCATATAGCGCTTTATCAGAGACCTTCAAAGCGCTTTACATTGGACACATCATTCATTCGCTCACACAGTCACACTTTGGTGGTGGTAAACTACCTTAGTAGTCACAGCTGCCCTGGGGCAGACTGACGGAAACGTGGCTGCCATTTTGCGCCTACGGCCTCCCCGACCACCACCACACAACACTCACAATCATACACCAGTGGAGGACACACACTGGGAGCAAGGTAGGTTAAGTGTCTTACCCAAGGACACAACGGATAGATAGGGGGGAATCGAACCGCCAACCTTCCAGTTATTGGACGACCACTCTACCTCCTACTGCTTCCCTTTATACCAGTATTCATGTTCTACTGACAAGTTACAATGTCTACTACATAGGGCCTTGTGACATACACTTGTTACCCCAAATTACTGTAGTTAGCTGTAGCAGTTGGCCAGGAGCAGACATCATCGGGTGGTGTACGACCTTCTTAGAGCATTTCAGCCTTAAACCACAACTCTCTCCAGTTGGTTGGCTGGCAGTGGTGGCCAACTCACTGCCAATCTGCCCCTGACCCTGTGTGCTTAAGCTAAATAGCTAAATGGACTGCAGCTTCAAATCAGTATGTTTCAAATTTTGAAGGACTGAAAGAATGACACCCAACAACATAAGTAAACCAGGCTTATACTAGAGTAATGCCATCAGTAGGTACTTACATAATTCACATTCTCTTTACTTTTGGACGTTGCTAAAGTATCTGATGCTTCATGTCACTGAAAGCATGTCAAAGTTCCAAGCTGGCAGTTTGATGTAGTTTTAAACCAATACTGACCTCTACTGGTGCCTCATGATTCACTTTTGCTTTTCTCTGCCCTACTTTATGCAGATATCCCAGGCAAAGTGTGACGGTAAGTACCGTAGTCTTATGTCTTATTCATGTTGTTATTCGTCCCACATTTCAGTTAGTATGTGTTAATAAATGTAAAATTGATTTCTCTTTCTTTATGTTCTTCCATCTTTTAGAGAAGTGTGCTGAAAATGAAACAGAAACATTTACAGCAGACACAACAACTGTTACATTTGAATCATCTCCAAGCTGCAACTTATCCATTGGAAATCACACCTCAGGACAAGGTTCGATATCTGGTTTGACTCCAGGAACTGTCAATACAATCTTCCTTGGTTGTTTTAACTGCTGCAAAAATGTCACAACAAGTAAGTCTGCTTACTTTCTTTTAATACATTGACTACCCTAAAACTCTGAAAAGCATGCTGTAGATTCAACATGTCCAATTAAGAATTAAGTCATAACAAAATCATTTTCTCATGAAATTTTGGTCATAAGAAAATTATTTTCTCACCAAAAAATAAATCATCAGCAAGTCATTTTTTTAGAAGAAAAAAGTAATCCTGAGAACATTTTCTCATGAAAATTAAGATGTTAAGAAAGTGATTTTTGCACAAGGATTAAGTCCTAAGAAAATCATGTTCACACAAAAAAAGAAGAGTGATAAATTCACTTTCTCATTAGAATGAAGTCCTTAGAAATTGTTTTTTCTTCTGTAATGAATCAATTTTTCATCAGATTAAAGTCATAAAAAGTCATGAAAAAAATCATGTTCAAAGTTATTTATTTAGCCAGCCATTAGCAGCATAATACTTTGTTGAAGAGAAATACCATAACTTAAGAACTCCTATTCCTACTCTCTAACAGAGCCTGCAGCAGTCGTGAACCTCACAGTTCACCCAGTCACAACCTCCTCAATATCTCTGATGTGGACCAAACCAGAGGGAGAGAGATCCTTCTATAGAGTAAAGTGGACCAATGGAAAAACCAGTTGGAATCAGAGTGTCACTGAAACAAACATAAATGTCATTGATCTGACAGCCGGAGTTCAGTACAATTTTACTGTCACTGCAGTGGCTGGAGATGACACAACAGAGAGTGAAATGGTTCAGACTTCGACCTACACCAGTAAGTTGATTAACTACATGACTTATCTTGACTGTGTTTAGTGTTTCTTTAGGTGGTGCCTCTTTCATTGGTTTTGCAATTTACCAGAAACTTTCTGTTATTCACAAATGTATTTATCGTTCTCTTCATACATTTTACCTTTGCTCACAGAGCCTGAAGTAGTAGGAAATCGCACTGTCCAGAAATTCACAACATCCTCCATGTTTCTGACCAGAGGGACAAAGATCCTTCTTTAGAGTCCTGTGGACATCAAAACTTTGGGAAACAAATGAGACTGCTAATGTGACAGAAACTCATACTCACATTACTTACCTGACTGCTGGGGTCCAGTATGAAATAGGGGTATCTGCAGTGGCAGATGATGGCAATACTGAAGAAGCAATTGTGACCATTGTCAACTACACAGTTAGTTAGTTATTATGGTCTTAAATCAAGGTGAAACAAACAAGTCTTAGAACTCAGGTAAAGGGGCAAACTGTGGATTTATGATCACAGGAAGAACCAAATTGACTGTTGATAATGAAATCTCCGAGCTGTAAAACTGATATTTTGTGTATGACAGGAGAATATTTGATCCAGGTGCATTCACTTTTTGCTGTAGTTTGCGTTTTTACCCTGAGAATTGCTTTCTTAACATGGTTGTGTAAGATTTGGTGGCATGGAGAAACACAGTAAGTGCACAAAACAAAAGAGGAGGTCCAAATATGAATTGATTTTAGATGTGAAACAATGATGCTGCAGAATCCCCCCTCATCTCAGACTCAAGTCTAAAATTGGTCCAGATATTGAGAAACATCAGGAGAAGAAAAAATATCATTTGACCACTGCAGTTATGAAGATGTTTTTTTATGATTTATTAGTAAAGACAGGAAAGGAGACCTGTGCAGGGAAAGTCTGTAAAACAGTGAAAGGCCAAAGACAAGACCTTAATAGATATGTTTTGAGCTAAAGAGCAACTTCCAATTGATGTTTCTGAGAGTCCTTGACCTTTTCTTAGTGTGTCCTCAGTAACTTGGACTTAAATATAACTTAAGTCCTCCTGTATAATACCTACTCTCTCACAGAGCCTGCAGCAGTCATGAACCTCACAGTCCACAATGTCACAACATCCTCCATGTTTCTGAACTGGACTGAACCAGAGGGACAGAGATCCTTCTATAGAGTAAAGTGGACCAATGGCATAACCAGTGGAAATAAGAATGTCACTGAAACAAACATAAAGGTCACTGATCTGACAGCTGGAGTTCAGTACAAATTTATTGTCACTGCAGTGGCTGGAGATGACACAACAGAGAGTGAAATGGTTCAGACTTCTACCTACACCAGTAAGATGATTAACTACATGACTTATCTTGACTGTGTTTAGTGTTTTTTTAAGTGGCACTTTAGCCTGATGTTTTTTTTTTGGTCTTTAGGTAGAATACAAAGTGATTTTCATTAATTGGTTTTCAATTTACCAGAAACTTCCAGTTATACACAAATGTATTTATCATTCTCTTCCTGCATTTATCCTGCTCTCACAGAGCCTGAAGTAGTCAAAGTTATTAATGTCCATTATGTCACAACATCCTCCATGTTTCTGAACTGGACTGAACCAGAGGGACAAAGATCCTTCTTTAGAGTACAGTGGACTATTGGAGAAATTAAGAAGACTGCTAATGTGACAGACAGACTTACTTACATAACTAACCTGACTGCTGGGGTCCAGTATGAAATAAGTGTATCTGCAGTGGCAGATGATAACAGTACTAAGGGAGAGAAAACCACTGTTTTCAAATACACAAGTAAGTTGGTGTCTAAATAGATTTTTTCTTTAACGCAATGGTCTCCTGATTGCACTTGTTGGAGCAGACTGTGTGCAACAAAAGAAGAATCAGACTCAGAGCTGACTCTCACGACAAACTCTTTAAATTGATATATGCTCAATAATTACAGTATTTAATGAAGAGATCAGGTTTAGATTTGTAAAAGTTCTTGTGTCCGACTGCAGCACTGTTTGTTTAATCTATTGTATTTGAGAAGTCTTTGTCTACAATCTGGAGAACCTTTAGTGCAGAAAAAAATAGTGATTTTATACAATCCTAAAGCTGTAAGCCTTTATCCTGGACTGTTGGACATCTGCAAAATGATGGAGGCTACTGGTAAAAGTGGAAATGTAATACTTTTTCTCATATCTCTATTAATGTGTTTGTTTCATGCTATCAGGTTAAGTAAGGGCTGGGTGATAAACCAAAAATTTACTGAAACCAAAATTTACAACTTTAACTGGCACACTTTTACGCATACTGGTGTATTCAGTGTCAAAATAATAAATTAAAAAAAAAGGTGGTTTTGGATGTGTGTATGTAGGGTATGGTCTCATGTCCCTTTTAGACGCTTTCCTACCTCAGAGACGTGACTCTGCCTCATCCAGTCCATAACAAAGAGGGAAATACAGTCGAGGGGATGGAGGACGGTTCAAAAGATGTAGCGGCAGCTAAAGTAAACAAAGTCAATGTGGGAGGGGGTGAGCAGCTTGTGGAGTAGTAATTGTCCATTGATCATCATCGAGGTGAACTGATCAATATAACGTGATATTGATGTGAGGCCATAACGCCCAGCCCTAGTTTTAGTTTTTAGGTTCTTCCTTTTTAGACCCAGTCAACCAATATTACAGTACACGCTTGTTTGCCTGGTGCATTTGCTATAGGCTGAAGAATCCCCTGATCCAATGCAACAAGTGCAACAACATAACCATCCAAAAAAGAAGCCACAGACAATAACATGATAGATGAGTTTTGAGCTACAGAGCAACTCCCAGATGATGTTTCTTAGAGTCCAGGATCTTTTCTTAGTGTGTCCTCAGTAACTTGGACTTGAATATAACTTAATTCTTCCTGTATAACACCTACTCTCTCACAGAGCCTGCAGCAGTCATGAACCTCATGGTTCACCAAGTCACAACATCCTCCATGTTTCTGAACTGGACTGAACCAGAAGGACAGAGATCCTTCTATAGAGTAAAGTGGACCAATGGAAAAACCATTTGGAAGAATAGTGTCACTGAAACAAACATAAAGGTCACTGATCTGACAGCCGGAGTTCAGTACAAATTTACTGTCACTGCAGTGGCTGGAGATGACACAACAGAGAGTGAAATGGTTCAGACTTCTACCTACACCAGTAAGATGATTAACTACATGACTTATCTTGACTGTGTTTAGTGTTTTTTTAAGCTGCGCTTTAGTCTGATGTTGTTTTTTGTTGTCTTTAGGTAGAAAACAAAGTGATGCTCATTAATTGGTTTTCAATTCACCAGAAACTTCCAGTTATACACAAATGTATTTATCGTTCTCTTCCTGCATTTATCCTGCACTCACAGAGCCTGAAGTAGTCAAAGTTCTGAATGTCCACATTGTCACAACATCCTCTATGTTTCTGAACTGGACTGAACCAGAGGGACAGAGATCCTTCTTTAGAGTACAGTGGACATCAAAACATGGAGAAACAAATGAGACTGCTAATGTGACAGACAGACATACTTACATAACTAACCTGACTGCTGGGGTCCAGTATGAAATAAGTGTATCTGCAGTGGCAGATGATAACAGTACTAAGGGAGAAAAAACCACTGTTTTCAAATACGCAAGTAAGTTGGTGTCTGTACTGATTTTTATATTTAACACAATGGTCTCCTGATTGCACTTGTTGGAGCAGACTGTGTGCAACAAAAGAAGAATCAGACTCAGAGCTGACTCTCACGACAAACTCTTTAAATTGATATATGCTCAATAATTACAGTATTTAATGAAGAGATCAGGTTTAGATTTGGAAAAGTTCTTGTGTCCGACTGCAGCACTGTTTGTTTTTATCGATTGTATTTGAGAAGTCTTTGTCTACAATCTGGAGAACCTTTAGTGCAGAGAAAAATAGTGATTTTATACAATCCTAAAGCTGTAAGCCTTTATCCTGGACTGTTGGACATCTGCAAAAAAAAAGGAGGCTACTGGTTAAAGTGGAAATGTAATACCTTTTCTCATATCTCTATTATTGTGTTTGTTATCAGGTTAAGTAAGGGCTGGGTGATAAACCAAAAATTTACTGAAACCAAAATTTACAACTTTAACTGGCATCATTTAACGCATACCGGTGTATTCAGTGTCAAAATAATAAATTAAAAAAAGTTGGTTTTGGATATGGTCTCACACCCCTTTAGGACGCTATCCTACCTCAGAGACGTGACTCCGCCTCATTCAGTCCATAACAAAGAGGAAAAGACAGGTGAGGAGATGGAGGACATTTTAAAAGTTGTTGCAGCTGGAGCGGCAGCTAAAGTAAACAAAGTCATTGTGGGAGGGGTGAGCAGCTTGCGGAGTAGCTATTGTCCATTTATCATTATCGAGGTGAACTGATCAATATAACATGATATTGATGTGAGGCCATAACGCCCAGCCCTAGTTTTAGTTTTTAGGTTCTTCCTTTTCAGACCCAGTCAACCAATATTAAAGTACACGCTTGTTTGCCTGGTGCATTTGCTATAGGCTGAAGAATCCCCTGATCAAATGCAACAAGTGCAACAACATAACCATCCAAAAAAGAAGCCACAGACAATAACATGATAGATGAGTTTAAGCTACAGAGCAACTCCCAGATGATGTTTCTTAGAGTCCAGGATCTTTTCTTAGTGTGTCCTCAGTAACTTGGACTTGAATATAACTTAATTCTTCCTGTATAACACCTACTCTCTAACAGAGCCTGCAGCAGTCATGAACCTCACAGTCCACAATGTCACAACATCCTCCATGTTTCTGAACTGGACTGAACCAGAGGGACAGAGATCCTTCTATAGAGTGAAGTGGACCAATGGAAAAACCATTTGGAAGAATAGTGTCACTGAAACAAACATAAAGGTCACTAATCTGACAGCCGGAGTTCAGTACAATTTTACTGTCACTGCAGTGGCTGGAGATGACACAACAGAGAGTGAAATGGTTCAGACTTCTACCTACACCAGTAAGATGATTAACTACATGACTTATCTTGACTGTGTTTAGTGTTTTTTTAAGCTGCACTTTAGTCTGATGTTGTTTTTTGTTGTCTTTAGATAGAAAACAAAGTGATGCTCATTAATTGGTTTTCAATTTACCAGAAACTTCCAGTTATTCACAAATGTATTTATCGTTCTCTTCCTGCATTTATCCTGCTCTCACAGAGCCTGAAGTAGTCAAAGTTCTTAATGCCCACATTGTCGCAACATCCTCCATGTTTCTGAACTGGACTGAACCAGAGGGAGAGAGATCCTTCTTTAGAGTACAGTGGACTAATGGAGAAATTAAGAAGTCTGCTAATGTGACAGACAGACATACTTACATTACTAACCTGACTGCTGGGGTCCAGTATGAAATAAGTGTATCTGCAGTGGCAGATGATAACAGTACTAAAGGAGAGAAAACCACTGTTTTCAAATACACAAGTAAATTGGTGTCTCAACTGATTTTATATTTAACACGATGGTCTCCTGATTGCACTTGTTGGAGCAGACTGTGTGCAACAAAAGGAGAATCAGACTCAGAGCTGACTCTGAGCACAACCTCTTTAAATTGATATATGCTCAATAATTACAGTATTTAATGAAGAGATCAGGTTTAGATTTGGAAAAGTTCTTGTGTCTGACAGCAGCACTGGATGTTTTAATCGATTGTATTTGAGAAGTCTTTGTCTACAATCTGGAGAACCTTTAGTGCAGAGAAAAATAGTGATTTTATACAATCCTAAAGCTGTAAGCCTTTATCCTGGACTGTTGGACATCTGCAAAAAGATGGAGGCTATTGGTTAGAGTGGAAATGTAATACTTTTTCTCATATCTCTATTATTGTGTTTGTTATCAGGTTAAGTAAGGGCTGGGTGATAAACCAAAAATTTACTGAAACCAAAATTTACAACTTTAACTGGCATCATTTTACGCATACTGGTGTATTCAGTGTCAAAATAATAAATAAAAAAAAGTTGGTTTTGGATATGGTCTCACACCCCTTTAGGCCGCTATCCTACCTCAGAGACGTGACTCCGCCTCATTCAGTCCATAACAAAGAGGAAAAGACAGGTGAGGAGATGGAGGACATTTTAAAAGTTGTAGCAGCTGGAGCGGCAGCTAAAGTAAACAAAGTCATTGTGGGAGGGGTGAGCAGCTTGCGGAGTAGCTATTGTCCATTTATCATTATCGAGGTGAACCGATCAATATAACGTGATATTGATGTGAGGCCATAACGCCCAGCCCTAGTTTTAGTTTTTAGGTTCTTCCTTTTCAGACCCAGTCAACCAATATTACAGTACACACTTGTTTGCCTGGTGCATTTGCTATAGGCTGAGAGATTCCCTGATCCAATGCAACAAGTGCAACAACATAACCATCCAAAAAAGAAGCCACAGACAATAACATGAAAGATGAGTTTTGAGCTACAGAGCAACTCCCAGATGATGTTTCTTAGAGTCCAGGATCTTTTCTAAGTGTGTCCTCAGTAACTTGGACTTGAATATAACTTAATTCTTCCTGTATAACACCTACTCTCTCACAGAGCCTGCAGCAGTCATGAACCTCATGGTTCACCAAGTCACAACATCCTCCATGTTTCTGAACTGGACTGAACCAGAAGGACAGAGATCCTTCTTTAGAGTAAAGTGGACCAATGGAAAAACCATTTGGAAGAATAGTGTCACTGAAACAAACATAAATGTCACTGATCTGACAGCTGGAGTTCAGTACAATTTTACTGTCACTGCAGTGGCTGGAGATGACACAACAGAGAGTGAAATGGTTCAGACTTCTACCTACACCAGTAAGATGATTAACTACATGACTTATCTTGACTGTGTTTAGTGCGTCTTTAAGCTGCGCTTTAGTCTGATGTTGTTTTTTGTTGTCTTTAGGTAGAATACAAAGTGATGCTCATTAATTGGTTTTCAATTCACCAGAAACTTCCAGTTATACACAAATGTATTTATCGTTCTCTTCCTGCATTTATCCTGCTCTCACAGAGCCTGAAGTAGTCAAAGTTCTGAATGTCCACATTGTCACAACATCCTCTATGTTTCTGAACTGGACTGAACCAGAGGGACAGAGATCCTTCTTTAGAGTACAGTGGACTAATGGAGGGATTAAGAAGTCTGCTAATGTGACAGACAGACATACTTACATTACCAACCTGACTGCTGGGGTCCAGTATGAAATAAGTGTATCTGCAGTGGCAGATGATAACAGTACTAAGGGAGAGAAAACCACTGTTTTCAAATACACAAGTAAGTTGGTGTCTCAACTGATTTTTATATTTAACGCAATGGTCTCCTGATTGCACTTGTTGGAGCAGACTGTGTGCAACAAAAGGAGAATCAGACTCAGAGCTGACTCTCACGACAAACTCTTTAAATTGATATATGCTCAATAATTACAGTATTTAATGAAGAGATCAGGTTTAGATTTGGAAAAGTTCTTGTGTCTGACAGCAGCACTGGATGTTTTAATCGATTGTATTTGAGACGTCTTTGTCTACAATCTGGAGAACCTTTAGTGCAGAGAAAAATAGTGACTTTATACAATCCTAAAGCTGTAAGCCTTTATCCTGGACTGTTGGACATCTGCAAAGAGATGGAGGCTACTGGTTAAAGTGGAAATGTAATACTTTTTCTCATATCTCTATTATTGTGTTTGTTATCAGGTTAAGTAAGGGCTGGGTGATAAACCAAAAATTTACTGAAACCAAAATTTACAACTTTAACTGGCATCATTTTACCCATGCCAGTGTATTCGGTGTCAAAATAATAAATAAAAAAAAGTTGGTTTTGGATATGGTCTCACGCCCCTTTAGGCCGCTATCCTACCTCAGAGACGTGACTCCGCCTCATTCAGTCTGTAACAAAGAGGAAAAGACAGGTGAGGAGATGGAGGAAAGTTCAAAAGATGTAGCGGCAGCTAAAGTAAACAAAGTCAATGTGGGAGGGGGTGAGCAGATTGTGGAGTAGTTATTGTCCATTTATCATCATCGAGGTGAACTGATCAATATAACATGATATTGATGTGAGGCCATAACGCCCAGCCCTAGTTTTAGTTTTCAGGTTCTTCCTTTTCAGACCCAGTCAACCAATATTACAGTACACACTTGTTTGCCTGGTGCATTTGCTATAGGCTGAGGGATTCCCTGATCAAATGCAACAAGTGCAACAACATAACCATCCAAAAAAGAAGCCACAGACAATAACATGAAAGATGAGTTTTGAGCTACAGAGCAACTCCCAGATGATGTTTCTTAGAGTCCAGGATCTTTTCTTTGTGTGTCCTCAGTCATTTGGACTTAAATATAACTTAAGTCCTCCTGTATAATACCTACTCTCTAACAGAGCCTGCAGCAGTCATGAACCTCACAGTCCACAATGTCACAACATCCTCCATGTTTCTGAACTGGACTGAACCAGAGGGACAGAGATCCTTCTATAGAGTGAAGTGGACCAATGGAAAAACCATTTGGAAGAATAGTGTCACTGAAACAAACATAAATGTCACTGATCTGACAGCTGGAGTTCAGTACAATTTTACTGTCACTGCAGTGGCTGGAGATGACACAACAGAGAGTGAAATGGTTCAGACTTCTACCTACACCAGTAAGATGATTAACTACATGACTTATCTTGACTGTGTTTAGTGTCTTTAAGCTGCGCTTTAGTCTGATGTTGTTTTTTGTTGTCTTTAGGTAGAATACAAAGTGATGCTCATTAATTGGTTTTCAATTCACCAGAAACTTCCAGTTATACACAAATGTATTTATCGTTCTCTTCCTGCATTTATCCTGCTCTCACAGAGCCTGAAGTAGTCAAAGTTCTGAATGTCCACATTGTCACAACATCCTCTATGTTTCTGAACTGGACTGAACCAGAGGGACAGAGATCCTTCTTTAGAGTACAGTGGACTAATGGAGGGATTAAGAAGTCTGCTAATGTGACAGACAGACATACTTACATTACCAACCTGACTGCTGGGGTCCAGTATGAAATAAGTGTATCTGCAGTGGCAGATGATAACAGTACTAAGGGAGAGAAAACCACTGTTTTCAAATACACAAGTAAGTTGGTGTCTCAACTGATTTTTATATTTAACGCAATGGTCTCCTGATTGCACTTGTTGGAGCAGACTGTGTGCAACAAAAGGAGAATCAGACTCAGAGCTGACTCTCACGACAAACTCTTTAAATTGATATATGCTCAATAATTACAGTATTTAATGAAGAGATCAGGTTTAGATTTGGAAAAGTTCTTGTGTCTGACTGCAGCACTGGATGTTTGAATCGATTGTATTTGAGACGTCTTTGTCTACAATCTGGAGAACCTTCAGTGCAGAGAAAAATAGTGACTTTATACAATCCTAAAGCTGTAAGCCTTTATCCTGGACTGTTGGACATCTGCAAAAAGATGGAGGCTACTGGTTAAAGTGGAAATGTAATACTTTTTCTCATATCTCTATTATTCTGTTTAAGTTATCAGGTTAATTAAAGGCTGGATGATAAACCAAAAATTTACTGATACCAAAATTTACGACTATAACTGACATCATTTTACCGATACTGGTGTATTCAGTGTCAAAATAATAAATTTAAAAAAGTTTGTTTTGGATATGGTCTCACGCCCCTTTAAGACGCTTTCCTACCTCAGAGACGTGACTCTGCCCCATTCAGTCCATAACAAAGAGGAAAAGACAGGTGAGGAGATGGAGGACAGTTCAAAAGTTGTAGCAGCTGGAGCGGCAGCTAAAGTAAACAAAGTCAATGTGGGAGGGGTGAGCAGCTTGTGGAGTAGCTATTGTCCATTTATCATTATCGAGGTGAACCGATCAATATAACGTGATATTGATGTGAGGCCATATCACCCAGCCCTAGTTTTAGTTTTCAGGTTTTTCCTTTTCAGACCCAGTCAACCAATATTACAGTACACACTTGTTTGCCTGGTGCATTTGCTATAGGCTGAAGGATTCCCTGATCAAATGCAACAAGTGCAACAACATAACCATCCAAAAAAGAAGCCACAGACAATAACATGAAAGATGAGTTTTGAGCTACAGAGCAACTCCCAGATGATGTTTCTTAGAGTCCAGGATCTTTTCTTTGTGTGTCCTCAGTCATTTGGACTTAAATATAACTTAAGTCCTCCTGTATAATACCTACTCTCTAACAGAGCCTGCAGCAGTCATGAACCTCACAGTCCACAATGTCACAACATCCTCCATGTTTCTGAACTGGACTGAACCAGAGGGACAGAGATCCTTCTATAGAGTGAAGTGGACCAATGGAAAAACCATTTGGAAGAATAGTGTCACTGAAACAAACATAAATGTCACTGATCTGACAGCTGGAGTTCAGTACAATTTTACTGTCACTGCAGTGGCTGGAGATGACACAACAGAGAGTGAAATGGTTCAGACTTCTACCTACACCAGTAAGATGATTAACTACATGACTTATCTTGACTGTGTTTAGTGTTTTTTTAAGTGGCGCTTTAGTCTGATGTTTTTTGTTGTCTTTAGGTAGAAAACAAAGTGATTTTCATTAATTGGTTTTCAATTTACCAGAAACTTCCAGTTATTCACAAATGTATTTATCGTTCTCTTCCTGCATTTATCCTGCTCTCACAGAGCCTGAAGTAGTCAAGGTTCTCAATGTCCACAATGTCACAACATCCTCCATGTTTCTGAACTGGACTGAACCAGAGGGACAAAGATCCTTCTTTAGAGTACAGTGGACTAATGGAGGAATTAAGAAGACTGCTAATGTGACAGACAGACATACTTACATTACTAACCTGACTGCTGGGGTCCAGTATGAAATAAGTGTATCTGCAGTGGCAGATGATAACAGTACTAAAGGAGAGAAAACCACTGTTTTCAAATACACAAGTAAGTTGGTGTCTAAATAGATTTTTTATTTAACGCAATGGTCTCCTGGTTGCACTTGTTGGAGCAGACTGTGTGCAACCAAAGGAGAATCAGACTCAGAGCGAACTCTGAGCACAACCTCTTTAAATTGATATATGCTCAATAATTACAGTATTTAATGAAGAGATCAGGTTTAGATTTGGAAAAGTTCTTGTGTCTGACAGCAGCACTGGATGTTTTAATCGATTGTATTTGAGAAGTCTTTGTCTACAATCTGGAGAACCTTTAGTGCAGAAAAAAATAGTGATTTTATACAATCCTAAAGCTGTAAGCCTTTATCCTGGACTGTTGGACATCTGCAAAGAGATAGAGGCTACTGGTTAAAGTGGAAGTGTAATATTTCTTCTCATATCTCTATTATTCTGTTAAAGTTATCAGGTTAATTAAAGGCTGGATGATAAACCAAAAATTTACTGATACCAAAATTTACGACTATAACTGACATTATTTTACGCATACCGGTGTATTCGATGTCATAAATAATAAATTAAAAAAAGTTGGTTTTGAATATGGTCTCACGTCCCTTTAGGCCGCTATCCTACCTCAGAGACGTGACTCTGCCCCATTCAGTCTGTAACAAAGAGGAAAAGACAGGTGAGAAGATGGAGGACAGTTCAAAAGTTGTAGCAGCTGGAGCGGCAGCTAAAGTAAACAAAGTCAATGTGGGAGTGGGTGAGCAGCTTGTTGAGTAGTTATTGTCCATTTATTATTATCGAGGTGAACCGATCAATATAACGTGATATAGATGTGAGGCCATATCGCCCAGCCCTAGTTTTAGTTTTCAGGTTCTTCCTTTTTGGACCCAGTCAACCAATATTACAGTACACACTTGTTTGCCTGGTGCATTTGATATAGGCTGAGAGATTCCTTGATCCAATGCAACAAGTGCAAAGACATAACCATCCAAAAGAGAAGCCACAGACAATAACATGAAAGATGAGTTTTGAGCTACAGAGCAACTCCCAGATGATGTTTCTTTGAATCCTGGATCTTTCCTTCGTGTGTCCTCAGTAACTTGGAACTAAATGTAACTTAAGTCCTCCTGTATAACACCTACTCTCTAACAGAGCCTGCAGCAGTCGTGAACCTCACAGTTCACCAAGTCAAAACCTCCTCAATATCTCTGATGTGGACCAAACCAGAGGGACAGAGATCCTTCTATAGAGTAAAGTGGACCAATGGAATAACCAGTGGAAATAAGAATGTCACTGAAACAAACATAAAGGTCACTGATCTGACAGCCGGAGTTCAGTACAAATTTACTGTCACTGCAGTGGCTGGAGATGACACAACAGAGAGTGAAATGGTTCAGACTTCTACCTACACCAGTAAGATGATTAACTACATGACTTATTTTGACTGTGTTTAGCATTTCTTTAAGTTGCGCTCTAGTCTGATGTTGTTTTTTGTGGTCTTTAGATAGAATGAAAAGTGATGCTCATTCATTGATTTTTTTTTTAATTTACCAGAAACATCAGTTTTTTTCTTAAATGTTTTTATCGTTCTCTTCCTGCATTTATCCTGCTCTCACAGAGCCTGAAGTAGTCAAAGTTCTCAATGTCCACAATGTCACAACATCCTCCATGTTTCTGAACTGGACTGAACCAGAGGGACAGAGATCCTTCTTTAGAGTACAGTGGACATCAAAACATGGGGAAACAAATGAGACTGCTAATGTGACAGACAGACATACTTACATAACTAACCTGAATGCTGGGGTCCAGTATGAAATAAGTGTATCTGCAGTGGCAGATGATAACAGTACTAAGGGAGAAAAAACCACTGTTTTCAAATACACAAGTAAGTTGGTGTCTGTACTGATTTTATATTTAACGCGATGGTCTCCTGATTGCACTTGTTGGAGCAGACTGTGTGCAACAAAAGGAGAATCAGACTCAGAGCTGACTCTGACAACAACCTCTTTAAATTGATATATGCTCAATAATTACAGTATTTAATGAAGAGATCAGGTTTAGATTTGTAAAAGTTCTTGTGTCTGACTGCAGCACTGGATGTTTGAATCGATTGTATCTGAGAAGTCTTTGTCTACAATCTGGAGAACCTTCAGTGCAGAGAAAAATAGTGACTTAATACAATCCTAAAGCTGTAAGCCTTTATCCTGGACTGTTGGACATCCTGAAAATATAAGGCTACTGGTTAAAGTGGAAATGTAATATTTCTTTTCACAACTTTATTATTTTGTTTGAAGTTATCAGGTTCTTCTTTTTTGGACCTAGATGGGCAATATTACAGTACACACTTGTTTGCCTGGTGCATTTGCTATAGGCTTAGGGATCCCCTAATGAAATGATAATTGTATCAGACAACTTATGTTTGTCTTTGCAATAAGGAAATGCTGTAAGAAGACATTTACCTTTATAGCTCCATAATAAAGTACATTCATTCAGAAGTGCAATTACATAACAATCCAAAAGAGAAGCCACAGACAATAACATGATAGATGAGTTTTGAGCTACAGAGCAACTCCAAGATTACATTTCTGAGAGTGTCCTCAGTAACTTGGACTTGAATATAACTTAAGTCCTCCTGTATAACACCTACTCTCTCACAGAGCCTGCAGCAATCGTGAACCTCATGGTTCACCAAGTCACAACATCCTCAATATCTCTGAAGTGGACCAAACCAGAGGGACAGAGATCCTTCTATAGAGTAAAGTGGACCAATGGAAAAACCAGTGGGAATAACACGGTCACTGAAACAAACATAAAGGTCACTAATCTGACAGCTGGAGTTCAGTACAATTTTACTGTCACTGCAGTGGCTGGAGATGACACAACAGAGAGTGAAATGGTTCAGACTTCTACCTACACCAGTAAGATGATTAACTACATGACTTATCTTGACTGTGTTTAGTGTTTTTTTTAAAGTGGTGCTTTAGCCTGATGTTGTTTTTTGTTGTCTTTAGGTAGAATACAAATTGATGCTCATTCATTGGTTTTTCCAATTTACCAGAAACTTCCAGTTATTCACAAATGTATTTATCGTTCTCTTCCTGCATTTATCCTGCTCTCACAGAGCCTGAAGTAGTCAAAGTTCTTAATGTCCACAATGTCACAACATCCTCCATGTTTCTGAACTGGACTGAACCAGAGGGACAAAGATCCTTCTTTAGAGTACAGTGGACATCAAAACACGGAGAAACAAATGAGACTGCTATTGTGACAGAAACATATGTTCACATTACTAACCTGACTCCTGGGGTCCAGTATGTCATCACTGTCAGTGCATTAGCATGTGATGGCAGTACTGAAGGAGAGAGAACCACTGTTTTCAAATACACAAGTAAGTTATTGTCATAGAAATAATGGTGAGTTTAAAAGACAAGTTACACAGCAGTGTAACCCCCCCACCAACATTGCTTTTGCACCCTGTTAAATTGCTAAAACATTGCTTTTGCAATTTGTTTTTTCTCTTCTGTCCCCAGAACCTGGTAGTATTGGGAACCACACAGTGTCCACAGCCACCTCTTCCATTCATCTGACCTGGACTCCACCTCCTGGTGAGGTGTCTGAATACAGAGTAACCTGGGATAATGGTGGGACAGTTAAGTCCATAAATACAACCACCAACTATACTGAGCTACCTAACCTGATCCCTGGTACTGCCTATTCAATCCGAATCATTGCTGTGAATGAAGAGCGTAAAGAAGGAGAGTCATACAGATTCATTTCGGTCACCAGTAAGCCACATTTCCTCCACTGGATATAACTATTTATGTTCTCATTCATTGGTCAAGTGTGAACCAAGTGTACAAGTATAAATTGTTTTTTTTTCTACATTCATAGAACCAGCTAGGGTTAAGGATCTCAAGATTGCAGGAGTCACAACAACATCTGTGTTTTTGAGTTGGACTAAACCAGAGGGCAATGTTACATCGTACAGAGTTGAGCAGACTGAAGGAGTAAGCTTCAACACCGCTGACACCTCCTTCAACATCACTGGTTTAACCCCTGGGGACAACTACACATGCACAGTATTTGCTGTTGCAAGAGATCCTCAAAACGAAGGAGAAGGAAACTCAGAAACTACCTTCACAGGTAGGTGATTAGATGAAGCACTTTTTAAAACAGATGCATTTTGTCCATAATCATTAATTCAGTATTAGTTTAATAGTTATCCATTTAAACACCTGCATCCACGTATTGCTAAACTCTCATCTTTAAATAATACCACATTTTAGTGGGTAATAAACTATGAAATAAAGATTGATCCACAGACTCATAAAATGGGCTTTTGAAGAGAATACACCTACTACTCTTTTTTCATACCATCTGAAAGTGTGACATTTGAAATGAATATTGTGTTGTTTCTAAGTGCAATTCCAAAAACCCTATAATAGACAACACTTGTACCTCTTTGATGTATAGTACCTGTACAGCCCGAGAACATTCGTGCAAAGCCACCTGGAACGGATAACCTGGACATCAGCTGGACTCTGCCACACGGGAGGGTCGATCACTACGTGGTGAACATCTTGAATGAGAATCTGCAGTTTTCAAGAAGCAATACAACAACGGAGAATCGTTTTCATTTCACTGGTTTAAAGCCGGGGAGACTCTTTGTCATTACAGTGACCTCTGTCGCTGGAGACAAACAGTCCTCTAACCAGGTGAAATTTGCCACTGGTGAGTTCAAGAACCTTTGTGTCAGCTGTTACTGCATGATTTATTAAAGTTCGAGGTAAGAATAAAACCTTTAATGATGACTCTTTTTTTTTGGTTTCTATAACTGAGTTTCAGTCATTTAGTTTTGAAAAAACAAGTTAAAGTCATGTGACTGGATGACTTGTATTTTCTCCTGTTACCTGATATTTTATGAAAAACTCTCCAGGGACTCTCCACCAGTTGTGCGATATTTCATGTATAACCCATGCAAAAAAAAAAAATCTTAAACCGTGTATGACAGGTTGTCTTATCAGAATTATCTCACTTGAAACATGGAGCAGTAATTTTTTATCCACCTGTTGTTCATACTTGTTAGCTCCCACACCTCCTGGTACCATCCACATCACTGACAGGACAAACTCTTCACTTCATGTTAAGTGGGAAACTCCTGCTTCAATGGAGGGTGCTCCAGACATCAGCTATCACATCACCTGCTACTCACCTGAGGGTGTTGCAGTACAAAATAAGAGCACCACAGACCGAGAAATAGATCTCCTTTCACTGTCATCTGGAACTCGCTACAACATATTTGTGCAAACAGCTGGTCCACAAGACTTAAAGAGTTCAGATTATAATACTTCCACATACACCTGTAAGTACAATACTTTTTTTTCACTTGTTATATTCACAGAATATAAAATTTAGGTAACTGAAGTATTAGGAAGAAATCTAATCTTTTTGAATTACTTTTGAATAACATTTCCTGTATTTATCATTTTTCTAGCACCAAATCCAGTGTTGACCCTGGTATGCAGCCCCAAATCCAACGAATCTGTAGAAGTGAAATGGTCAGACCCAATAGAAGCCAAGACCTATTACAACTACTCAGTTGAAGCCCAAAATCTCACAGGAAAAACGATTAACAACTTAATAGTCAGCAAAAACGTCGTTGAAGTAGAAGACTTAGATCCAGGGACTCATTACAACATCAGTGTTTGGACTATAGCAGCACCAGAAATTCATTCAGCCATTGAATACACCTTGTGTTACACAAGTAAGGCCTCAATTATAATACTTTTAAGTACTGCATATGCTCTATACCAGTGGTTCTCAAGTCCAGTCCTCGAGGCCCACTGTCCTGCATGTTTTGGATGTTTCCCTGCTCCAACACACCTGATTCAAATGATCAGCTCGTTATTAAGCCATTACAGAGCTTGATAACGAGCTGATCATTTGAATCAGGTGTGTTGGAGCAGGGAAACATCCAAAACATGCAGGACAGTGGGCCTCGAGGACTGGACATGAGAACCACTGATATATTCCAATGAAATACTTTTTAATCTTTTTGTTCTTTCATCACCAATAACACTCTGCTGTGTGTTTCTGCAGAGCCCACTGCAGTGACCAACCTCAGAGTGGTGAATGTGACCACCACGACTGCCCAGTTGTCTTGGGCTTTGCAGTGGGATCATAAATCGTCCTACTCCTACCTGGTGATGGCTTTTGAGAATAGCATGCTGGTTCACAATGATTCAACTAAGGATGACACATACACCTTCACTGATCTGTGCCCTGGTAGTTTCTACACTTTTAAAGTGATCACAGTTGTAGAGGGAGTCAGGGCTGAGGAGGCAACCACATCAGATAACACAGGTATGTCTTTTAAGCCTGTACTCTTTTTTTTATAGACTGTATCGTACTTAAATGTAGGGTTGGTGGCGTCATCTATTTGTTTCTGAAGTGGAGTTCTGAAGCATATTTGTGCCAATGGCCATATTAATGATAAATATCAAATAATAATAATAAAAATAAATAGTAAAAAATAATATAATAATAAAGTTCTTCTTAATAAAGTTCTTCTTATATTAGTAATGCTAACTCAACTTAACTTTCAGTTAACCTACCAGAGGTGGGCTTTAAGCCTCTTCTCAAATAACTGAATCAACAGTCTTGTCAAACAAACATCTTACAAAGATAATTCACCTCACGCACAGAAGTGCTGTGGGAACCCTGAACTACTTAGATCACAACTGTTTTTTTGAAGCAGCTCTTGACATGTTTGTTTTTGCAGTAAAATTGGGTCTTTTGAATTTGTGGGAACTGTGAACTGCACTTTTTAGAACTTCTGCATCATTTCCCAAGACTGAAGGTTACCTCTTGAAATCAACATAAATTAAGGGAAAATTCAATAATTGGTCCTAAGTCAAGTGTTATTAAACTGAACTCTTTGAATCAAATCAGGTTTACCATCAACATTAAAACGCTTGGCATGAAGATACTGCATGTATCAAAGTGGATCTGTCTCCGCTATCACTTTAGGTTCAAGTAGTAGTTCATTTAAATATCACTAAGGATTTATGATAGATGTAAACAATAACAGAATTTAATTATTTATTTTTTGCAGCTCCAGCACTGGTTTCTAACATCTCAGTATTAGGGAGCACAAACAGCCTGTCAGTGACCTGGACTGCAGCAGGGTGTAAGGTGGACTCATACTCCGTTTGGCTGTACAGTAACGAGAGGCTGATTAAACGCACCGATCCGACAAACGCAACTGTCGAAGTGTTTGATGACCTGACACCGGGAGTTGTGTACTGTGTGGAGGTGGTCAGTAAAACTGGAAGTCACGAGAATAAAATATCCCCAGTTTGCAACGCAACTTGTGAGTGATATGGACTTTTAAAGCCATTAAAACTATATTTACCAATATGAGTAGTATCAGTATTTTTTTTTTTCGTATCCCTTTTCGAATGGAGTATTGAGTTTTCCTTCTCTCTTTTAGTTCCCAATCCTCCTGGTCCCATCAAAGTGGAGTCTCAGACTGTGGACTCTATAAACTTCACCTGGACTTTACCAAAGGACATGGACCACGGGCAGTATAAGTTCAGAGTGTTCAGCTTTGGCGGCCCTAATATCACTGAAAACTCTTGGTTCCTGCTGAGTGATCTGTTGTCTGGAAGCCCGTACAATATCTCTGTTGTTACTGTAGGTGTGAAGGACTATGAGAGCACAGCAGAGACAGCAAAAATCTACACAAGTGAGTAACACACACACCACTATCCTGTAATTGCTGTGGTTGTTAGTAGCTATAATTAGTATATTTCTTAAATTATTCAAGCTTTTTGGAGTTTTTTTTTTTTTAATTTGTATCTCTTTGTTTTATTATGACTTCATTGAGAGTTTACCTCTTTATTTGGCTAATTAAGATCGATAGAAATATCAAGCTTATCCCAAATAACACTATTAGCTGAAAAAAATATGATGCTTTGTAAAACAGAAATACGTACTTTTGCTGTATGTATATGTTCAAATTACATTTAACTTTTAATTTGATAAGAAATTTACCAAAACTTTGACACCCAAATTAATCATGATTAACTCATGAACCAGAGAGATATTTTGAGTTAATTAAGACCACTCATAAGCACCAGATGACCACTGATCATAAAAGTATTTCAGCATTTTAACTTTCTTGTGTTTCTTTGAGAAACTATTGAGGTCTTACTCCTGTCTACTGATCCACACATGCTATTCAAACTCCTTTACCTTAGTCCAACACAAATGCCTGCTAATTTTATCCAATGCGATTTCCAAATTTCACTTTTCTCAGGACCGCATCCTGTAACCCTGAAAACTGGAGAGACACAAATCACCACAAATACAGTGACATTGTTTTGGGAACAGAGCGAAAGCAAACCTGACTACTTATATGAAGTGCAAGTCTCTAACAACAACACGCTGGAAACATTCAACACCACAGCTACGATCAATGATCTTTTCTCTGGGAGTAACTATACGTTCACTGTAACTTCAATGACAGCAGACCGCACTCGGGCAGCTCCTGTGACTGCGGCATATTTTACACGTAAGTATAAATGATAGGCTGGCTAAGCTGCTGTATTCATTGTAGTATTATTAATCTGTTGGCAAGTGACATATTTTTTCATGTCTGAAGCTTTCTGTTTTTTATTTATTTTATTTTTTTATTTTTTGTTTTGTTTTGGAGTTGTATTTTCCACATGCATGATAGTGAGCATGGGCTGTTTGCAGAAAAATACACTGTAGAGAGAAGAATAGGACTAAGTCTGGTGCAATGGCAGCTCTGATATCTTTAAACAAACATCTTTATGGTGGTGCAGCCAATAGCGCACTTGTAGACTTAGAGCCCTATCTTACCCACATTGCAAAACTTTTTAGCATGCAGTGCAAATCACTTTTTTTTCACCCGACCCACCTTTCACCTTGTGCCCAGCAGCACCCATGAGGTATACTGTAGATAGCAAGTGAACTCACACATCACTTGACACCCACTTAACTATCAAGTTTGACATGCTCTGTAGACCACAAGTTTTCGATTGTTCATTAGGGCCCACTTTTTTATGCTTCTAAATTTCTAGCATTGACAGCAGTTGTTACAGATTAATTTTGGACATCAAATGTTTAAAATCTGATAACAAATACAAAAGTTTAGTTACTCATTTGGACTTCCATCAGGGTGCATATTCAGTTTCAGTTTATTAATTCACTATTCAGTCACAATGACAGTATCTTTTTACAAAATAAATTCCATTTTCTTCACGACTGAATCCTCAGAAGCAAAAGTTTGTATGCCAGAAGGTTGGGTGATTGGTTGTCTTCATTGGCTGTTGATTTATGAGAAAATATTTGCTCTGTTTTCAGGGCCATATGCTGTCAGAGGGTTGGATGCTGATACCTTGAACACAACTACTATACATCTGTCTTGGATGAAACCTCTGGACTACAAGTCAGAATATACTTATCGGGTGCAGACTTCAAGTTGTGATTCCCCCAAAAACCAAACCCTTGCTGAAAACAGCACACTGATCTCAGAACTTACTCCTGGAACTAACTGCACCTTCTGTGTCAGTGTTAGAGCAGCAGATGGCATCGAAGGACAAGCAATGTGCACCTCTAATTACACAAGTAAGACTAAAACCTGTCACTACTCAATTTACTTCTAATAATCACTGTGGTTTTATGGGCTTTAATCTTCCCCTGTCTGCTTTGTTTTTACAGAACCTGAGGTAGTGTTTCCCATCATTTTCAATGAGGGCTCCAACAATTCACTCCTGGTGTTATGGACTAAACCTGCTGGTAGAGTGGAGCGGTATATGGTTAATCTAACCAACAACGCTGAGGGTACGAGAGAGCAAGTGCTGAGCCCCGACAGTAGCTCTTTTCGGTTTGTGGGCCTGTCTGCTGGACGGATTTATGATGCCGTGGTTATCACACAGAGTGGACCCTTCAAAGTTTTATCCGAAAATGTTACTAATGCAACTTGTAAGTACAATTTACATATTTGGAACAATTTTATATGAAGATATACATAACCTGTGTCAAACTGGTTTAACATATTCTCTATTCACTTGCTTTTCATCCCTTAACAAAAATGCCCCTCTGTATGCCCTCACACCTGTGCCCGCTAACTTTTATATCTCTATACCTGTGACAGACATAAATATTTTTGCAGTGTTTACCAGTTTAGATGCAAACAGAAACTAATATCTTTGCCACAGTGGCAAACGCAGCAAACAAACTTACAAAGCTTTGAATTGACAGGAAGTTCTGTAGTATAACTCTGTATTTACAAGACTTGCTGCAAAAATAACAGACAATTGAATGCTTTTATCGATAGTTTGTAAATCTCCAAATGAAATAAGGATTGCTGTAAGTTTACGTAGCAGTGAAGTTTGATCCAAGACAACGGAAAATATAGCAATGAGAAATAGCCTGCGTGACTACATGTTAATGCCACATTCAACACAGTCCGCATGGCTCTGTAAGCATTTATTTGTATTTTGGAGATTTTCGTTGTTGTTATACTCTGCTTGTTAAATTTGATTTTTGCTATCTTTTTTGTTTCAGTACCTAACCCTCCTGGAAATATAGTAGTACTGGAAAAGACAACCAACTCTATCCAGATTGAGTGGGCAGAGGCTCCTTTGATGACTGGCGCATCATACTTCTACCAGCTGACTAACATCTCAGGACAAGAAGGCGACTACATCTCTGCCTATGACACCACCCATAATTTTGTATCCCTACTGTCTGGGACCCCCTATAATATCTCTGTGTTAACAGTCGGGGATTTGAATTTTAAGAGTGAGGAAGTTCAGATCAACATGGTCTTCACAAGTAAGACTTTATTTGATTGTTCGATAAAGCCAAGACTCAGATTCAGCTTTGTTTCCAGACATTAACATCTACACATCCAATTGTCTTTCTTATACCATCAGGACCATTTAGTGTGAAGTCTTTACATGCTTCCACGGATGAGGAGAATATCGATGTCACATGGATACAACCTGACCAATACAAGGAAAGCTACCGTTTCAACCTGATCTCGCAAAGCTTAGATGGGCCCCGCAATGCCATAGTTAAGGGTAACAGCGTACGTCTGGATAGCCTGGCTCCTGGAAGTCCTTACAACATCAGTGTCACTACAGAGACCTCAGATGGAACGCAGGGGGATCCAAAACACATATCAAACTGCACAAGTAAGATTAAAATAGTTGGTGATATGTTAATTCCCATAAAACATTTTCACTCTTCGGTTATTAATTCATTTTTCCATTTCTGTTTGATGCTTTAGAGGCGAGCCCTGTGGTAGATATTAAATGTGAAGGTCCAAACAAAGCAGTAGCAGAACTCGTCCTGTCCTGGGACTGTCCTCGTGGTCGTTATGCTGACTTCAAGGTCTCTGTACACGGCACCAACAGAGATTACCTACTTTACACAGAGTGTAACGGTACTGTGTCCAACCTTCATCACTACACTGAGTACTCAGTGACTGTGGAGACCCAGAGCTGTGGACAGCCCAGCAGCCCTGTGTCTCTTTCCTGCATGACTGGAATCACAGGTAGGACATCATACCTGAAGGGTTGGGGAAGCACAGGGTTTATACATGGATCCCTTCCATAAGTCGTATTGAAAAACTTTTATAAACACCTTGTTTTCTGATGGGTTATCTGTTTAAATGTCTGAAGGAACTTGAAAATGGATGACATGACTCTAGAGGATATTTTTCTCTTGGATTTAATTGAAATTTTGCAGCATTTAAAACAAAAGCAGAGCAATAAATTGAGTAAGTGAGTCAGGTTCGCCACCACAGAGAGAGAGAGAGACAAAACAAAGAAAGTAATGCCCCTTACAAAAATCTGCTCCACCATGATGTTTCATTAACACTAAAAAAACATTAGACCACCAACAAGCTCAACTCTCTAACAAAATTATTGTGCAAGTGTGTAGAAGAGGCTGAACATTTCCTCATGCACTTGCACAAAACTCATGCATCATTTCATAAGCTGCAGAGAAAAGTTGCAGGAAGATGACAAAAACATTGTTGCTCGTTGTGCAAAGTGGTGTGATCTGTGTGTGCAGCTCTTCTTTACTTTGCACACGGATCTCATTTGCTCCTGTGAGTTTAACCAGTGTTTGGCAGGCCTTGTAGCTATTTCAGTGAAAACCAACTATATTTATAAAAAACTTAGCTCTACCCTCTCAGGCGTCTAACCATCACTCACACCACTCCTGAGTCATTGCAACAGGAAGAAGGACTAGACTGATGATAGTACCTTTGAATTTTTTCCTTCATGCAGGGTTGTGATGAGATAATATTAATATTGATGTGACAAAATTCAAAGACATTTTGACGAGCTAAGAAGGCTACCTTTCGGGGGCCTTATCAGTCAGACATGGCTTGCAATATAAAGAGAGAAGAAAAAGAAATAGTAAATAAATAAATACTTAGCTATGGTAAAGGAGAAGAGTTTGTTTTTGTCATAGTTTTTGTTCAGTTTCTTTTGATTTACTGTGCTGTTAGCAAAGGAAAACTCTTTGACCTGTAGTGTAACCTTTTCTCACAGACCCTCCAGCTCCAAAGGATGTACACTTTCTGGTGACGATAAAGGAAACGCAACACAACAAGTTCGTCCTTCAGATTAACTCGACCGTGCTGAGCAGCACCAACGGGCCCATCACACATGTTGGGGTGCTGGTGACAGATAAAGAGCCTAGTGTGTTTGCTTTTCTCCCTGGATATTATTTTTACCTGTGCTTTTCTTTATTTATTTTGTTTAATAAGATCACAATCTTTTCTGTATCATACCTGATAAATGAGCACCTGATTTCTCTTCCTCCTGTAGGCATGTCTGAATTTAGGAGTTACTTAGGAAGAACGTATGATGAGTGGGTGGAAGAAAAAACTCTCGCATACTTGGCAACAGTCATACAGATGAGCTCTCAGTCCCGCAGCGGGGACACTCAAGTGACCATAGAGATCGGAGATGATACCACATGGAAAGGTTACACGAATGGAGTCCTGAGGGCCAATGGAGAATACAAGTAAGAGCTCATGACATGTTTTCAAATACATAAGATGAATCAACATTATTTTCCTTGTGGGTTATTGCTGAATCACTTTATCAATCAATCAATCAATCAACTTTATTTCTAAAGCACATTTAAAAGAACCACAAGGGTAGCCAAAGTGCTGTACAATGACACATTAAAAACAAATAAAACAATCAAAGAGCAAGATAAAGCGAGCAGAAATTCATTAATGCAAAAGAATAAATAAGTATATAAATAAGCAGGCTCACGGCCATCAGTACATGAACTCTGTGACCGTAGGACTTGTGTCAGGAAACATTTTTAAATGTCTCATTTGCTATCTCCTGCAGGTTTGCTGTTGTGTTGTTCACAAGCCTGATTCTGGAAGACAACCGTGTAAATGGTGTGAAGTCTCTAGTCGCATCAACACAATACTCTACTGTAATCCGTCTTCCAATATCCCCAAGTATGAAATCTAAACTCACACTTTTTGATATGATATGCTCCAATAATGTGGTGAGATGCTCACTGTTTACCTTTCATTTAAACTCTGTCTCAATATTTAGCTGTGATTGGCCTTGCTGTGGGATCATCACTTGGTATTTTTTGCATTCTTGTCATCATCCTGATTGGCTTCATCATCTACTGGAGGAGGTCAGTCATGGTTATCATCGAAAAAAGGTACTTTTGAATCATTGTGTGTTGGAATCAACTCTAAGCCCACTATTTTTTCAACTTTTATAGGATTTCCAAAAAGGAATCACCAGACATCCAGATTCACACTTTGAGGTACGGACGTCATATTAACTAGTCCATAAATTAACAGTGAATGGAAAACAAGGTTTACAATGTTGCTTTTTCTTTTTTTTTATATTTATTTCAGATCCCAAACGTAAGTATAAACCCTCTGAACCATACCTGGGAATGACAACTTCTAATTCATGGTAGACATGTCAGGAACAAAGCAGATGACTACTTAGTTAATGAAATCCTGGCTCAAAGCAGTTTTTTTTTTCTGAATGAAGCTCATGACTTTTATTCTGACCTCTGGTATCTCAGTGCGGCTGTGAACGTGGAAGACTTTGAGGCTTACTACAGGAAGCAGAAAGCAGACTCCAACTGTGGCTTTGCTGAAGAGTTTGAGGTAACTCATGAGCTTCATTCAACCTCAGCTTTAAAAATGTTGGGACACTGTGCAGAATTGAAAAAAAAATTGTATGGCTTGCACATTATTCAAATAATTGCTGTGTCTATGAAGTCAAAATTAATTCCAGATATTTACCATTAATATTTGTCATGCTACATGCCATCAAGCGAGCCATGTGATTTTCTTTTCTAATTGTCCTTTTATTTTTGAAGGATTTGAAAACTGTTGGTGTGGGACAGTCAAAGTCACATGCCCTGAATTTGGAGAACAAGCCCAAGAACCGCTACAACAATGTGCTTCCATGTGAGTCACCCTGACTAATCCTCCTCTGCTGCTTTCAGACCAAACAATCATCCCTCTCTAAACCATACCATGACCAATCATACTGAATCTACCACCATTACACCATTTTAATTTGGACAGACCATCCAAATTATCATCTTGACACACTTTTCTCTCGCCTCCTAGATGACTCCTCTAGGGTGAAACTCTCTATCATCCATGGGAGTCCATATGATGACTACATCAATGCTAACTACATGCCGGTGCGTACTGACAACATAACTGCTAATCCCTTTGCTAAATGCTACTTCAGCCATCGCATCTTCAACCATGTCCATTTCTGATAGACTTGAGAATCTTCTAAATCGAGCAGGATGGGGGTTTGTATTCTACACTCAGCACACTTTCTTTTTCTTTTTGGCAGGGTTACAACTCCAGGAAGGAGTTTATTGCAGCTCAGGGTCCTCTGCCACACACAGTCAGCCATTTCTGGAGGATGATCTGGGAGAAGAACGTACATACTCTGGTCATGCTGACACGTTGCAATGAGCAGGGTCGAGTGAGTGCGAAGATCAGTCTTAAAGACTTTTAGCCACATGTTTTTTTCATGACGCCCCTTGTTATAGCTGCGGTACTGTTGTAACCTCATCATCAATAATGTTATAGGTAGAAATAAAGTGATTTTTTTTTTAGGCAGGAGGAGAATTAGTGTCAGAAACACATCTTAGACATCAAGGATGAAATCAGCTGCAGTGTAAGACAGAGGCACCTCTTTGCCCTAACTTACTACAGACAGAGGTCTCTCACAGGAGAAACTCACAGTTTTTAACATTGCTGGTTAATGTGAAACATTTACAACCTGACCACTGAGACACTGAAATTAGACAATAACCCAGAAAATTGAATGAAAGAACAATATATTTCAATATCCAGCACTCTGAACCCTTTCACATTTTCTTCTAGTCAAAAAATAAATCAACAAGTCTCACCCAGTATATATCTGCTCATGCTAATATTGGCATGCTTATGTTGGAGCAATGTACCACTGTTCACACTGGTATTCCAGGTGTGAAAGAGCCTGATCATGTCTGTTTTGTGATGATTAATCAATCAATCAATCAAATTTTATTTATATAGCACCAATTCACAACAGTCGTCATCTCAAGACGCTTTTCAAGGAACAAGAGCAGGTCTGGACCACGCTCATTGTTTGATGATCAAGAACCAACCTAAGATGGGTTTTGGCCCATCTCAACTAACATGAGTTACAGTGGCAAGGAAAAACTTGTTCTGAATACTTGTTCTATGCTAAAACTGTCTTCTCCAGGTAAAATGTGAGCAGTACTGGGCGCCTGAAACCAAGCACTTTGAAAACATTATTGTGACAACAACCTCTGACATACCACTTAAAGATTGGACCATCAGGGACTTTGATGTTAAAAATGTGAGTGTCTAGATGTCTTATGAAATAAAAAAATATATAATGTTTGTTTTGATATATTTACTTCAGAATATTTCCGCTGCTGTAAGCTCAACAATGTTGTAACCAACTTCCTTTTTTAGTTAAGGAACTGTTGTCAGAATTCTCATTAATTGTGAAAACCTGTTTGCTAATATGTTCACTGTAATGTAATCTTACATTCGGTTCATTTTCTTAATCATTCAGACACCGAATCATTATCGATCATGTCTCATTGAGCTTGTGTGACTGTCCATCAGGTGAAAACTGCAGAGACCCGATCGGTACGTCACTTCCACTTCACAGCCTGGCCGGATCACGGGGTGCCGGAAACCACTGAGCTCCTGATAAACTTCAGACATCTGGTCAGAGAACACATGGACCAGTACTCCAGAAACTCTCCCACTGTGGTTCACTGCAGGTCTGACATATACTCACACGCTCAAACACACACACACTTACGGCTAAACAAATCTTCTAATCCATACAACCCTTTCAGTATTTAATTGACCTGACACTCTGCTACATTGTCTGCAGTGCTGGTGTGGGACGGACTGGCACTTTCATAGCCATTGACCATCTGATCATCCAGATCGAGAGGGAAAATGTAGTGGATGTGTACAACGTTGTCCATGACCTGCGCATGCACAGGCCCTTCATGGTGCAGACAGAGGTACATCAAGCCGTTTTTCTCTTGTATTCCCAGAGTGCGTTTCAGCTCACTAAACATTTGTTTCTGACCTCTTTGCAGGATCAGTATGTGTTTTTAAACCAGTGTGCCATGGACATCATCAAATCAAGAACTGGAACCAATGTGGATCTGATCTACCAAAACGCAGCTGCACTCTCAATTTACGAGAATGTGGAACCAAAGAACGGGTACTTCCCATAAACCTGAAAGACCACTCTGGTTTTCTAATCCCTCTATCCATTTTCTTTGCAGATATTTTTAAGGGAACATCTTTATCATTTTGTGATATTGAGGGTCTGCACACCTGCCATGCTTCTGTCGACTATATTGTTGCTTTCAAGATTAAAATTTTTTTTTTTAATTTAATTTATCAAAATATTTTGAATGTTTGATAAAAGAAGAAAATGTGTAATGAGAACATATACTGGACTGATGAAAAAAAGGAATTTATGTAAAAAAATGTATTTGCTGGTGTTTTTGTTGCTCACATGACTTTGCTTCTTTATTTTTGCCATCATACTACTGTTCGTGACCTACTGACGATACTTATTTGCTCAGGTAACATGTTGGATGCTGTATAGATATTACTATTGAAACTCTTTGTGTAGGAAAACTTTTAAATTGCCTTGTATAAAAAAAGATTTAGTGTTGTGAACACCTTGTGCCTTCTCAAACCTGTGCGCTTTATCACCAGTAGAGGGCACTGTATGTGTTTCAAATGGAAAAATCACAAAGGACTGTATCTTATTTCAGGAATCAGTTATGTTTCTTAAAATAACAAATGTACTCGAGTTTGTAGCAACCATATGGCCACTGTTTTTTGCACCTTGAAAGTAGATATGAGCTATGCAATGCTTTTAATGAAGAAATTTAGTTGTTTGTGATATGAATGTTTGTATTTGTTTGTATATGCACTGCAGCAAATGATGCACTGGATGCATTTGTTTTTCTACACTGTCCTTTTTTTGAACTTTAGAATTGTATTTTTATAAATAATTGCTGATTCCATTTGCTCAGTGCTTTGTGAAACTGTTTTAGGCATCTTCCTTTTCACAAAAACATTTGATTGTTGCAATTTTACTGTGATAATATTTTTTTATGAATAAAAAGATAGTTCGCATTAAACAAGAACTCAGGAAGTCAGTCAAAGTGAGTAAAAGTGCATTTTTGTAAGAGAGAAACACTCTCAAATATCCAAACCAGCATGTGGTGTACTTCAAAACAAAATTGATTGTTTTTGTTTTGGTGATTTCCTTTTTTTCCTGCTGTGTACATTCCACAGAGACTCAGTCATGTCACTTGCTGCTGCATATCTATGTCCATCTATGGCGATTTCCTGTAATGTTCAACTCACCAGAGGAGGACAAGCTTTATTTTCAGCCCCCAAAGGGCAGAAGTTTCCATGATGCAGGTACATTTGAGATCATGGATATGTGTGGTCTTTCTGTGGCTACTGAGTCTGTATTTTCTTATTGGTGTAACAGAATCTGGGTTATTCTGATTGAATACAAGATATATGCATAAAAAAAAAGAGTAGCCTAATTCATATAGAATTTCAGAAAACCTAGAAGATAGTTTTTGCAAATTACTGTATTTTCAAATATTGAAGCTATTTTGACCTTTTGGGCCACCATACCACTGTAAAAAATCATTTGAAGCACTTGTATTCTTTGAAGACAAAGGAGGAGTTTTTTCAAATACCTTATGAAATGCTTGCTGGAACAATGTAAAAAGTAACTGAAATCGTTTCTTATTTAATTACTTAATATTTGTAAATGAATAAACAGGATTAAAAATGTTATTACACCTATGCCCTGTGTGTGGCTCTGTAATCATGGAGTATATGTGTGTGAGAGAGTGCAGACCCAAACCAGTAGCTTTATGGTTTTTGCCCAAGTCTGATATCATGAGTTCTGTTACAAATCTCAAAGTTGTGACTCAGACTGTTTTAGTTTTTTTTGTTGTTGTCATGTATAAAAAGCATAAATCATCTAGACCGAACATTGCAAAGCCTGTGAGACATCTGCTTTTTACTCTATACTGCTGATTATGCAGAATATTTGCTGAATTGTGTTAGTCTGATGTAGAGATCAAAAGAAGCAAACAACAGGACAAACTGCATGCTGCAGAGGAGGTCTGAGCTTGCACACCTCTGCATTATTCAGAGCAACTTTGAGGGTGCATGTAGCTAAGTGCACCTTCAAAGGATGAATAAATAATGCCATTTCTTCATGAGGGAGAGCTTTTTGCACAGAGACTTGACAAAATTCTAATTTTACAGCTCACATCAGGCTTATGCTCAGGGGATTCTGGATGACTGTATATGGAGGTGTTTTAAAAAGCAATCATTTTCACACAGCACGGGGCACTCTCTGCAAGGTGGAAATAAAAGATTTTGTCAGAGTGTCAGCTTCAATTCGGCAGATATTTCTCATGTCTTGTACAGTTTGCCCTCCACCCACCCCCACTTCCACTATTTTTCCATCTCTGCTCTCCACTCCCCCTCACCATTTTTATTTCATGTCCTTAGATGCTAAAAAAAGATTTTACATTCAAACGCCTCGCTCCGGTCGCCTATATGATGCACCAGGCTGAGGCCGTTGTGAATGCAGAACAACCTGCAAATACAAATTAAAATGGGACAAAAGATAACTGGGTGAACCAAATTTAATGATGAGCTCAGATGCTTATGTGCCGGTAAATCCACCATAATGGATTACACAAGCATATTTAAGCTTCTGATTGAAGCTGTAGTAGGTTTTTATCTTTTTTAGTTGTCCAAAAACAAAGCTGTCTTGAATAGGAATTGGTGCCCTATTTGAGTCGGTTATTCAAGAGTCTTGTCTTGACTGTCTTTAAGTTGGCAATACACGATTATGCAAAACTACTTTTAGCTGTTAATGCCTGGCTGATGGCGCAACAAACTCTGAACAAAAAAGAAAGACTGAACATCCTTGAGAGAGTAAAAAGGTCAAAAAGACCATAAAGAAGAATGTTGAATCCAGCACATTGGGATACTATACCATGGTAACTATAGGTTTTTGCAAAATTTTGGCACTTTTGGGTCTACAATTTGTCCTCCCATCTTGACACAGCTTTTCTAACACTGCCTTATCGGTACTGTGCAGCACAGTTTGCGACTATATGGTGATTTGAAACAGGATGTGACTGGTGTAAGAAAGTGTATGTTTTACAACAGACACTTAGAGCTCTGACGTTTGCTCCATGTCATTGCTGAGCCTCATTGCACTCTAAATTGATTGCTACACTATTGAGTTTGTGCAAGCAGTATTACACGCACACCAGTTTTGTGGGTCTCATGCAGTATAGCATGTAAAAAAAAGAGTGTCACAGAGATAATGAGCGTGTTACTTACATTTTTTGCTTTGTTTACTTTAGAAATGAAAAGTATCAAGCAATACTTATTAAAATTATCAATTAAGAGCTGGATATTCAACTTTATTTCAGACCCACCCACAGGATGGTCCATATCACCAAAAAAAAAAAAAAACAGAAAAAAAAAAAACAACAACCAACCAACCAAACAAACAAACAAACAAACAAACAAACAAAAAAGCAAAAAATAATGAGATAATGAAAAACTAGATTTTTTTTTACTTAAGGGTAACAACATAAGTTTAGATCTTGAGAAAATGATAATGGAAAATCAAATATATAGAATGAGTTAATATTTCTTATGTGATTTATATGGATTTTAGTCCACTCAGGGCTTCCTCAAATAAGCGGTTAATATATTTTTAAATCAAACAGCTCTGAAAACTGCCAATGAATTTCAGTGTGACACTAACGGGATTTGACTAAAATATGCATTCACATTTTATTTCTTTAAAGTTATCTTGCTTATCATACTTTACAAAAACAGAGTGTCATAGAGATAATGAACATGTGGGAAATAAACAACCGAGTATTGGATCAGGAGTATCAGGTGATACTTATTTTACTGAAATTATTAATTAAGAGCTGGATAATGAAAAACTAGATTTTTTACTTTAGGGTAACAGATAAGATTGGATCTTGAGAGAATAATCATGGAAAATAAAATACATAAAATTAGTTAATAATTCTTATGTAAAACAAATGGAGTTTACCTCAAATAAGCAGTTAATATACACTCACCGGCCACTTTATTAGGTACACCATGCTAGTAACGGGTTGGACCCCCTTTTGCCTTCAGAACTGCCTCAATTCTTCGTGGCATAGATTCAACAAGGTGCTGGAAGCATTCCTCAGAGATCTTGGTCCATATTGACATGATGGCATCACACAGTTGCCGCAGATTTGTCGGCTGCACATCCATGATGTGAATCTCCCGTTCCACCACATCCCAAAGATGCTCTATTGGATTGAGATCTGGTGACTGTGGAGGCCATTTGAGTACAGTGAACTCATTGTCATGTTCAAGAAACCAGTCTGAGATGATTCCAGCTTTATGACATGGCGCATTATCCTGCTGAAAGTAGCCATCAGAAGTTGGGTACATTGTGGTCATAAAGGGATGGACATGGTCAGCAACAATACTCAGGTAGGCTGTGGCGTTGCAACGATGCTCAATTGGTACCAAGGGGCCCAAAGAGTGCCAAGAAAATATTCCCCACACCATGACACCACCACCACCAGCCTGAATCGTTGATACAAGGCAGGATGGAGCCATGCTTTCATGTTGTTGACGCCAAATTCTAACCCTACCATCCGAATGTCGCAGCAGAAATCGAGAATCATCAGACCAGGCACCGTTTTTCCAATCTTCTATTGTCCAATTTCGATGAGCTTGTGCAAATTGTAGCCTCAGTTTCCTGTTCTTAGCTGAAAGGAGTGGCACCCGGTGTGGTCTTCTGCTGCTGTAGCCCATCTGCCTCAAAGTTCGACGTACTGTGCATTCAGAGATGCTCTTCTGCCTACCTTGGTTGTAACGGGTGGTTATTTGAGTCACTGTTGCCTTTCTATCAGCTCGAACCAGTCTGGCCATTCTCCTCTGACCTCTGGCATCAACAAGGCATTTCCGCCCACAGAACTGCCGCTCACTGGATATTTTTTCTTTTTCGGACCATTCTCTGTAAACCCTAGAGATGGTTGTGCGTGAAAATCCCAGTAGATCAGCAGTTTCTGAAATACTCAGACCAGCCCTTCTGGCACCAACAACCATGCCACGTTCAAAGTCACTCAAATCACCTTTCTTCCCCATACTGATGCTCGGTTTGAACTGCAGGAGATTGTCTTGACCATAGCTGCGTCCGAATTGCCAAGTAGTAGTCGAAGTAGTAGTCGAAGTAGTATCTAGCATGTCCGAATTGGCCACCGGAGCGAGTAGCATGCTACTTCAGATACTACTTCAGATGCTAGACACGCCCACATTGTAGGTTGGTCTCGGTGCATCCTACGGGCATGCTACTGACCCAAAATGCACCGCGGGCTTCTTCTTCGTCCTCTTAAAAGTTGTAGAAGCGCATGTGATGCTAGCGCCACCAGCTGCTCTGCCTATTTAAAAGTGTCGCGAACGCCGGCTGGCCACAGCAGCGCGCACCATGTCGGAGCAGCAGCAGCAGGCGGGACAGTACAGATGTAAGTTTCATGTAATTTCACACACTGTCCTAAAAAATGTGCGGTTGTATCTCTTTGTCATGTCATGGTGTCATATTTGCCCAAGTAATCATTTTATGAGCAAGTGGCGACATCATGGAGGTAAAGCTCACTTATTCCATCATTAAACTGCACAGCTGCAGTACTACAGCCAGGCCCGCAGATGAGGGGCTTCAGTTACCACTGTCTGCACGGGCGCAGTACCTACTCTCTGCCTGCGGGGGTCGTCTTTCCCCACCGCTCGTCTAGTGTGTCCGAATTGGGCCAACGTTTTTAGTATGTAGGAGTAGGATCTAGCAGTAGCACGTAGCAGTAGCATGTAGTATCCGAGCGGGCAGTTCGGACGCAGCACATGTCTACATGCCTAAATGCACTAAGTTGCCGCCATGTGATTGGCTGATTAGAAATTAAGTGTTAACGAGCAGTTGGACAGGTGTACCTAATAAAGTGGCCGGTGAGTGTATCTTTAAATCAAACAGCACTGAAAGCAGCCAATGAATTTCAGTGTGACACTAACTGGATTTGACTAAAATATGCATTCACATTTTATTTCTTTAAATTCATCTTGCTGATCATACTTAAGAAACTATTTCAGATATTTTAAAAGATGAATTTATTTTATTTTATTTTTTTTATTAAAGTGAATTTCTGCACCACAGTAGGCTACCAGGCAGCAGCAGGTGCCGTACGCTGCTGCGGCCACAGGTGTCGCCTGGGCTGCCTGTGCAGCAGCAGCAGTAGCAGCAGCAGTGGCAGCAGCCAGATGAACCGCAGCAGGAGGATCCAGTCCACTCCACTCTCTCCATGTTGAAACGGAGCAACTTCTCCTTCAGCAGACTCCGACCGTCCGTCCGTCCGCCCCAGCCTGCGTGCTGCTGCCCACAGCCCCGCTGACTCCCCTCTCAGCTCCGCGCTACGATGCAGGAGTGGACAGGAAGCTCAGAAACAACTGCATGAACGACTCACAGGTCGACACAGAGTAAGTTTACATTTTTCTGCTGTCTTACTACACCACGCCAACACGACGAGAGGGATAAGTTGCTATTTTTAGCGAACGTTTCTGAATCTAATGTATGTTTAATATGCTAACTTAAGCTAACAGCTAACGATGGACGTTAAGTGGGAGAGCGAGCAGGCTTTGGTTTATTCAGACGGTATTTGTTTTTTTTTAAGCATTTTATGATCGCAACAGTTGGAGGAATTTGCTCAGTGTCGGCGTTAACATTATCTGTGTCCTTTTGGTGTGTCGTCTGGCAGGGTAGTGGGTAACGTTTCAGGCTAGCTTCCTAAAGTAAACCCACATCACCACGTTTGCAGACCGTACCCCATGCGGCGGCTGCGGCTCGGTTGTCACTGGTTTGCATGGCAACCATGGGGCTTATCGATGTGCAGGGTGGTGACAAGCAAAGGCAGGTAGGCTCCCGAGTCTGTGATCGATCCACATTCCTGCTATCGGGGAATCAGACTGAGTCAACGGATTATATTACCTTTTATTGCAGCGTATGTGGCAGAGCTGTTAAAAGAGGGACGGTTTATAGTACTTACTGTACAAGCAACCTCCATTACTCCAACCAACCATGATGCTCCCTCCTACCGGCATGTAGGGCACAATATATAGCACGCAGGATGTAACCTTTAAATATAGGCTAATGCAGTGCAGAATTATACAATACACATAATACAAAGGTACATGCTATATATATATTTATAGCATGTAGTCTGCTTTGCAGGCCACCGTCTGCATGCCTCGACGTCAGTGTTGTCATTTTAAAGCCATGGCTATAACCTTTGACATTTGTTCCCTGGCAGCAAATCATATCTGTCAACAATGGCTTATCTTCAGAGACCTCTTTCATTAATAATGTGGAGTATTTTTTTTGTAATAGATGAGACAGAATTCAGCTATTTTTAGTATTTTCCAATGGCACAAATTGTACTTGATACAAAGTTATAGCAGCCTGTGGTGGGAGCTGGTGCAAAAAAACAAACAAAAAAATAAAGTAGCTTATGATAAATGCAGACAAATTGGAATCAATACTTAACTAAGCTCAGTGGTTCTTAAGTCCAGTCCTCGAGGCCCACTGTCATGCATGTTTTGGATGTTTCCCTGCTCCAACACACCTGATTCAAACATCAGCTCGTTATTAAGCCATTACAGAGCTTGATAACGAGCTGATCATTTGAATCAGGTGTGTTGGAGCAGGGAAACATCCAAAACATGCAGGACAGTGGGCCTCGAGGACTGGACCTGAGAACCAGTCTTAGCTGACAAGCAAAACAACTTCCAATCCAATTCGATCCGATCCAGTCCGCTTTATTTATATAGCACATTTTAAAAAACATTCAAGTCTACCAAAGTGCTGCACAATAAAATTAAAAGAACAGACAGTGCTGAGAACATCAAGATGAAATGAATAAATGCAGGTAAAAAAAAACCATTTAAAATGAAATAAAATAAAAACACAAAAGCGTAAACGAAATAAAAGTGATAAAAGGACCGTAAAGGACATAAAAGGACAGAGATCACACAACTCTCACACTGAACTAAAAGCCAAGGAATAAAAAAGAGTTTTAAGATGTGATTTAAAGGTGGAAAGAGTGGGGAATGTGGCAATTCGTTCCATAATTTGGGAGCCACAGTCAAGAGAGCCCGGTCGCCACGGGCTTTTCAACGAGTTTTTGGTACCATGAGCACTTTGTGAATGCTCAAATCTGTTTACAAAACAGACCGTGTTATTATTACAATAAATTACAGACCCACCAGGAAGTATTTAGCTCCAAATGCAAAATTATTAAAGATTACCAACACTGACATTTGTGTTGCGACAAGTACAGTACGTCTCAGGCTGTACTTGTGATATTTGATCTTGATGACTAAATGTGAAGTTTGCACAGTGCCACTTCACCCCATCTATCTCTGTCTAATCCTAATGCAGACAAAGATAGAAGAGCTCATTATCTTTAATCTTTGCCACATTATGTCGAAATGGAGGAATAACATTGAAGCACATTCAGTGTCTAAAAGGGTTACTGGGATGTGTCGCTCAAAACTGTGGGGAAAAAAAAGTCAACAGAAGGCAAAATGAGCACAAGGGGAAATGATTACAGAGCTGTGAGTGAAAGTTATAAAAGTCTGTCACCTGTTCTCCTCTGTCTTTTTTGTCAAAGCTGTGTTAAGTACCACACTTTGTAGTTTCTGTAGTCCTGTGGTGCGTCTACACGTTCACTTGACTCCAGCTGTCACTTTGGATTGTACATGATCATAGAAGTCTTCCATTCTTTGTTAGGATTTGTCATCGGCTGGCATTGCACAAAAATTGATCTCATATTCAGTGACCACATAATGTGTGTCTGCGAGTGGTATCAACAGCTGGAATGGTAACCTATAGGCCCTAGAGGGTCAATCATAGTGCATGGCTGCTGGAAATAGGTCATGGGATCAATAACAACAGACTCTGCTTCTATTTCTGGTTTTCAACGTGTCTGTGTTTTTTTTTTTTAAAGTCCCCCCTGTAATGCTTTTCATTAGACTGAGCCTTAATCCTCTGAATCAGGACAATCATCATCAATTCAATATTTTCAGGAGTTTTCCAGCTTATTTTTTTAACATCGGCAGGAAGCACTCTGCTGATCTGTTAAACACCCTGAGTCTGCTCGTGCCATGTGACAGTCTACCTCAGACTAATCAGGTGGAGATATTTAATGGTGTTGGTTCTAAGCCTATCAACTGCAACTGTGGCTTTGCTCTGCTATGAATGACAAGTTAGTGAGAGTAGTTCGTAGAGGGTGGTGCCAGTGTGAAGAGCTGCTTGAGCTGATTCTGTGGGTGGCTAGTGAGTGTGTGTGTTTTTTTTTTTTTCTTTTAATCAGTGCTCTCTAGCAGGAAGATACAGCAACAGATGTCCCAACTTTCATGCTATGCTGCGAGCAGAGTTTTTAACTAAATCGTTTTTCTATTCTTTTCACCCCAAAAGTGATTTTCACCTTTTGTCACATTCATCAAACACTAAAGGAAGGGGCTGCCATTTAAGGTGCCAACTTTGTGGCGTTAGACAGTGATCTTCACCCCGTGGTGTTCACAGATCAGATTGTTTGGCTTCTGGCATTATGTAATAAGAGGCTGCTGGGCCACCTTCTTTTGCCAGTTAAATCATCAGTCGTCAAGCATATTTAGGAAACAGTGGGGGTTAAGAGCATGAAATGAATCTCAGACACTTTCTTTTACGAAAGCATTTACGTTAACTTTGCAACAAAAGCGGTGAGCAGCAGTGATGTGTGTGTGTGTGTGTGTGTAGCGGGGATTCTTACATGGAAAAAACAAAATGTTCTGAATGCACTCAGTCCTGGCTCTGTGTCAAAGATTCAGGTGTACGTGGTGGCATTATGGAAATTCCTCCTGTCATTACTTTTGCATATGATACAAAGCCTGTATCTGTTAATTACAGTTAATTCTAATGCAACCGCTATAAACAATAGAAGTTTCCCTCACATAGATTTGATAAGTGGCTCAGCACTGCACTAGCTCCCCTGAGGTGTAAATGCTTTCCCCGACATCTAGTGGGTAAATCTGGGTTAAAACTGCTCCACACTGAATCTGTATCTCTGCCCCCAGAGAGCAAACGCACTGTTAGCTGCCTTTTCTGTGCCAGGACTCCTTTTCCCTCCTATACTTTGGAGTTTTCTTTTGTTTTATGTTTCTTTATAGCTGTAAGATAGCCTTCATATCTAAAAACAAACAGAACCTTTCCCCCAGAGAATACGGCAGTGCTGACATTTTCAAGGTTAAGTTATGGCATTGCTAAATTGATAAAAACAGTGATACTTGAGTTCAAAGTGAAGCGTACCACATGTTCTTTGGTAAACTTGTTTTCATATAAGATGTTTTAGCTTAATCAACATCTAATTTTGTAGGTTTCAAACAAAACACAACTAACAATCCATATGTTTCTACATTACATTATAGGACTATGGGTGTATCTGTGTGTAAGATGCAAATCTTTTCTGGCTCAGTTCTTACTGCAGTCATGCTCCTTGTACTGTATGACACTCATATTACAACACCTCGTAATATAAACACACTCTCATCTGAGGAAGCAGCTTTCTCATTTTTCATTTCAGTAGTCACAGAAGATTCTTTTTCATACTTTTGAATCTCTTTATTATATGTCAGCTGCAGTATTTCACCTTTTTGTCAGTTTGTCACCATTTGTCATGATGTTTTATTCAGTTCTTTTCCTCTAACAGAAAAACAGTTCCTTGTGGATTTTTTTTGTTGTTGGGTGTTTCTCTAACAAAGTTCAGCACACGAGCGCACACTCTAATTTAGGCTTTGCATCTAACCTTCTTCTGACCCCCCGATGTTTGTTTCCATTCTGCTGGGTTGTTGGTGTATTTATAGAGTAAGTTTGACTCCACCGATCCACTGCTCTTCTTTTTACAGAAGCAGTGGCGGTCTAAGTGTTCTCATGGTATCCAGCGCCCCTGCAATCGATATGCACCTCTCACTCATCTCTGGTGTGATGTATAGAGCTGCTGCTGCGGTTAATAAATGAAACATTGGGCTGGAGCCCATGTTTGTACCTCTTGCTTCTGGCAAATGGTAATAAGGTTCATTTGCAAACCTGACACCACTGACAGAACTACTAAACCATACAATGTGTGTATGAATTTTACTGTGACACAAAAGTTTATATCATTAGAATTAAAGATGGCAATGTTAGTCCGATTGGCTGCACTTGTATACCTTTTTTTTAGATGCACACCCACACACGATGCACACGCATTCACAAGAAGTTCAGGAGTTTTCCAAAACAAACCAGCACCTGACAAGGTTCATCCACTAATTTGATTTGAACAAAATGAGGGAGAAACGTTTTAAAACGTTGAATGCTAGTTCAGCTTGTATTGCTCGGTATCCCAAACAATACACAATGGAAGCAATTTTTCAGCTGCGACCAACTGCATGCAGCTGGTCTGCACTGTCAAACTCCATAAATGTCTGTGACATTTTAGATTCATTTGACACTAAGTGCATGGTGCTATTGGTGTTTGAAGGGCAAGTGCTGTTTTGAAAAGTGCAGGTATGTCTTTATCTTCCATTACAGCAGCAGCGGGGAGCAGGAAAATAAAGTGCTTTCTTAATTATGGTATGTGAAAAGGGAAAAAATAACGCATGATCAATGTCAGAGCAATACACACAAATACTGAAAGCCTAAGTTCAAAAATAATGAGAGATTCTTAAAACTAAGCATTGATGCTACCATCCTCTCTGATTCTTTTTCAAATCACCTATATATCAAGTTAGAGATGGTGCTTGTGTAGAGTATGTCCGTCTACATTTGTTTTAAAGCTGTCTCTGAGTGGCAGGCCTCTCACAGAGACCCGGTTCAATCCCTGATATGATTGGCAATGTAAATGCCCCATGTCAAAAAGGCTGATAATCTGCAGTTTCAAGGGATGAGCTGGAGCGTCTGTGTTGAGTTCACAGCAGGGTTGTTGCAGATTGACATATATTTTCTATTTTTATCACGAAAGAGGTGTTTCGGAAATGCTCGATTACATCATCATGGGTTTATCATTGGCCTGTAAAAGCCATCTTTGCAGGGTCACCATGTTGCCCTGTGCAGTGTGTCAGATGGATTCAATTTTTGGCATCAGCTACCTGTCTTAGTGTCGGTACCTTCTTTTGGCTGGACAAGGAAGACCAGACCACATTGCTTTAATAAGGTTGTGTTGTGGGAGTTACTTTTCTTAATGAAGAAGTCAGGGGAGATGAAAAAGTCAACCGGCTCGTAGGAAAGTCAGGCCAGTGACAGGCTGTGTAATAGAGACCAGAAATTTAAGGAAATTGACACTAATAGTCACATTTAGAGCCGAGTATGCACTGTTACTTACAGATTCACGCTTTAGTGACTGCTCCACCATCCTACACTCAGACAGGCATTTAAATCAAGAGGATTTCCTTCGATAGGTCGAGTAAAGGTCCTTACACACCTGGGCCAACGTGAATATAGAACGCGAAATTATGAAATATTTGGAGGAGAATTTCAACGCGACCGACTATATACGTCAAGCCAGATGTGATTTTTGCGACTTTCTGGGGGAAAAAGATGAATCCCGGGGAAGACTTTTCCTGGGGGAAGTCACGCCTCCTTCGCCTCTAATTGGCTAGAAAAGCTGGAAACGTCATTACATCCTCAAGCCAAATGGTCAGCACTTATAGCCAATCAGAGGCGATAAGATCAGCACATGAAACTATGGTAACAACCGCTATGACTCTCCACAAGTTGTCCTTCAGGTCGTTATCTTTGTGATGTTTGTGTCTTTTATCAAACAGCACTCTGTTCTCAGACACGTAAACAATCAGCCGGTCGGCCATGTTGGATATACCGGTGAATCAGCCGTCGCAACAACACGCAATCTGATTGGTCAGAAGTGGACACACAGAGTATGCGAAACTTTAGAAAAATCAACCGTGATCTGAAAAAATAAATGCCGCAATATTGCAGGATGGGAAAACGTTGCTGATGTGAATGCTTGTATTGACAAAATATGGGTTCGAAAAAAAATATTGATGTCCGAAATAATTGCACGACAAAAATGGTCCCAGTGTGGAAGGACCTTAAACCCAAATGTTCCAGTAATTTCATTTATGCGTAGAAATCCCCCAGAAAACAGTTAAAATTGTGCACAATTAATGAACACAGCCAATCATGGGATTGCAGTCTATGTGTAGTAAAAAAAAAATGTCACATTGATTTGCCACGTGTGGCCAACTTTACTAAAGCTAGTACCACATGCCACTTTGTAATTGTAGTGACTTGTAGGGGTTACATTGTATGATCATGTAGTTTAGTGAATCATCTCATCTCTAGTGTGTTGCTATACCAAATTGTTTGATATTGTGATTGGGTCAATGACAGCCTTCTCTGATCTGGATTAAAGATAAGCTTTGGTAGAAAGTTGGTTTTTGTTCTTGTTTGTGAGCCACACAAACCATACCGCATGTCCTGTATTAGAGAGGTTTCTCAACATTGACATCTTGCAGACTGAAACTTTTGACCAGGTGCTTCAGGTCTGCCAAATTTATTGAACAACCTGGAGATCATCACAGTCTTATTTAAATAACCCACCAGCCAAAGCTAGAATTCACTTATGAAGATAAATTGCCATTTGCACATGCTCTTGTTAATTATGCAGAACGGAAAGAGTCGTGACTGTGGACCTTTTTGCTTCTCTATCTTCATTAAAACCTTGAACTTTTTATTTGATGTAAAGTTCATTGTCATTTTTTAAGAGTGCAGCTATTAGTTCTAAACCGAGGATTGTGAAAAAGACTTAACTTTTGATACTTTATGTTCGATACATTTGGATGATCCAGCAGATCAGTTTCTTGCCAGTTTGCTCAACTAACCCTCATACACGGACAACAGGCCCTGCGGCGTGGAGAAGGGGGGTTCTAATGAGAGTGAGAAACAGTTAATCTATAAGGCGGATGAGCTGACTTAACATTAATAACCCTGAGTTAAGTCTTTTTCGGCTCTTAGTCTAAGCAGAGGGCTCATTGTGGTGGATTCAGATTTTTTTTTCTCTATGCAGAGAAATTGGTAAAGGTTATGGTCTGTTTGTCTTTGTGCAATGACTTAACTAGATAAACAATCCCTGTGCTCCCTGAGGGTCCTTGTAAATATTAGCCTCCATTATCCACTTGAATCAAAATCAGGAGGAGATGAAGATAAGTCTGGTGGTAATCATTTGATCCAAAACACTTGCTTCCTAAACAGACACTGTCTTCAAATTTGGCTCTGACCGTATCTTCACAGAGGAGCCATGTGTGACCTACTGTTACCTTCGCTGCAGGTCACACTATGCTGAGGGTGCACCAGTGAGTGGAGAGGAAAGTGGGTGGAGGGAAATAAGATGTGACTGTCAAATAAGCAAAGGGTTGAGCATGGTTTTGATCTGAAACCAAGTGTCATCAGGGACATTGCCAATGATTTCAAAAAGAGGACAAATACCACAGTGACCATTCTCCTGAGTTTATTTATTTTTGAGAAGTTCATTCATTTAATTGAAGTATTTGATAATTTAGGAAGGGAAAATTCCTTACTTTGAAATGGTATTGACACCGGCCGTGTGAAGGCTGATGCAGATGTGATGCCACCTGTCTCAAATTACCTTTCAACTATGGCTGGGCGATTTTTTTTCATATCAGTCGATATCGATATATATCATGATATGAAAAATGAAATTTAAGTAGGCTACTGCATCTGTGAGGTCTTTGTGTCTCTTCGACGTTTTGTTGTAAGGCATTGCACGAGAGAAAGTGGACTGAATGGTCGTCTTTTTCGGCTGCACAGGCGCCATGGGCTCCTTGCTCCGCTTGGGATTTGTAAACTTTTGTATTGAGCATGCTCTGCCGTGCGGCGCTGCTTCAGGTGGTGAAAAAGATTTTAAGTTTTCCCCGACTTTGTGAGAACATGTACTCGACATAATTTGCAGTGCACATTACTCCGCTTCATGTCTGACCTCAAAAAACCAAAATACCTCCACACCACCGATGTTTTTGTGCCAGTGTTGTTGACAATGTCATCATCTGTTGAGCCTTCATGTGCATTTCTGTCAGGGGTAGCACTCATTTTCCTTTTTTCTCACTGACAGTGCTGTTGGCTCCACGTGTTAAAGTCCTATGGTTGCATGTAGCTGAAGCCTGCTGCTACGCAGTTGTTTGCTGCTTGGTTCTAATTCAGCACATGATTGGTTTAGTGTGAAGCGGACCCAGAGCAACCCCCCTTTTCATTGGCTATTTGTATAATCTACCAAAACATGGCAGAATGCCGACTTTCGAAAAGCATATTGACCATGTTTTATATTGACATTGAGAGAAATTAATTTTCAATATATATCGTTATTGTTTTATCGCCCAGCCCTACATTCAACCAACTCATTAACCAGTCTAGCTCTAGTACTGAGGATAAAGCTGTGTATGCTTTAGTGCTAACTTCTTTTGAATGACAAGTTGTTTCCACAACTATCTGTCAGCCAGGGTGACACAATGTGTATCCACCCTTTTGTCCAAATAGGTGAGGTGAAATGATGATTTAGTAACCGTTAGTAGAGTAAATACACATGTAAGGTACGTAACTGTCATTATAACATACTATGAACAAGATAGTTGTTGGTTTGCAAGAGCTTTGTGCATAACAATGATGTATAAGACCTGATGAGTTTTTTAGAAATTGATCAAACCAAGTCTCAGAGTACCTTAGTCACAATGTTGTTTTTTCTTACCAGTCTTACCCCCCATTCTTGTCCATTACAGTTTCTCTTGTGGAGCTCCTGTGTCTAGCCTCTAGTTATTATTCACACCCCTCCTATTGTTTTCCTTAATTGAGCCAGAGACAAAACTATAAATCTGTGGGCTGGACAGGATCTGGCCCAGACCCCTCCTATGAGTCAGTCTTGGCTCTCCACTGGGAAACTTGGCATGCTCAGTATTCTTATGTAAATGTCACTTAGCTGTATGCTTGCAAGGAAGCATGCAGAGTGCCGGTTATACAATATTCATGGGGTAGTTTTTCATCTATGCATAAGCATATACTTTAAGTGCAGGGCAACCAGGGAAAATAACTTAGTCACTTTAAGTTAAGAGAAGAAATAGCAAGTGTAGGACTTAGGCAGAGCTACAAGTCCCCCTATGTAGGTAATAGTGTTGTATTTTCAATGGCTCATTGACACATCCTCATAAATCATTTCAGAGTGATACAGAAAGATCACAAATCCAACACTTTGGAGGGTTTTCTGTGTTGTATTATTGTGGGCATGTTTAATGCATTTGGAGAGAGCATATAGGAGGTAGAAAAGAGTATAGAATAAGTCATTAAATGAATCCACTTTCATGTTCTTGCAGCATCACTTAAAGGCGGCATTGAGTTCATTTTGTGGCACTCTGAATCAGTCAGGAGAAGAGATACTTTAACGTCTCTGGTCTGGATGAGAAAATGTAGGACAGCTTAGAGAAAGAAGAGCATTTCTGGGTCCCTTCCATCGGAACCGTGCCATATTCTGGGTCACAGCATCCTGCTGCATGTGCCTCTTGTTGAACAAGAACACTTTGTACTTTTGATCATTCTGGGCTTTATGTTCTGCATGTCAAACAAAGTTTACATTTGTTTTGGACTAAATTAATCCATGTATTGAAATTAGCAGTGTTTGGTTGTTTTGAGGACACGTTAATGCTCTTGTATGACCCTAAAGTACCCTTCCTTCCACTCCACGTCTTTCTGTTTTTCCCTTACTTGCTGTCTATGTTTGGCTCACATCTCCTTTGCCCTGCCTCCACCCTTTGTCTTCATCCCTGAAGCGCTGTCAGCTAAGGGATTTTCTCTCAGTTCACTTCTTATTTGGGTTACTTGTGATGTGGCTTTCTCTTTTGCTAAGTGGTTTCTCAGCCTAACCCTTTTTTATACACATGATATTTTGTTTTCAGGCTATTTACTACTTTGTCTGTAATATGTACAATGTAGATTTCTTTTTAGCTTAATTCATTGCTTAAAACCTTGTAATAAAGTCAAGTTTTGACGATGCTTAATTTTCTGGCTGGTACATTCTACCACCTGTTAAATGGCAAGTAGAGATGGGCGATAAATTACCTTTCAGGATATATTGTCAGAAAAATCCTCCTTGATAAATATATGATAAATCCTCCATGATAAAGTCTCTGTTCTCGTTCACTCGCGAGACCATTTTTTAAGGCACTCAGAAGAAAGAAATCATTAAGGGAATCGTTCAGATGAAATGTAGTCGATGTCGATGGATTGAACCATTTGGAACCGGTTCTCAACAAGAACCGGTTCTCGATTCCCATCCCTAGATGAGGTAAGCCATAATCCACACAAAGCAGAGTAACAAACAAACATGGCTGAAAGGTAATGAAGAAGACGGTTCTGAGCAGCTAGTCATTGAACGAGGCTCCACATGAGGAATTTCCCTCAAGATTGGGGATTAGATGAGTGCAATCAGGTTTGCCTGACATCGATCAGTGGATCTGCTGCTGCTGTTCGCTCTGTGCAATGAGAGTTTTCAACAGATGTGGAAAATGTTTTCACATTTGAGACTTGTTTGATCTCATTAGTTTTCTCTATAACCTACCACTCAAACTTGTGGTTAAGTATCTTATTTGACGACTCTAACTGGTGTTCTCAAGACAAAATAAGTCAAAAATATTGATTGGAATTATAATATTTTCTATTAGGACTTTTATTGTTATCGCCAGAAATGCAAATCTTATCGTGATTTTTTAGCCCATATCATCCATCCCTAATATGAACCCTGGTAAAACATATCATAGAAATGTCAGTGCGAGAAATTTCTATGCAGAAGTCTTGAATCAGGCCTATTTTATGGGGAAGTTTATTGAATAGTCTCCCAGTTTGATAAAGCTGCTCTGGGTTTTAGGGTTGCCGTTATCACACATCCCAGCTGTTGGATGATTCACTGTTCTTTGCACTGGCAGGATTAAGAGGCATTTCAAGGAAAAGCCAAAGTCAGATCACAATACGGTGTTGAAAACAGCAGTTTAGCAGTAAACAATACTGCACACACAGTATTGTGTATGAAGTACAACAAAATACTGACTTTACTTTAAAACAAAATGCAAAGTTATCCTGTAAATTAGCCAGAGTATTGTTCCCTGAAATTGGATTGCTCTAGTTCTCCTTAATTCACATCCTAGTGAGATATTTGTCTTGTGTAAGGGTGGTAGTCGTACGATGGTGTGTGTGTTTGAGAATTGTTTGCAGTAATTGCTGCTGTGTTACTATTGACAGAGTAAACACACACACTGAATGGAATCCTGAATCCTGGATCCTGTGAGTATTGAGTGCTGTCAGTCACACTGTTCCTATCAATAATATTTTTTTTCATCAGCTGGGTCTGTGATTGACTGCTCGATAAGTTCATTTTCTGTTGCCCCAGATCTTGTTTGCTGGACTGTGGCTGTAATAGGCCAACAGGGATGTGTGTGTGTGTGTGTGTGTGTGTGTGTGTGTGCAGGTGGCACACAGGCTGCATTCTGCCCAGAGAGACGTTGGCGGCTCCCTAAAGACTTGGACCTGGTGGGTTAGGGCCCCACCCTCCATAGCGCAAACATAGTGGCGTGAGGAGCATGGGAAGGAGAGACACGAGGCAGTTTGTCTGTCTGTGCCGTCAGAGTAAAAGTGAAACCTTACTCTAACTTTTGTGTCCCTGCAGGTGAGACAGGCTGCTCCCACAAAGGCCTCTGGATGCGGTGTCTCCTGGGGCTCAGGTGAATGGTAAGCTGAGTATTATCCTCTTGCACTCTCTGTAACGCCTTAATAATGCATGCTTAGATAAATTGAATGGCGATCTGTTGAAGCCGCAATTAATCAAATGGTTTGCATGTGGCATTCGGCTGTTGCAGTCCAAGAACAAGGTTTATTTTTGAAGCAGTTCTCTCTCAGGCAGCAGTCTACTTTTCAAGTTTGACACAAATCAGAGCTCATTTTTACCCTGCCTTGCCAGAGGCCCTCATTTTTTTTTTTAGCCGCACAGAGAATAAGGACATGTTTTATAAGGTGTGAAATAGATTGTACATTCTGTTTATGCAGAGTTTTATTTTGTTTGATGTGAAACTGAGATCAGAAGCTCACAGGGTGTGTCAGATCCATTTGGGTTAGGAGGTAGTAAATGTTTGGGGTAGGACAAGGACAGTTGGCTACAGAATTATACTGCAGGGAGATACAAAGCCTTCGAACAGGCAGTTTGCCTGGAGGACTTGTTCATCTTTCATAGAGTTGCACTAAAATTGTAATGACGAGTTACTGTTTCTTTTTTTAGCCTCCTATACTTAGTGCTCTGTGTATTTTAGTCTCTCCTGGTTGAGTGTGTGAGTATCTTCATGTGGGTTGGTTGAATAAACAGTACTGGAGACAGTCAGCTGTTGTACACATCTGTTCATGGAAATCATTACTCCATTCACCGAAGCCCTTTTACTGTAAAAAGGATCTCTGTGGTGGAATCGAATTGGCTGTAGTGACACAGATACTTGACTATCTCTACTTAAGTTTTCTGATAATGTGTTGCGGTTCCATCAGTGAGAAATTGCTTTGCTAGTTTGTACAGCCTTCAGATGGTGGCAGACTGTTTGTAGTGGGGGAAAGAAAAAAGAGAAAAAAAACACCACTTGCCCGCTCTCATATCAGTCAGGAAGCTTTTGGACTCAGCCTTGCCCAAGCTGTTTATCTTGGCATGAGCCTGTAGCACAGAGACGTATGAGATTTAACAGTAAATTACACATTAACCAGGGGAAAATGTCTGAACCTGCTTACTGCAGCTCGAACACAGACCATTCTTTATATTTTTACATCTGCCTAAAAACCTCACAAACATTCTGTCTTTCATTATCATGGATATATAGAGATGGACACCTGAAGAGGTGTGTTCCTAACTGACTTGTTACTAAGTTCCAATATCTGTTCTGCTCTTTGTTATTAGACATAATGTTGTGCCCACTATGTAATATCCATCATACTCTTTTAGTTTGAGTCACACAGTAAAAGCTGTTGAGCAGAATGTGCAGAAGTGGTTCTATTCCTAACGTGTCTTTTTTTGAATCATCATTTCAGTTTTTTTAAACTGCAGTGGTTGTGCTAATAATAGACACATAAATACCTGTAAAAGTCATATTTATTTTTCCCCCTAATGTCTCTCATCTTTATGGACTTATTTCTGTTTCTTTGTACCTTGAGGTTGTCCGAGTTGAGTCATTTTGTGGTGGGTAGCTTTTGAGGCGTTAACTTGTTTTTACAGTCTGATCTCTCTTGTTCACTCTCTTGGTAAATAGCTGACCAAAAAAATTCCGTACATGGTTGCTGGTTGATTGCATTTTTTTTTTCCCTTTCCGTACTTCAATTCTTATCAGTTGTGCAACAAATCCTTATAAATAAGGAACTTAAAGCATTGCGTAAAAGGACATGGATGGGTCAAACCCTAAATTATTCAAGACCTATATATTTTATCCAATCCCAGGCTGTAGACAAGTCATTGTCGAAGGCGTGACCTTTTTAAAATGAGTCTAAAGAAAAGGTTAGTCACAAATTGGTTGCCGGGCAGAATAAATTAAGCTTATGTTTAGTCGTATTGCACCTATTGTATTGTGGAGAAAATGGGGTTTCTAGCTGCCTCTTTTGATCAACAAAGTGTGGATCAACTGTACAAATAACGGTAGTGCTTGTGAGGTTAGTGTTTGTTGATTGTGTTCCCTTTCTTTGATCTGAGACTCTTCCTGTTGTCTAACCAATCTAGACCCTTCATTCCTCTCCAGAATTTTTTCTTTATATATAGAATTTCATTTTGAACACGAACAACAATCAAACATGGTACAAACTAAAGACATAAGCACAAATGAATGACAGTTAAAGTATAAATTACCATAATAGATTTCCATTTTGCAAAGGTGCCAAAATAACGGAGGCAATGAATAAGTTGTGATGCTGTATGCATGAGTAGATTTGAGGGGATGAGCGGTGAAATAAAAGACAAAGTACCGTATATGATTATGAAGAATAGAAATGCTGTATGTGGTGGTTATGTTTAAGTATACTGAGTTAATATACAAGGCCCCTTTAGTTTTTCTAATAGTGCACTCATATCTGGCAGCGGCTTAATGAAGAAGAAGAGTGTAAGAGAAACAGAAAATTTTGTAAGCGAAAGTCAACTGGATAGGTGACTGTGGCTTCATCATTTTACAACACACTTCACAAATTTAGAGTTGTTGTTATTTTTCTAGAGGAAGAAGTTGATTTTGAAATCATCCAAAGGTTCTCATTTTTTTGATAAATGCTGAGCAGGAATTTCCTCTGAAATTCTCGACAGGAGTGAAAGTGGATCCCAGTGTCTGTTCAGTCATCTGATCCATAGACAAGTTCAAGCCTCATTACATTAATGTGGCTCTTAGGCTGGCTTGTGACGAGACTATCAAGTGACTGTTTGGACAAGAGGCAGAACTTGTATTCTTAGCAGGCTGACCTAGTTACCTCTCATTCATTGTTGAACAAATCATGAGCAGAAGCCTTTCATCTCAGGAACTGGAACAGCCAGAAGTCCAGTTCTCATTGGTCTGCTAATAGTTTGTCGTTCAGGTGTGTATTTCACACATATGTGGAGGTTTGGATGAGGTGATTAATGGTGAGAAGCTGGTTGATGTCTCTTTTTAAGCTGTATGACACTACTGCTAAAGGCTCCAATGCCTCTAATGCAGCGCTTCCACCAAACCATTTTCACAGTCCCAGACTAAAAACTGAAAGTCTTCAGTAAATCTTGGATTTTTACTGGAGTCACAGCAGAGTCACGGCGCGCTCCCATCATCTCGATCGTTAAGTTTAAGGTGGTAATCTGCGCTTGTTTATATCAGTCTTTTCCTAGTCTTGGATTGATGCGATTGCAATTCGCCGTGACTTAACACAACCAACAACCAATCGATGAGCTCTAACAAAAGCAGAAAAGGAAACCTGACCAGTCAAAACAAGAAGAAAAATAATGTATGAAGAATAACTGGTGATAAAAAAGGAGCAGATAGTGGAGCTGTGAGCAGATCAGACTTGCCTGTTCAACATCAACTGCAGGGTTTCCCCTACATGTGATGACGCACCGCAACGCCTCAACAATGAAGTCTTTTACGCACTACCTGGGACTCAGTATGAATCAGTGTGGTGCACTCGGGCTGCACCATGGGGCATGCATGCCGAGTATTAGCATTAGCTAGTTCCAAGTTGTCATGTGCGAACACACAGCTGATCAATGAGCCGCCCCCCAAAATCACACACCACCACAGATAGATTCCCCCCCCAGTGGGAAACATTGAACTGTCAAAAAATGCTACAAGAATCTAGTTGTAGTCTTGTAAATAGTGACCCTGCAAGATTCACAATGTTTGTACATTTTCAGTCAGAGACTAGGCTGAGACTAAAATCTCTAAGCACTTGTCTTTAGACGTGAGCAGGTGTGAGCTGATAGTTTCCTAGAAATCTTTCCAGGAATCTTCTCAAAGTCCTCTGGTGGATAGCTGGCCTAAGATGGGTTCTGAGTTTAATTCTTTATAAACTGACAGTGCACTGCAAGTATAAGCATCAGCTGCGGCCAGCAATAAACACTGTGAGCTAAATCTGCCTGTGTAGGTGTGCGATTGCTGTGAGTCATTTTGTGAGTGCAGTCTCTGCTTCTTTTACCCTCAATCCTCTGCTTTTCCTCCAGTTTGTTCATTCATAAAGTTCTGTAATTCCGGCAGAGACCAAAATGTTCCCTGAATTCTTACACTGAGGCTTTGCACCAAATTTTAGCTGGCTAAGCACTCTTATATTTATAGCCACATCATTTCCTATTCAGTTTTTTAAATATCCAGTCAGTGTTTTGTTAGATTGCCAGTTCTGGAGCAAATGGAAGGAAGGAGCAGGGGTTTCTGCTGCCAAACAGAGATGTGTAGAATCCATGACAAAAAGGAAAAGGTCCCTAAAAAGACTGATTAAATGTCAGATATAATCCATAATTAATTCAGTTTTAGCAGCTGCTCATTGTTTAAATTGTACATTACAGTCTGAAAGGCAGTCTGTTATGGGCTGCCACTCTCTACCTCCCACGTAACTGCTCCCCGTTTAAACATCATTAATTTAAGTCAACTAATCGACACCCTGTCACTCACCATTCTTAACTTAATGACCCGCCTTCTGTCCAGTCAGGATTGGCTGTACCAGGTCTCTGCTGGCAGACATCTTCTTCTCAGCCTCTCACACCTCTTCTCTTTCCAGCAGACAGACCAGAGATCCCCAGAGAGACCACACTTTGCCCTGCCCTTCCCCTTCACTGCCTTAATCAGACACAGGCTCATTATCTGCTCCTTTTTCTGCGTCTGCTTCTTTGTCCAAGCACCCTCACCAGCTTATTATTTCCTCTTCTGCCACGGAGGTTTTCAGCTCTATAAAAAGGCCTTGTCATAATGTAATAAGGTCCTGAAATTGCTGCAGGAACTTAAAGTAGAGCAAAAGAAAGAAAGCAATTTGCATACCCCTTATATATAATCCAAGGTGCAGTTTGAGAAGTGAAATTGGCTTTAACATTTCTCTCCGTTTCTTTTTTGTTTTGGAATTTTAAATAAGGGAGTTGCCTTTTAGAGCTGACTGCATTACAAATATGGATCACAGGGCGTTGTCCTTGGCTAGTTATGCTTCTTTAAGTGATCAGTTTTCATTGCTTGTCTCCAGCATTGTCATGATACCTAAGTAACTAATCAAGTACCTAAGGATTTAGTGTTGCTATTCCTGGCTTAACTAAACTAGGTATGACAAACAATGGTATGGTATAGTGGTGGGAGATATGGCTTCAAATTATATTATGATAAATCATTGAATTTTGTTTTCTTTCATGTTTTTAGACCAGACATTTCTAAACAACACCAATGTGTAATGGTGTATATATTGTGATAAAAAAGCTTGTTGTATTGAAGGAATCGTTTGAGTTATAATGATAAATATTTCAACTCCTTCATGAAATACTGAAATGCCACTCACAAGCAGAAAAAAGGTTGGAGGCTGGTTAGTGCCTTTATTTCAGTTACGTTCTGTTTGATTTAGCTGCAGCTCAACCCCAACTGAGAAGCAAGACAGACATTGTAAGCTGTTGGAAATTATGTAATGTCGCACACTCATATGTGCCCCCCCCCCTCCAAAAAGGAACAAGCCTGCGATGCAATAATAACAAAGAATGTGTCAACTATCTTCAAATGAGCTAACTTTTACCTAAACTTTTTAGCAGTGTTTTCAATAACACTGTTGGGAGCTACGATATTTACAGTCGCTCGCTTTTTTGTTGATCATAAGACAAGCAAGTCCTCAGTTAAAACACACCGTCATGCAGGTAGAACAGTTATGATGGACATTTGAGTCCCTGCTGGGCTGTGCTCAAGTCAAACCTCGTGGAACCCTTTTTAGCTCACAGCAGCTGTGTTGATATCACACTTTTTGCTGGTTTTACTGTGAATGGCTTGATGTTGCACAGCCCTTGTATGGCGTATTAATTTTTTACCGGCATATGACAAAGCAAGAAAAAAAAATAAATACATCTAACAAAATTTGAAAGAAACAGCATTTTATTTTTTCTGGTTGAGACTTATGCTGTGTGAGTCACTTCTGTATAACTATTTACTGCAAGTAAGAAATATTGTTATGTCAGTTTGACTTCAATAAGAAGTATTGTATGAAAAACAGTTTGGTTTGACCACTGGTTGTCATTTTTAAAGACCAAGCTTACTTAATTTCTCTTTTAGTTACTTCACTAAAAAAAAAGCATTTCTTCAATAATGGATTGATCAATCGATTGATCACGAGGAATTAAAAAAAAACTGTAATTGATAGATGTGGTTTTGTTACGCTTGATCACTAAAAAAAAAAGAACTGAAATTCCCAAGTATCTTTTAATTCCCCATCCACATCTTTGGTGACTTGCAAAGTTAAAAAGTCTTCCAGGTTTACTAGAAGTCTCTTCCGCTGGGATTCAGTGTCTGATTTTCAGGCAGCAACTTCTATTACAGAGGTTTCAGTTTTAGGTTTCACTCCTTGGACACTGTGATGATCTCCAGTGGGTTCACTCTGGCCCTGTGCTTTAAGTCTGTTCTTGATTTTCCAACAGCAAGAACACAGTCAAAACCAAAGCAGGGGTAACTGTCAGTGCAAACCAATCTCACACCTGCAGTCTCTAAACAGAAGTGTTGATTACCTCTGGATATTTAAATACTTTGAGAGCGTCCTCTTCTGTTTACATGGGCAATAAGCACATATGATTATGCACTTGTGTTCAAACAAAAAGGCAATGCTCAGCACCGCTGCATTCATCAGCTTAGCCTAACTTGGCCTGCCTAAGGCTGGTTCTCACACTCAGCCTCTTCTGGCCTTGATCCAACCATATAGACGGCCAGCTGGCTCTGTCTGTCTACCAGGTCAAACATGGCCCCAGTGTGTAGAGCCACTCTGGAGGTTTAAGACTGAAAGTTTGCATTTGAGATGGAAACTAAGACAGTGGTCTCTTGGTGTGACAGCATGGCTTGACCTTGTTTTCCAGAGTATAGGCACGTTCACATGGTACAAATAACATCCACTTTCAAATGAGCAGAGAGGGAGGTGCTATGTTTTTAGATTGTAAGGTTTTGGGTTTTTTTTGCACACTGCAGTTTCTCTTTAAGATTTCAGGCTCTATATATAGTTTTGTATCTAGTGTTGTCAGATGGTCCATTAAATGTCATGTCCAGTTTCAAGATGCTGATTGTCTTGAAGGGATATTCCGGCGTAAGTTTAAGCCATGGTCAAACACACCATGACACTTGTTAGACATCCCCTGGAGAGATGAATATTGCAGACTGCTTGCTTCTCCAGTTATATCAACTTCAGCAACAACCGCATGATAGCAATACACAGCGGTTTATGTCTCCATGCGCAAACCTCAACCAAAAAGCCACTCTATAGCCACAAATAATGCTCAGAGCAGCACCTAACTTTGTCAACAGTACATATAGGGTCCCAGCCACAGTACTAGCCACCAAGCATCTTTTTAGCTTTGCCTGGTTTCTTTGGCAAAGAGACTAAACACAACTCACCCTCTCTCTTCCAGCAGCCGCTTGTTTGTTGGGAGGCCCTGACGAGTCGATCACCAAGTGCAGCGGAAATTTCACAGCTCAAGGAAGAACATTTATGATTATTACTATATGGAAATGCAATCAGAGTACTCGTGTATCTTGTATGTGCACTGCAGACACGGAAGTCCTTCTGCCTTATCGTCTTGGTCTGATAGCATCTAACTCAGTGTTGTGGTGTGTTTGACCATGGCTTAAACTTACGCAAGAATACCCCTTTAAGAAGAGATGTGGTTCAGGAAGTTGCAAAAGTAGAGGACAGAGAGGATGTTTCTTTTGGTACACAGAGTTTGTTGTGTGTTTGAACTTGTATTTTCACACAACTATGTAACCATGTCCTGAGTTTTCAGTTTTGTTTTATCTTTGCACCCCTACTTTAACCCTTGGCCTTAACCTGAGTCTTGACTTGTTCTTTTGCACAGGGGGAAGTGAAGGGGGGGAAGCTGGGTAGCACGGGGTGTAGCCGAGGTTTGCGTTATGGATCAGCACATGCCCCACACAACAAAAGGGGAGTGGGGGTCCTATTTTAAGTAAGGTCAAAATGTGAAGTCTCGCTGGAAGGAATTTTCTTCATGTGAGCTCCTTGATATATACCTACACCCTCCACAAGTCTTTGAATAGAAGAACTATACCACACATCCTCCCACAGTGGCACAAAATTAGCCTCCTGTGTCTGCCTTTTTAAACTGTTACAGTAGACCTAGTTCTGCTGTCTTCTCTTATACAATAGTAAGTAGTCTTGTTTTCTTTTTCAGTGCAGATAAACAAATATAATGAATGCACCTTATTTTTGCTTACTGCTCCTCTCATTTCTCGGTCAGGGCTGCAGTTGCAATGGCTTGTTAGACATGTGCAACATCAATTATATATTTCTTTGCTTAAGCTTGGTGGAAACATAGGCTCTGAATGATCAAGAGCTTGTGTTATTAAGATAGAATTTAATCGATTTAGATGGAAAAATGCAAATTATACTGAAGTGGCTTGTCATTTCCTCTGATTTCAGAATTCCTTTTTGTTATCATGCCTGCACTGCACATCTAGGATTTGAAGTTGTTTTTATACGTCTGGAAAGAACATATTCATGTTTCCTCCATAGGAGTAATAGGTCAAATAATACTTGTGGGTGTAATCTATCTGTGATCTATTCTTCAGCATCATTAGGGACAGATGTCTGTGCATCTTGCTTGTGTTTGCTTGGCCTCACCCTCTCTATTTAAGCATTTAAAAAAAACAAGAAGCCTCCCTTGTACACGCTGTCACAGTGTTCCTTGTTGATGTACTTACTGTAAATGGCAGCAGCCTATTGGTGTATATCTAGGTCATATGGCCATCCATTAGTCTTATCGTCACTGGAGACGGGGTTAACAGGGTTGGGGGTGCTGAAGGCAGCACAGATGGAAGGATGCAAAGAGTGTCTGGACTTAATCTGCGCCATCATATTAGCAACAGCTGGCTTTGTGCTGGCTGTAACACTCTCACACTTAGGTCGAGCACATCCTGCTGTAAGCACATATGGAAGACAAACATTTACAAAAACAGCTGGACAAAGATGAAGGTTTCTTTTGAGAGATAATTGAGATCTGAGCAGGGGTTACTGTCACAGGAACAAAAGGGCATACCATTAGATTACCTCTTTAATTTTCATTTTTGTCTGGCCAGCTCAGCTGTCATAAATCAAGTTGAAAAGTGTGTTTTCTTGTTTTGGTTTGGTATATTTATTTTGTTAGAAAAATGCAAAGTCCAAAGAAAAACTGTGTCACTGCGTCGTCTGTCGCCTCAGCACTTCAAAATTCCTCAAACTCATGATGTGAAATCCCAAACAGCTGGAAAATGTAGAAAAGTGCTTTAGTCAGGGCAGAACTTGGTGAATTATTAATATGCATAATATTATCTCATATAGCTTCTGGCTTCAGCAGTAACAAATGACAGTGTGCTAGCCGAGGATGTGTTACACACCCTTCTGAACTGTTTTGTATCATAGAGCTTCATTATATATCTACATTGTTGCAAGGCCAGAGGCAAGCAATGTCTAACATTAAATGGGTCGACATCACGTCATGCTTTCGTCTAAGGAGAAACTGTCGAGCTTCGTCAAACTCTCAACACTTCTTTTATTTGCTGATGTTTACAAGCTAGTGGCAACAGTCGTAGCTCCAAGTAAAATGGTTTGGTCTGTTCAGAGCTGACCTTTTGCCTTTACAGACTGAGGGCTACTTTGCTGTGTGTGTGTGTGTGTGTGTGTGTGTGTGTGTGTGTGTGTGTGTGTGTGTGCGCGTGTGTGTGTGCGCGTGTGTGTGTGTGTGTGTGTTTGTGTGTGTGCATGCATAGCTGGAAGTAGTTGGGGGGAAAATGACAGCAGGGACAGAGGGTGAAGGGACTGCACGGGTGCTAAAACAGGGAACTTAAACTCCATTTGACATTTTGTGCCGCAAATAGCAGAAGTGTTGACAGACCGGGTGAAGCTGTGTAATTTCAGATTAGTGGACATTGTTTGGATCTAAAAAGAGCGTTCTTTAAAGTCTGAACTTAACTGAGGAAGGAGACACTATGTCACCACCGATAAAAACCAAATTCCACTTCACACAGAGACTCAGTCGGGATACACAGTTGGATAAGTCCCAGTGGTTAATCTCTTTGGTTCAAGATAATCAGCTTCAATCAATCAATCAATCAATCACTCACTCAATCAATCAATCAATCAACTTTATTTCTATTGCACATTTAAAAGAACCACAGGGGTAGCCAAAGTGCTGTACATTGCGACATAAAAACAAATAAAACTAGAAAAGCACTCGGAGAGCACAGACTTCCGCCAAGCAGCTCATGTTCCCCCGTATATTGTGATTCACACCAAAACTTTTACTGTTACGTGTCTTTTATTAACTTTTATTTGTGTTTAAACTGGTATGTTCACTGTTCATAATGTTCCTAAAACAAGAAATGCCCTGACCCCGATTTGAACCCAGGACCTTCATGCTGTGAGGCAACAGTGCTAACCACTACACCACTGTGCTGCCCATCTACACCACTGTGCCACCCATTGGTTATCGTTCAGCATTGAAAATTCCGACGACACCCTTATTTTTGTGTGTTCTGAATCACAGTATCCGGAATTTTGTCTGGATCAGGATCAACCTTTGACACCTCATAAAACTCATTGAGATCCTTTTGTGTAATTTTTTACTAAAGACTCTGGCCATTTTTATAGAGTTAAATGCAAAAATTCCAAAATTTGCCCTATCTCACAATGATAAAGAATCCTTCAAAAAATTCCTGGATCCAGAAGGCGATCCGGATCACCACCAAAATGTAATGGGATCCTCCTGGGGCTGAGACAAATTTCAGGTCAATCCGTCTGTTACTTTCTCCGTAAAGTTGCTAACAGACAAACCAACAAACAAACCAACAAGCAAACCAACGCTACCGAAAACATAACCTCCTTGGCGGAGGTAACAAGCAAAGAACAAGATAGAGCGAGCAAAAATACATAAATGCAACAAATAAATATATGAATAAGCAGGCTCACGGCAACTGCTAAGATAACAACAAACAAAATAGCACTAAAGATGTATTAAAAGCCAAGGAATAAAAGTGCGTTTTTAAAAGGGCTTCAAAGTATCCATATTCTTATCATGTTGACACACTTTTCTTGCAGTATAAAACCATAATTTTGCTCTATTAAATAACTGTTAAGCCATTGTAGCTCCTTCACGGCTGCTTCATGTTGGTTAAACCATAGGAGCTATCGTAAAAACATGTGTACAATGTCTTTGACTACATTTGTATTGTAGAGCTAGCAATCACAGGGGGATTTACAATGCAAATTTCCTGCGCTAACATTACAGATATTAAATACACAACTGTATTTGTTGGCAAAGGGATTGGAAATGAAGAAAATCCCTCCTCCTCACACAGAAGCATGAAATTATTGTTTCCAGAACCATCCTGAGCAATTGTCATTTGAATCACTCTTGGATATGAGAGCTAGGACATAGAGCCTACCTGCAGTATTGGTGTGTGCACCTGTGTGAGAGAGATTTATGGCTGTCAAATCAGTCAGACATAATAACTTCATACAAGTGAGAACATGTTGGTGTGTTCCCCTACCAGAAAGTGTCATGATTACTAAAAACAAGCATGTCCCACGTGACAGAAAGACAAGTGCTTCTGCTGTGACAAGGTAACTGTGGGTCAGACGTTTTGTTGTTGTTGTTGTTGTATCTGGCTCTTTTCTCATAGTTCAAGGTTAATATATAACGCAGGAATGTGTGTTATTGACTGGCTTTGCTGTTATCTTTTCCACAAGATGTTCCTATCACTAGCTAAATATTAGCCTTGCGCCTGCGTAGCATTGCTGTGGTAGATAAAATTGTAAGACTAACCCTGCAAACCACAGGCCCAGAGGTGTGTGTGAGTGCATGTTTTGGTTCATTGTCGAAAAAGTTCAGAGAGGGGCTAGCATGAGCAAAGTGGTGCTATATTTCTGCTGGGGCTCTGACTGAATGGATTTATCTCATATTTTTCCGTTTAAGACTACAGAAGCTAACTTGAAAAAAAGTGAAATTTCACTGGTCAGAATTGGAGCAGAGGTCATTGTACTCTGGTCTTTCTCCTTGCCAGGCCAGGCTAGATAGTGTGTCATTAATGAATGCTTAACCTGATATGCCAGTGTCCCTTTGCTATAGCAGTCTGGTTATGTTCACCCCACCCCCCAGTAGTACTGTCTCTATTACACAGACTATCTTTTCTTTTTTGAAGGCCAAAGCTGAGCTTTCAAGACTCAAAGAACACGGCCATGAAACCTTTTCTTTGCACCGGGAAATGAAAAGCTCTTCAGTGTGTTTCCATGTAGTTAAAATAAACCATTTCTGTCCTTAACTTTACATTTGAATACCAGTATTATTATAAGGCTTTGTTGTTTAAACAAGTATGTGATTATGATTTGCTGTAGGGTGTCTGTTTAGAGACAGCTGGACCGCAACAAAGCAATTCCTTTGAAACTACAGTCATATGCTGGCAGTAAGTCATTTTCAACTCATTCAACTCGTTTCTATACAACAATTAGGGACTTCGACAACTGGGAAGTGAAAGCAAACATCCTTTTGCTATTTACAATGCAGTGTAGATGTCTTTTTGTGCATGGCTGGGTATTGTCATGGACCTCCAGATGCAGCATGTATTATACAAAGGAGAGTATCAGTAAACTTTTCCATTACAGCCTTTAGCTGGTAAATTCCTTGATCTTCTGCCTCAGAAAAAGGTTAGCCACCGGCTGCTGTAAGTTGAGTCATTTTCTCATGAATTGCTTTAGCTTTCAGTTCAAGTAAACGTTCCACAGTTCTCCAACTGGCATTTCCTGTTTCTAATGCTAGCTGTGGCTGCAACTGTTTAATATTTCTTTAGTTATCAACACTCTAGTGGTAACCTTTCAGGTGTCTTAAAAGATTTAAAATACATTTTATTTGTATAGCACTTTTACAGGAGCTCAAAGACACTTTACAGAAAGTTAAAAAACATAACTCAAATACAATGAGGCAAAGATTAATAGTAACAAGCTAAAAATAAGATAAATCGAATAAAAAGAATACAAGTGTGAGGGACAGATGTGAGGGGTGGAATAATGGTGAGTCAGGGGGGGTCAGGTAATAAAAGCGAGTGTGAAAAAGTGGGTTTTGAGGGCAGATTTGAAGCTGATGAGGTCCGGGCATTCACAGATGTGTTTAGGAGTTCCAGAAGGTGGGGGTGGAGACGCTGAAGGTCCGGTCCCCCAGGGTACGGTGCTTGGTTTTGGCTTGGGTTGAGAGCGGAGAGGGGCGGTTTGGGGTGTGGCGAACAATGAGGTCAGACAGGTAGGGGGGGTCCAGGTCGTGGAGGGACTTAAAGGTGAATGTTTGCCATCTCACGATAAATGAGATTGGGGTTTAGATGAGCACAATCAGGTATGCCTGACAATGGACCGTAGATCTGCTGCTGTTCACTCTGTGCAGTAAGAGTTTTGAATAAAAGTTCAAAGTGTTTTCATATTTAAGACTCATTTGATGTCACTAGTTTTTCTCCATAACCTACCACTTAATCTTGTGGTTAAGTGTCTTATTTGATTACTCCTACTGGTAAGTGCCATTTAAGAACAATGTTTGTGGGGTTCTCAAGGCAGAATAAGTCAAAAAACATAGATTGGAATTGTAATATTTTTCATCGGGACTCTTATCGATATTGCCAGAATGGCAAAACTTATCGTTATAATTTTTTTCGCCCATATTCCTTATCCCTAGTGCTCACTGACATTGCAGTTATGATGGAAAAAAGAATATTTCCATCAACCCTGTGGTATGATACCAGTAAAAATGTAATGGCACTAATATGTTTTGATACATCATCACAGGATAAAATCTCCTTTGCCTTAAACCGAGCAGAAGGGCTGTATGAGCTGTGCAGCAGACCTGAAATGTTTCTCATATGTTAAGCGGCAGTGGGTTTTTTTTTTCTGTCTCATGGTGCTATCATCATGGGCTTGTGCAATTCTCCTTCAGTCTGCAGCAACAAGGCAGACACAACCACAGTCACGTATGCACATCCACACACTCACTTTTTGCACTTACGTCATCCTCACACACACACACACACACACACACACACTGGCTCACTGGAATGGCCTTCATTTATGCTCAACTGACAGGCCCACACGCAGCACATTGAGTATGTGTGGATTCCACACCCATTGCTCAGTCTAGACCGCGTAATAATGCTCAGACGCACAGTGTATCTCTCAACCAATCCCGCCCTGCAGGGACTGGTTAAGAACCAGCTGTGATTGGTTTGTCCAGTCAGTCTGCATGTCTGTCCCACATCTTGACCCGCCCCAGGGCCTTGGACTGTAAGTGGTATTAATTCTCTCTGTACATCTGTCCCAGTACACTTTGGCAGCTCTTTGTGTCATGCTGTGCTCAGAGTTGTGTAATGCTGAAGCATCGTGCTCTTTTTCATGCAGCATGCACCACACTCAGGGTTCAGTGCTGCACTACACATGCACACATGCACTGCAGCAATGGAATGTCTATTAATAGAGCTCCTCCACACAGACAAATAAGGCTCCTCTTTGGGAAGAATACATTTACCTTCCACTCTTCTATCTCAGTTCCTCATGTCTGTCTGCTGCAAGGTAACTCAGGGCAGAATGAAGAAGCGCACAGAAGAGATCAGAAATAGGACGGGAGTTGGGAGGTTAGAGAAATGAGTCAGAGGCAGGGAGTGGTGTGATGAGTTTACGGATGTGAGTATATTTTTAATATGCCTATGTATGACGAGGGAGGGTACAGTTTAACTGCAGTGCCAACACTCCTCCGGCATTACCTGTGCTTTCTGATTCTCCAGTTGAAGTCACAGCACAGCCCACAGGTTTTTTTTTTTTACCTCTATTACTTACCTGTGTGACATGCTGACATAGTGCATTTCCCCCCCATGCATCAGTGAAACAACAGCTGAATGATGTGGGAGAGTGATAAAGATGAATCAGACTGTGAAAACATTCTATGAATGAATTTTATGTAACACAATGTTCTTGGAGGTTGTAATGGAGGGCTTGTAGGCGAGACTGCTCTGTAGGCTGGGAGTCAGAGGGTCTGCTTGTCTACTGTGTATGTTGTTTTTACACTGAATGAAAGTGAATGGGATCATATTGATCTATTGATTTGAACACAGAACATTGTGGCTGTCCAGACAGACCCAGGTGGTACCAGCTACGCTCCATTTACTTCAATGCTACACCGTCAGTTCCGATTTGCTGTGACCAACTCACCTTCCATGTGAACAAGCACAATGATCCGTCTGGAAACAGCACTGACCTTAGGCGCTTGTTAATAACATGCTATTCATAGTTTGGTTCTTGTCAATAGTTACTGAGAGCAGTGGAGGGAAAGAACAGAGGAAGGAGAAAACAGGCACAGTAGGGCTGCATGCCACAGTGTTTTTCTCCTCAGAAAAAAAGAAGAAAAACATGTCCTTCAAGAAAAGCACAGGAGTCATAGAAGATTCAGAGCCTTCACAGATCTGTCCTTACATGTGATATTCTGTTTGCATACAGAGTTTGTCATACAGCTTCTTAGCTTATGCGAGAATTGTAACCTAAAAATATGCCTCATTCTCTCACAGCTGTGAATGAACAATGGCACAATCACAATGACAACATGAGGCTGCAGAGCCACAGCTTGATCCTGCTCAAATCTGCAGCAGCCACGTTTGTCCCAGTTTGTGCGCAGAGATGTGCATCTCATTAGCAGTTTGGATTATTGTTGATGTTACTGGAATAATGAAAGATGCAGCATTATTTGGGGGAAGTCAAATTTGATGTAGGCAGGGAGGGAGGGAGGGAGGGAGAGAGGGCGAAGGATGGTAATGGTGGTGTGGGTGATAATGGACAGTGAGCCTCTGTGAGCAGAGTGACCGAAGTTTGTCAGAGTCACTATCTGTCACACAGACTGACAATGTGAAGACTGAACTGCTTGACACTGCTGTGCACAGTGTTGTTATGCTGTTATGAGGGAAGGCTGACATGTACAGTTGGTCTTTGTTGGTGCTCGAGAGAAGGGAACCAGACAGAATCACTTCAGCCTCTCTGAATGCTAGACTTAGATTTGCATGCATGCATGCAAGAATTTCTCACATTTGTTCAAATAAGAATGATCTTTCTTCTTGTCTTTTCTCTTTCCTTTGTAAATTCTCCCATTTTTTCCTCTGAAATCCCTCTTCTCTCCTCCCCCCTGCAGAGGACAAGCTGGTTGTCAGCATGAAGGAGGAGAATCTGTTCCAGCGGAGGTTTTCTCTTTGCCCCAATGCCACCTCCCCACCCAAAATTGACCCCCGCTCCCTCACCCGTAACCTGTCTTATGGAGGAGACAAGGACCTCTGCAACCTCAGCCCAGGTAGAAAGAGTTCAAAGCTGACAAATGCAATGTAAATATGGCATGTGTAATATATGGGATAAGCGTGTTTCGATCAGCGTGGCTGAAATGATGACATTCTGTTTTCGACTGTGTTTCCTTCCTTCATGAACCTGAGCTGCTGCTTTTGAGAGGGGGGCTGCTGTGCTTTAATTGTTTTTTAACCAGGTTTATTTACAGAGTTCATTTGTTTGTGACTAAATGTTGTGGGCTCCCACCAGGCAGTGACACAGACAGGAACAGCCTCTCCATGCTGAGTAATGAACTTAGTCCTGCCCAATCACCAGGCAGCAAGGTAAGAACACAGCTCCTGATTGGGCAGCTCTTAATGATTCACTGCAACTGCCTCTCTCGACTAAACCAGCGGCCCCTCGCATTTTAAATGAACATGATTTATCTTCTTAGTAGTAAACAGTATCAGCAGCCTAAAGCAGAGCAAAAACATTTTAGTCATCGAGGCTTTTTGTTTGTTTTTAGTTATTTATTTTTAAAAAATCAAGTGACATTCTGGCAAACTATGAATACATCATGAAATAAAGAAGATTGTGATTTCCGCACCATGAAATTGAAGCCATATGTAGTCATGATTGAAAAACCATGAACAGGAAAGACTGTAAGAAGAAGAGCTTTACACTAATGGGCCATGGTGGGAACTATGCATCCATAAAAAGAGCTATTATTCAGCACCCCAAACTCTTATCACTCTGATGCTGCCTCTCTTGTCCCTTTTGTATTATCCTTCATTCTACTGTACAGTGGGTATTGGGAGTGGAAAATAATATCGGTATGTCCAGTGGCAACCTAGTAGTTGCATCTTGTCTTGTCCCCTCTGCTCTCTTGCTTTGCCTTGTGCTGCGGTATTGCTCACGAGAATGTGGAATAAACTGCAGGTGTAGCTGTGTCTTTTGGCCTTTGTCCTTTCTGACATCCTTAAACCCCTCAAGGGACCACAGCCTTACACAAGCATGCTCTGCTTTATAAAGGATGCCAATAATGTACTGTTGTGTAGAGAAAATAGATGAGTCTGCACCTGCGCAGGCTCACTCAATGAAATCTGTCATATTTTTAGCTCCATTCATACCCAAAAGGTGGTTATGTAATAATAAACAAGTGTATAAGGCAAGCATAATTTAGCTCTGAGATTTTTAGGCACTATCAAACAGTTAGTGGCTTCTACTGTCTAACCGAGGAAGTCAGTGGGTTTGTGGTCACAGCACCACATCTGACTGCCTGTCAGGCTGTCATGCTGATTGAAAAGACTACCCACTTGCTTCATGCAAACCTGAGTTAGCTTAAACCTGCTCAAAAGATCATTCAAATAATGTGGCATCCAAAATGCAAACAAGATGTGTTAGTTAACCCTTGGGGTTGTACATTACATGAACTTGCTGTATGTTGTTTGGCTTTAATATGATCTTCAAGCTTGTTTCAAGTGCTTTATGATTGCTGATACTAGATTGTTTCTTTTTTTGTTAAAAGTGTATATTTATTTAATTTTAGACAAGTATCAACAGTGCTTTTAAGATTTGTTCTTCTCATTACCCTTTTATATGCGAACAAAATCTAATCATCATTTATACTCAGGCTAAAATTAGAGTTAATTAGAAATAGCTAACAGTGTTTGTTTTTGTTAAATCTCCTCCCTGCCACCTCCTCACTAATTGTGTCTTCTCCTCCCCCCTCCAGTCTGAGTCCAGGATGTTTAATGGTGTCGAGAAGGAGTGCCCCTCCCCGACAGAGAAGCTGGCCAGGAAGGAGTCTCTTAAGGTACACATCACTTCCTTTCATGTCAAGGTTGTACTAAATATTCATCATTATTCTACATTTCCCCCTCCATAAGCCCCCCTCTGTTTATCTGTCAGACAGAGCTCTCAGGGTTGAATGAACATTAACTGTTTGGGAACATTTTATAGCGTCTCGTTCTGTTTCTAAATGTGTGCCATTTTGTTTGTTTTTGTGTCATCACCAGTGAATCTGGGTTATGGTAATCGGAAACAACAGTATGTGCAGCTCTGACTCCCCCTAGTGTTGGTCCTCTCAGCTCAGTCTCATGACCTGTAGGGTTGATGACTCATTCATGTATTTCCAGGTCCAAAAGCAAAATTACAGGCAAGAGAAGAAGAGGGCCGCTAAGGAGCTATCTAGTGCCCTGAAGGATCCCAGTGTTGTCATCATGGCTAACTGGCTAAAGGTGTGACAGATTTACTTCAGTGCCAGTCTGGATACTGATATCTCTTTAACTGTGTACATTTTCCTTTATGCCTTTAGTAATCAAAATTCCCGCGTTTCCTTTTCGTTTTTTTCTTCCGTAGATCCGTGGCTCTTTGAAAAGTTGGACCAAGCTATGGTGTGCCTTGAAGCCTGGAGTTCTTTTGATCTATAAGACCCCCAAAACAGACCACTGGGTGGGCACCATCCTGCTCAGTGCATGCAAGCTGATCGAGAGACCTTCCAAGAAGGATGGCTTCTGCTTCAAGCTTTACCATCCACTTGAAAAATCCATCTGGGCTGTCAAGGTCTGTCATGTTTCTCTGAGAAAACCACTATCAACAAACAATCAGGAGTTGTCTGGTGAAAGTAGGATCAAACCGTGCCTTAGTATTTGATTCACATAGTTCAATAATAGTGTTTGAACAGGATCTAAACGTTCATATCAGCCTCGCCTGATATTGATTCATACAACAGAATATACAAGCACTGAAAACAATATTATATCCAGAATAAAAATGGACTCATGGGTGTCTTTTGGTAATATCAAACAAAGATTGCTTCTTAGATTTATGACTTATCGGAAATATGTAATTTATATATAAGAATTACCAAAAGGGCAATGTTCTTACTTGTAGCTGTTGTAAACTGTTTTTTTTCCGTGCTGTGTTGTTTGTTTGGACAAAGGATATTGATTTAATTGTCCTAAATAAATTTAAAATAAATCAACACATTTAAAATACGTTTTTCCCTTGAAAAAAAATGGCATAAAAACCATATTGTTACATAGCCATTTATTTAATTTTGTTGTGTGGACATCCAGTTTTTGATTCTTCATTTTAGTTTACATTTCAAGTGGATCCTGTTCAGCGCTCCACTTTGCTCACAGCTCATGAGAGAGTCATTTGTTTTTGTTGGTACTACATGATTCAAGTAGCATGTAGCATGACTCACTTCTGCATCCATATGCTTAGGGTCCCAAAGGAGAGAACGTTGGCTCCATCACACAGCCTCTACCCAGCAACTACCTGATCTTTAGAGCAGCATCTGAGTCCGACGGTGAGGATAATACCTTTCAGCTGGATACATACTGTACATGCTTGAGCTCTTATTGAATCATAAAGGCCATTCCTTCCCATCTTTAAAAATCTCTCTCTCTCTCCAGGTCGATGCTGGATGGATGCCCTGGAGCTGGCTCTCAGCTGCTCCAGTCTGTACAAGCTGACAGCCAAAACAGGGAAAGAGGCAGATATCAGCACGTCTTCAGAGTCGTCTCATATACTCCACCTGCTGCAGTCTACGCAGCTCACTGAAACAGAGCTGTTACAGTAAGTGTTACCCTCATTTATCCGTACACTGAGAGCCTCTCACACATCAATTATCTCCAGCTTATATTTATAACCTGTTGTTCTTTTATTATGATCACTTTTTTCCTGCCAAATCACACACAGAGCTGTTGGCATTTATGCCAAAGGCAATTATGCTGTATTGTTTATGCGGAAGTCAAATATTCCCAGATGGTAATTCTAAAAAAAAAGAAGGTTGTAGTATCTGTAGTCGTCCGTGTTGAAAATCAACTGACACAATTTTGATAGTCTTCTTTAAGACCCTCACTACAACATGTCTTTCTCAGGCTGGACCGTTTGTTTGTGTGTTTGTTTACCTTTGAAATTCCTGTAAAATTGTAGGTCTTATCGTCATACTCAAATGAACCACTGTTCTTTTAGAAGAGGTGATTCAAAACTCTAAACTGAATTCTATGAGCTGTAATTACTGTAGGCTAACTTTATGACACTTAAAATGATACAGTAGAAACCTCTGATTTTAAAATCTTAGCCAGGTTCCATCTCTTATCTTTGAAAATTCTTAACCAAGATTCTAAAGATTTAACAGGAAAAATATGGAGTTTTGTGTGATTAACGTTAAAAGATAAATAAATAAAAGAATGCTGATATTAGCCATCTGGTTTTTCAGTGCCTTAAACATGAAATACTATAATCCTGCGGTAAGATGCAGGATTACTTCATCATGGCGATCTTAAATACTGTGGGATGTTAACAGCAAAAAAGGGATTTTAACTACAACCAGATTTGGACCATTGTTTAAATGTCACAGTCCCTTGGCTCTACTTTAAAACATATTTCCTGTCTTAAACATATGCTGTGTTTCTTGTCAGGGATCCATGTACAATATCATTTCTGATCAATAACAGCCAAAAAATTGTTGAATTGATTCTGCAGATATGAAAATGTTGTCTATGTACTGCCACTGTTGCGGTCCACTAAGTCAGTGTACACACAGTCAGCATGTCGGTTGTATGGGGGTATTGAGAAGTGTTTGGGACAGACAGCAAAATAACTACTTGCAATGCTTGTGAACACCAGGTGATGGGAAGAGGAGCATAACAACTCTTCTTGACCTGGACACTTCAGAACTATAATCTTGAACAGCACATAAAGAATACATGGTTATGGTTTGTGCTAGAATCACATTTTGTTTGCCTTACGCCTATTTCTGAAACAATTACGCAGTCACAGTGACAGTCACAGGTAAATTCTTGTAAAGGAGAGATTTAATGTTACTGCATTGATATTGATAACTGCCATATAAGTTTGAAAAAAATCAACATATTCGATATTGGCACAGATTTAATCCTGTGCATCCCCTTCACAAACTTTGAAACTTTTGGAAAATGAAAATTCATAGAGGTACAAAAAGAGATGTATATGTAAATGTATGTAAATTATGTATGTAAATTAACAGTGCCACTGTTTCACGGAAGACTGGGCCCCTTGTAACGATCATGCTGTGTGCTGGCCCACCTGTAATGCTGAAGTAGTGTGGGTATAATGTACTGCTGTCCTATTTCCTGGCTTTTGTTTTGTGCATCATCATATTTCTTTGAACACTTTCGCCGTAAACCTGTAAGTCAGCATGTTTGCTCTTATGATCGTTTGGAGCAGCTTGTGCTTTTAAAATCTGCTTTACAGGACAAAATGTTTGTCCTCTGAGGACAAGAAATCTCTCAAGCTTGTGGACAGAGTGTGGATATGACATGTAAAAATATATGATGTACAGCTTCAAAGGGCACTGATCTCGCTTTGTCCTCAACGCTGCAGGCCAGAGCCAGGTCTAACTTTCACACTCGGCCCATTGCTGCTTGTCATCTCCAACTTTCTCCTTTCAATGTAAAGTTTCTTCCCAGCTGTCCCATTTTGCCAAAGTGGTTTTAAACATTTTGTTTGAATATGAACACTAAAAGGAAATTAGAAGTCTGTGCATGTGTGTGCTCCAGTCTTTTGTGTTACAACTCTTAGTCATTACACTGACTCTCTCAACAATTCACCTCGAAACATAGTGAGTTTCATCGTTTTTGTTTGTTTTTTTAACCCGTGATCATTGATGTTTGTGTGTCCATAACAGTGAGTCATGTTGAGCCTCTTGCAGGTTCATAGAAAACAAAAGCCAAAGTGGGCCTTTAGCTTGTAGCCCTGTGGCAAAAAAAACTGGTTTTGTTGGGGTGGTCCAGTGTAGTAGTGGCATGTGGTTTTTGTGTGAATATATATTTTTGTGTGCCAGTGTGTTTGTCGGACGCTGTGACATGCAAACAGTAGAGGGGCAGGAGAAAGAGAGGCTTCAGCTTAACGCAGTAAAAACTCTGCATGGCTATTTTTAATAATGGGACTATTTTGGTAAAACGGTTTGTCTGTTATGTGGAGAATAAACCTCTGAACGTAATCCGCATTCAGCACTGAGGGGTTGTTTGTGTGCAGATCCTGCATTATTCTTTTTTTTGTTGAACTAGACTGAAAACTTAGACCTCAAAACCTAGAATCCTACCAAACTAAATTTTGCCACACTGTTACACCCCTATAGCACTATCTACTGCGTGTTTGTCTATGTAAACATCAGTTTGTTTCCTGTTTCACCTCTTATGTTAAATTCTATTCATTTTCTGCTGTAGTTCTTATTTCACACCATGTTGTAGTTCAGCAAAGACAAACAGTGAAACAATGTTGTATTGTTGCTTAACATAAACATTTACAAATTCATTGTGTGGCTTCATGTATGTGATTCTTTATACATGTTGGGGTTTCATCAACAGAGGTTGTTCCCACTTCTTCCTGGAAGCATGCGTCCCTGTTCATATACTGATTACATTCAACATAAGAACACGTCTTTCCTCCCCACCCCCTCCCACCTTTACCTCCTCCATAGATGAACCCTCCCTCCAACCATCCATCTCCAGCTCCCCCTCCCCTTTTGTCCCTCTCTCAGCCAATCACAGCAGCCGTCATGATCACATGGTTGACAAGGGAGCAGGAAGATGGAATAGAATGAAAACCATACACCGCCCAGAGAGAGACGGCAGCTACCAGGCCGTCGAACATAAACAGATACACACACACACACACACACATTGACACAGAGACAGAGACACACATACACAAACACACACACACACTGACATCCATTCAGGAAGCAGGCGTGCTGGAGTCGAGCAGAAAACAAAAATATACCTTTGAGTGTTTAAGTGACTAGATAAAAAACATCCAAGCACTGACAGCAGAAAAGAGAAGAGAAGGGCAGACTAAACCTGTGCTGGATTTGATGGCAACATCATCTGTGGTGTTTTGATTCCTGAGGAAGAGTTTATCTGTGCTGTTTGTCTCCGAGGTAAGACGAGCTACCACTGTTTCAGGGCGTGTTTGGGTTAATGTATAACACTGCCGGTTGGTTGGTGTCTCACTGAGTGTTCAGGAATGTGATCTTTCTGGTCTGCTGATCCCTCAAGCTTCGTGAAAATGGAACTTCTGTCCATTTGGTTTCATAGCATAATGGCTTTTTCCTGGTTTTCTGTGACCGTAATGCTTGTCAGCTCATGACACATCACAGTTATCGCCTCCTTTTCAGTTACTGTATGTGTTTGTTTGGATCATGAGTACTGAGGATTTGTTTGAAAACCCTTCGAGTGTCCTTAACATCCACTATGTGACTTGCAGAATAGCCCGTAGATTAAACCCATGATGTCCCCTTTTAGATATTGATTTCAACTTACCCTCCCAGACTGTCCCCCCTCCCACTCTCACTTCTCCTTTTTCTGTCCCTTCAGTAACTGATGCATGACTTTCCTCTGGGTTTTTCCCTTTTTCTCTTCTCAACTTCTTGTTCTGGTTATTAGAGTGCTGACTGATTTGGGTTTAATGTGTCCAGACAGCAAAACTCCACATCATGAAAGTGATAAATCAGCACAGGATGTGGTATGAATTAGTTATCTCCCAACTTGTGCTCATACTGCATGCACAAATAGGCTGTTTGTGGAGTCCATGCAAATTAGGGCTGCAAGATATTGGAAAAAAAACTGTTTAAAAAAAAAAAAACTCTACAACCCTGCTGTTACTTTTTATCTTCTGGTAAATATATCAACCATTTCTAACAATCTTTAAAGTCTCATTTAACCTGCTTGATGAGCCTCATTAGTCACTGTAATTTATCATTTCTGGCTGAACGTCTGCCTCAAACAGGGGGTACCTGTGATGGCGGCAGCATTGCATGCATGTTTAGATTTCACAATCACATGGCACATGGGCTCTGAATAAGGCTGGGTGATAAACTTAAAATTTACTGATATCGGTTTGGTTTGGTTGTGTGTAGGTAGGCTATGGTCTCATGTCCCTTTAAGATGCTGTCCTATGTCGTAGACGTGACTCCGCCCCATCCAGTCTGTAACCAAGAGGGAAAGACAGGTGAGGAGATAGAGGACTGTTCAAAAGTTGTAGCTGCTGCTGGAGCGGCGGCTCAAGTAGACGAAGTTAATATGGGAGAGGGTGAGCAGCTTGTGGAGTAGTTATCAATTTATCGTTATCGAGGTGAACTGCTCAATATATCATGATATTGATATATCATGAGGCCATATCGCCCAGCCCTAGCTCTGAATGCACAGTGGTCAGTTCACTCTGTATGTGTTGAGCGGCTTCATTAAGACTTTTCATGTAACGGAAAACCTGGTACTGTGAGTTTAGTGAAGCATCAAACAACAAAAGTGACAGCAAGGCACTTTTCACGCCGTGTGTTGGACATCACACACCCTTCTGTACAGCTATGATGTGCACATGCAGGTGAAAGCACTCACTTTGGTTGAACAGTATGTCCTACAAACCTAAAGCAGATACAAACGTGAGTAGCTCTCTGCAACCTGATTGTAGCAGGTCACATTCAGAGCAGTGGAACAGAAGCCCTCAAGGTTGACTGTAACGGGGGTAGTCGTGATGGTATTGGGCTTAATAATCTTATCACAAGGCTCGGAGATCTAGCATATTTGAAGTGCAGATAAGATGTCATTAAAAATTCTGGTGATGATTTCTCATTTTCTTCATCTGTTTGTGAATGACTAGTTTTCTAGTTTGTTACTCCAGTGGCAATTAGCGTCAATTTGGTAGAAATGAAGACTAATTATTTACAGTGTTTGTCATTTCAGTAAAAATTACCAATCATGAAATACATAATTATACTCATTAGATGTTCTTTGAGCTTTCACAAGTAGTAAAAGTAATCCTGTTAATGACTTTCTGATTATATAAAAGTCAATTATGACACCAACTATTCAATCTATTAAAGTACCACCATTAATAAAGTTATTTTCTTCCATATCTGGGATTTTCATGACTAAACTTCCTGAAGAAGTTGGTCTGAGTCTAACCAACAGCTGGTGGTAGTAAATGGTCGCATATCAGGGATGCTTGATACAGATGTGACCCTGCTGTTTTCTTCTCTCCTCAGGTTAAATGAGACAGTGCTGCTGGGCAATCACCACATGGAGCATGACGGTTTTTCTGACAAATCAGAGCGGGAGGCTCAGGATGACTGGGACACTGCAGCCAATGAGAATGGTGGAAGGCTGACAGAGGAAAGCGACATGGACCAATCAGACGAGCTGTCACCCGGCCCACAGGCCACAGCCTATGTGGAGCAGAGCACAGAGGAGATGGCTGAGGTGAAATAAAAAATACCCCTTTATGTTTCTGCTCAGCTTTGGAGCATCTTAACCTGGGACTCTCTACTCACTTCCTTTACAATCAATTGTGTCTTAATCCAGGCTGGGGAGGCGTCCCAAGTAGAGACAGTATCAGAGGAGAACAAGGGTCTGATTTGGGGCTTGCTGAAGCAGCTTCGGCCAGGCATGGACCTGTCCAAAGTGGTGCTACCCACCTTCATTCTGGAGCCTCGTTCTTTCCTGGACAAGTTGTCTGACTACTACTACCATGCTGACCTGCTCTCACAGTCAGTACCTTCAAATCCCCGTTGACTCACTTAGAGATACTGTACATCTCCCTGAAATTCAGAGAAAGACTCAAATGATTCTCTTTCAGTTTTGCCTGAGATCACTTTTATTTGTGTCTTGTTGTCTTTCCTGTTACAGAGCTGCACTGGAGGAGAGTGCTTATGGTCGCATAAAGCAGGTTCTGAGATGGTACTTGTCTGGCTTTTACAAAAAGCCCAAGGTAAGCTTTTAGGGCTGGTAAAGACAGTGATGAATATGCAGCATTGAGCTGCAATTAAACAAACGTAAAATAAAAATATTGCTCTTCATTAAAAACAAATTAACATCAGGGTTACATTTTTTTCTACATTTCAAAGAACCCTTTTATATTAATTTATCTAATCACTATCTCACGGTGAAGTAATTAAACTGCTTGACTCATGACTTTTTTTTATTTTGACTTGCGGTATAAATAGCAGACCCACATGCCTCACTTCTCTTATTAGGTTTGTTTTCCTCTGTGACAGCATTTCAGCTAGCAGATAACGCCTAAACTGTAGATGAAACTGAGCTTGCTCAACACTTTTTGAGCTGACTAACACTCAGAGACTTCCTGGTGATGGATAGTTTGTAATCTGATCACCTCTAATTATCTATAGTGCATACTGCTATCTATAGCAGTGTGCTTGCGTCACTGTGCACTATTTCCTGCTGAATTATTGAATGTAGTCGAGTGGTTATCTGTTCCACAGGAGTGCTTTCTATCTAGGACTTTTCACATCCCATCGATGTGGCCATTTTGGTCGTGTTAGGATTTGCAATCAGGCTGTCTTTGAGAAACAGAAATCTTGTGAAACCTCTGAGCTGAGAACCTATTTGTGTCAGGAGTGATCCATGTTCATGCAAACTAACATATTGTTTTATGATTTTGCAATCCCTAGGGTCTGAAGAAGCCGTACAACCCAATCTTGGGAGAAACGTTTCGCTGCTGCTGGCTTCATCCTCAAACCAACAGCTGCACTTTCTACATCGCAGAACAGGTTAGGACAGATTCATTGCTCGAAGATATAAATGCACAGCATGACTCATCTTGCATTGATTAGAGGGTTTTGCAAAATATAAAACGAGTACCTGCCAGCTGATTTCTCACCTTTTTCTCTGTCTGTGCTGCTAAAGTGACGCTGTCTCTTTCCTCTGCCAGGTGTCCCACCATCCACCCATCTCTGCCTTTTATATCTGCAATAGAAAAGATGGTTTCTCCATCAGTGGGAGCATCCTGGCCAAGTCCAAATTCTACGGTGCGTTTCAGACTCAATCAGCAAACAGCTATATATATATGTGTGTTTGTACTCATGCATCTCTTTGGTCTTTTGAGACTAGCTGTCGGCACTAAAAGAGAAACTACATGTTTTGCTAAATGTAGCCCTTCTGCTTCCTACAGGTAACTCTCTGTCAGCCATTCTGGATGGAAAAGCCCGGCTGCTGTTCCTTGGCAGGGATGAGGAGTACGTCATCACCATGCCCTACGCTCATTGCAAAGGTAATAAATCTGGAGTAAATGTAGGCAACCATCACTTCTAATTCATCTCCCTGTGTCCCTGTTGCCAGATTAACACTGGCTGTGGGATTCAACTGTCACTGTTCACTGCTTCATCTGTTACGATAAATCAGTTGTACTGAAGATTCAGTTGTTCTTATTAAAAGTTCAGTGGCTACCTTCACTGTCCTCATAAATACCATTGGATCTGTTTGCTATCGAATTTAGTCAGTAAGATTTAGGGATGGGCGATAAATTATCGTTCACAATATATCGTCAGAAAAATCCTCCATGATAAATATTTACCTTCTCATGATAAATGCAAGTTGATGACGTAAGCGATGGATTTGCAGCCATAGCCCACACAGAGCAGAATAACAAACAAACATGGTTGAAGGTGATGAAGAAGACATTTCTGAGCAGCTCGTTACTGGCCGAGGCTCCACATGAGGGATTTCCTTCAAGATTGGGACTTAGATGAGTGCAATCAGATATGCCTGACATCAGACAGTGGATCTGCTGCTGCTGTTCACTCTGTGCAATAAGAGTTTTCAATAAATGTTGAAAATGTTTTCACGTTTGAGACTTTTTTGATGTCATTAGTTTCCTCCATAACCTACCACTCAAACTTGTGGTTCAGTATCTTATTTGACGACTCCAACTGGTGTTCTCAAGACAAAATGAGTCAAAAATATTGATTGGAATTATAAAAATTTTTATTAGGACTTTCGCCAGAATGGCAAATTTTATCGTGATAAATTTTGTAGCCCATATCGCCCATCCCTAGTAAGAATATGTGAGATAGTTTCAAAGTTTTACTACAGCATCTAACAGGTAGAAATACAAAAATCGATTCACTGAAATCCACTGTGGTAGATCTTGTGTGGGCTGAAAGTTGGGTTCGCTTCAATCAGTCAAAATTTTATTTTTAACTTATAGCCTCCTGCTTTTCAGAAAATGAACGCTCACACAGACGGAAAAACTTAGAGACACGCCTGTATTTGTGTACTTCCTGTTTATTCTGAGACAAATCTGCATGGCTAATTGCTGTATTTTTAGTTTCACCCTGAATGCTTAATCTGTGCTTCCTGTAGGCATCCTGTACGGCACCATGACACTAGAGCTGGGAGGGAAGGTCACTATTGAGTGTGAGAAGACAAAGTGCATAGCAGAGCTGGAGTTTAAACTGAAGGTAATCTTATTCACCAGTTGTGTTTGGAAATGTACTTTGAGGGTTTGATTTTATCAATCTACACTGGGTTAGTCGGGTGTTGTCACTGTGCAGCTGATTTTAGAAAATGTTCACTCTGCTCTCTGCAGCCTTTCCTCGGAGGCTCCTGCTCCGTGAACCAGATCAACGGGAAGATCCTTGTTGGAGAGGAGCTGCTGGCGACTGTTGATGGACACTGGGTGAGAGCAACCTTCATCTTTCTGCACCCTTTCCTGTCACGTGTTTTCAGTTTGAACAGTGTTGTATTGTATGTAATAAGGTCAGGTGTGCTTTTACAGTAAGTGTAGGATCTACAAAGGAAAGAATCGTGACTGGAAAGATCGTGATGTCCTTATCACTGAACATTTTGTTGCCTTCCTGTATCCAGGACAGCGAAGTGTTCATTCATGAAAAACGCTCGGGCCAGCAGGAGACTTTATGGAACCCAAGCCTCGACATCCGCAGTAGCCGCCTCAAGAGACAAGTAGTCCAAATGGACCAACAGGGAGAGTTTGAGTCTGAAAGGTAACTCATTTGTCCCCATATTAATAATGTTATCCATGTTGGTGTGTCAAGATATCATGTCATTTTACTGTTTTAAACTGAAGATCAGTAACCCTAATTCTGCTGAATTTGTTGATCTTTAATAAATGTTGATGTTCCCTTTAACAGACTGTGGCAGCATGTGACCAGTGCCATCATGGATCGAGACCAGCTGCGTGCCACCCAGGAGAAATTCGTCCTGGAGGAAGCTCAGCGAAAAGAGGCCAAGGAGAGAGGAGACAAACCTTGGACCCCAAAACTCTTCCATCAGGACCCTGTCACCTCTGAGTGGACCTACAGGCACATGGAGTAAGAACCTGGTCACATAAAGAACAGGACATGTTGATCTTTGTAGATTTTACATCAATGAAGGAAATAGAAAAGGGACAGCAGAAGAAAAACAACAACAAAAAAAACAGTCAAATGAAGGGTGACGATGCCTGTATTCATAATAAATGATTGTCCTGTCTGTCAGTTTGCAGCCGTGGGACCCTGAGCGCTGTCTGGTTCAGTTTGAGAAAGACGGAGTGATTCAGACGCAGGAGAAGAGCCAGAGGCGGCACAATGTACTCTCCTACAGCCACAGCTGGACCAGTCAACAGAAAGTGAGCAAAACCAATCACGTTATCGCACACGGTTGATGCACCAGTTGAGGATAGGTTTTTTTTTGTGTGTGTGCTGGTGGATGAGAGTTAGTAATATTCCATCACTGAATCAATGTTATGTAAGAGATATCTATCAACACAGCAGATATCCACCAATACTGCTCCTTAGCACGTATCCCTGCATCACTAATATTCATAGATAATTTATGGGCTGCGTTATTTATATTTCATGAAATTGAAAGTTGCACTTTTTTCTTGTCAAACCAGGATTTATCCGGTTATTTAGAGTTCTAAAAATAAGGATCTAGCAGGATGAGCTCCATACTTCCTCACTAGTTATTTGCTACAGGGGTGACCTACAGAAAAACTGCATCTGTTACCGTCTGTTAGTGTGATTTATCGGCCAGCTGCAGATTTATCTACAGTGAAGTTTTACAAACTTTTTGATCACCTTCCTCTTTTCCCCCTCTAGGCTGAAGTGAACGGGAAACGCAGGAAGGCAAGCAGCCAGCCGTCCAGCTGCAGCCAGAACACTGAAAGCAGCAGCACTACGCCAGAACCCACACACGAATCCTCGGATAATGAAGGTGAGGCATACGCACACACTCACAGACACGCTCAGGAGCAAGTAAATTACAAAAGCATGGTTCCTGAGTTTAACAATTTCCTCATTTCTGTGCCCAGGGTTCTCAAATCAGTGTGCACGGTGCAATAAAGAGATGAAGGACATTGCCCTGATTGAGGCCTCCATCACATCCATACAGAAGACACAGCAGGACATCCAGAGGTGAAAATAACAAGCTAACACTCACATTCGTGTCTTTAGAGGGAAGTGGGGGGCTTAATATCTTAAAGCAACAGAGGTACCATCATCCTTCAACCTAATAGGAAAACAATTCTTCATAAGTGTAAAAAACAAAATAGAAACAGTTGAAGAGACAGTGTTTTCAGTTTGGGAAAGGTCTTTTTAAAACTTATTTTAGTCTGTAAGATTCAAAGATGCAGGACAACATTTGGTCAATCATCGCCCTCAGTGCAAGGTACACACCTCTGAAATTCTCTACCATCAGAAATTAGATCCCAAACAGAACTACAGAGGTTTAGTGTTAAAGCTAAACATCGGCTTAAGCAGCAGCAGAAATGTGAACATTAACTTCTCTTAAGTCATTGTCAATACAGCACTTTATTAATGTTTGTGTTAAATTTAACTTTTGTAATTGTTTAACCTAAATTTTGTTGCTGTGTTTATTTATTCGTGTCACCTAGCCATTCACTGTATTATCCACTGTAGTTGTATTATTGCATTTATAGTATTCAGTATATTTTATCCTTCACTAAAGCCTGACCAGGGACAAAGACGGCAAATTAGCTAAAGCTAGACGTCTTGTATGCATCACATTTTCCATTTCCTGTGGCAATGCTGTATGTATTGTCCCTCTTAAATAAACATTAAAATAAATGAGTAAATTCAACAGGTGAATCATTTGATCAATTTAAAATGGAATCACAGGAAAAAAAACCCTAATACGATTATTTCTCTGTTATAATGGAGCCAATTAAAGTGTTTGTTTTGAAAAAATCCTCATCTTTGACCCTCCTCTCTACCCGCAGAAACCTGGTGGCTCTGAGTCGTCAGCTGGCTCATCAGAGGGCGTCAGAGGACGGGGTATCATTGACAGGTCGTCACTGTCTCATCCTTTGCGTCGTGCTCCTTTCACAACTCCTCCTCAACTACGTCTTCACCTGAACCACTCCTGGAGAGAAGTTTTCCTCTGACACTGATCTGTACTGTACATCCCTCCTAAAAGCACAGACACTAATCAGCATTGGGCAGAGACCTCAGATCAGTGCAAGGAGGGCAACTTTTTCCTCTTTGTTTTCTCTGCCAGAGGAGAACACGGACATTTAAAGCAATAAACACAGCCACAGCCACCGCCTGTCAGTCATCTGCAGAGAGGAACGGCGCCCCCTAGTGTAGCCAGACTGAAACAGCATCGGCACCCTTGCACTTTGGACAGTTCCAGGAAGGATGAGAGATGAGCATGGCTCATAATTTCAAAAATAAAAAATATATACAAAAGAAATGAATGACAGGGATGAAGAATGATTTTGCAAAACGAAATGATAGAGAGGATGTTTCACCATTCCTTAGTGTCTTTTTTGATATTGCCCTGCAATACTTATTGTGTCTATTTGTGTGCCTGTATGTATGTTGTCTTCGTACCTACAGCACATTAGGCCCTATGGGTGCAGGCAGATCACCACTTGGATGTCTCCAACACCCCATCCGCTCCAGATTTTTGGGCCTTAACGCTGAAGCCAAAAAGAAGAAGAAGAGAAACAAACATAGAAGGAAAATCTTCCAACAGTGCAATTCTGTGTGTTTTGTATTCATGTTTGCTTGAATACACTCTGTCTCGTCTTTTAATGATGATGATTTTACCAAAACAGTATTTATAATCTGAGAGGACAAAGAGTACTTGTTTACAGGGAGCACTGTGTGTGTGTGTTTGTAGTGACACATAGGAAGAGAGGAGGAAGGGCAGCGAGCCAAACAAAGTGTCTTTGTATTTGTTTGCCTCTAGTGCCGCAACAGAGGGGATACTAGCTTAGCACTGCTGTAGTTTAAACCAGGACACAGTGTGTACAATCAGTCAGTACAGAAGTGACGAGAGGAGGGCAAGACAGATGTGCGGAAAAAAACAAGACGTATATGAGTACTTTGGTCTAATGGTAGCGGTGTATGTGTGTATCTCAGTCCACACTAAGTTCAAAGTGACTGTTTAAAGATGTAAACACTTAGCAACAAGTTGTTTGTTTTGTCTTTTAATCAAACTGTATATATTTGTTTGGATTTCTGTTTCAAAAGGAAATTTCAGAATGTATTTATCGGGCGATTAACCTTGACTTTCCGAATCTGATTCAGCTCGGAGGACGGAGACCAGGGCTGACAATCGCTCTCCCAGGGTTGTGTGGGTCATCGTTATTGTGTATGAATGTGTGTGTGTGAGAGAGAGCGTAAGTGTGTGTGGTGTGAGTGTGTGTGTGTATGCGTGTGCATGTGTGTGTGAGAAAGCCGTCATGGTTGTGCTATAAAAAAGTCAGATCTGTGATCCTGACTTGTCCTGGTTTTTTAAGCCTTGAGTTTCAGTCTCCATCACCTGTACTTATTAAGAATTGTGGCGAACACAGTTGGAAGTTGACTCTTTGAATGCTTTTATTTACATCTTAACTCGTTTAGTCTTTTCATTATTTTCCTGTTTTTCTACTCTACTGCCATATTGTTGGGACTCTACATGCCCGATGTTTTTTTTTTCATGATACTACAGAAAACATGATGTTGCCCAATGTTTTCATTCATACCTGTTGCGTACTGTAGCACTACAGTAAAACATTTTAACCCAGCTGCTGCCTTTGGCTTTTATTGATGTCCTCAAATCTAAAAAGAACTGTTCACTGGTGTCAGAAACGACTCCTCAGAAAACCGTCTCTGTGGTCAAACAAACTCCACTAGGGGGAGATGTTGATATGTGTTTCACTGTGTTCAACAAACTGGGTCTGGGATTCCCCTCTGCATAACCGGACTGCACCAGTCAAGCGCAGAGATATTTCAAGCATCGGTTACAAATGGAAGAATGTTAGATGAGCCTCAACTTAAGGTGACAATCCTTTCTTAAATGCAGCAGAGACAGTAGCCTACACAATCGACTTATCAGCATTGGTGGCAACATTTTTGTACAAACAGCATGAGAATTGAGAGTCAGAGCCCTCACACAGTCAGAGGTGAACCTGAGCAGGTGAAAAGCTCTCTGCAGACGCCACTAGGATCAACATCTCTGCCACACACATGGATTTAAGCCTGGTGAAGGCGACCAGAATTTGATTATGACTCTCCCTGCCCCGCATGAATCTTATAGGTACTGACAACGAACTTCTCTATATATACACAAAGTTCAAGTCTGGTAACTCAGACTTGTCTGCAGAGGTAAAATAAGCTATTTGTGAGTTACATTTTTAAAAAAGCATAGTCTGTCAGGCTAGATTCAAAAGATTAATCATTTATTTAATGTAGTTAAACAATAATCCCATCTGTATATTTCGCATTTCATATTTATTACTCATTTTATATTACTACTAGCAGTGGATAGCCCACCTTTTTCATATCGCTTAGGATGTTTAGTATATTTAGTCAGTATTGTACATACTTCTTAAAATATTTAATTTTTTTGTGTGTTTTTATTGCTGCTGTAACATGGGAATTTCGCAGTCTGGGATGAATAAAATCTATCTATCTATCTATCTATCTATCTATCTATCTATCTATCTATCTATCTATCTATCTATCTATCTATCTATCTATCTATCTATCTATCTATCTATCTATCTATCTATCTATCTATCTATCTATCTATCTATCTATCTATCTATCTATCTATCTATCTATCTATCTATCTATCTAAATTTTCCTTTATCTTGATTTACTGAGAAAGATGAGCTCAACTTAGTTAAAAAACATCAGTCTCCTCCCTTGTTATCTGTGACTGACCTTTATCATTTTAGAGTTTAATGCTCAATGGAAAGGTAATAATGGTTCAAAAGCACTGTGACTTGAAGAGATTTTTCTGAACATATCATATACACTTCTGGCACACAGTCACTGAAGAAAGATGAAATCACGTAATATACATTTATCACAGAGGATACTCATCCATGCTGTGATAATTTCATGTCTTTGAATCACATATTCAGTCTCTGGTGTTACAGTCCCTTTTGCTTTTTTATCAGATGACGAGTCTCTTTCCAACCAGAGGAAGCCTTTGATGTGCCATGAGGTGAATACCTTACATATCACAGAGTCAGGTTTATACAAACAGAGATTAAACCGCAGAGGTGGAACATACTTCTGGTTTAGCACTCTCAACCTGACCTGGACTTCATTTCTGTGACTACAAATATTTAGTTGTTAAAAACTGACACAACCTTAAAATACTAAGGACACTTATAAAGCCTGCAGCTGTATCATAGTATACTTAAATTTTATAGTATATGTAGAAAGAATTTGGTGTTCTGCTCAAGACACAAGATTATCCGTCATATGGTTTGTTTTCAGTTGAAGTAGCCGAGTGGGCAGATTGGTAGCAGGGTAAAGATCAAGGGGTAAAATCCTCCTCCATGGCTTGTTTCTCTCCATTTCGTTGTATGTGTGAGTGGGTGCACACTGGACCATTGTGTTGTCTGACTGTATGTGTGGGCCTGACGGAAGGAGCCAGAGCCCAAATTAGGCCACAGAGAGAGTGTGTGTATGTTTAATTTCCAGGGAGTAAGCACTCCATCAAAAGAGTTTCCCTGCTCCAGATCACTCTTTGTCTCCATGTCATCATGTGTTTGTTTCTCCTGGCACCAGGGAGCAGAGGGTGTAAACTTCTCCCTGTTCAAACACAGTGTCCCACACACTGCCAGTTTCAACCAACACACAGAATGCAGGATCACTCAAACCAATCTGAGTCAGACAGAAGTGACGAAGTTCAACAAACGCTCCTGATATTTCCAGAAAAAATAATTTCCGTTGTGTGTTGAACAAAATCCCGTGTTGATACTTTTTGAAAACAGGCCCTGTGTGATGACAGTTTGATTTAGTGCCTCACAGCTGATAATAACTGAGCTCACTCAAGAGCACTTTGGTTTTTCTGAACAAAATTCAAACAATAATCCAATATGTTTTTACATGGGGATGAGTAAGGAAAGAATGTTAGACAGAAGTAGAAGTCTAGACCTGTGTAAACTAGGGGGACCATAGTTTGAGTACCAAAAAACCAGGACACTTGGCTAGGCAATGAGATACTCAAAGTTTACTCAAAGATGTCTTATAATTATATTATTACATTATAATTATGCCTTATAATACATTTAAAGTTTGCCTCCTCTGTATGGATAGTAATTTGTTATAGTATCAAATACTATCTATAACCAAAGATACAAATAGATAGGCTTCTCAGAGTTTACTCAACATGTTTTATTATGTTTCAAAATGAATTAATGAAATAACAATAAATAATAAATATCTAAAAATACCTCTGCTATTTTAGCAATCCAACTTGAACTAAATAGCTCTCATTAAATAACAAAAACCAACTAACAAAAAAAAAAATTTCTTTAGTTTTCTCTCCATCCTGGTGACCTATCCCAATGAAAAACTATGAAAACCAGGACATTTTCATCGCTATATAAGAAAAAGATATATATAAATAATAGAACATGTCCTGACAAAACAAGAAGTTTGCTCACCTTAGTGTAAACCACCAGGACATATAGTAATTTTAGACTTTATTTTGCCACACCAAAGAACTGTTTTGTAAAATGTTCCATATTAGCTTAAAAGTGGATATGGACACAGTGTTTACTCATGATTTTCCTGCTGTAGCATGCAGACATGTGAACCATAATATCTATAGACTATTTCTCAACAAAATCAAGCTAGCTTTTTTATCTTTCTGATACGTCAAGTTGCTCAACGTAGCGTCATATTTGACAGATATGAGTGTGTGTGATCTCAGTGTATTCATCACAAAAGCAGACTCATGTAAATGCTTGAAACTGTTAATCTAAAATGAGCCGTGTTATCACTGTACAATGTTAAATCTAAAATTAGACTTTTTGTGTGTGCGTATTTTCCATGATGAACTTTATTGAATTTTTCCAGAAATCATTAGCAGCTGTCACGTCTTTTTATGCTTTACTTCTCCACCT